ATAGGCAGGCACTGCGTACACCACCATCTTTCCCTCAACAAAAATTTGGTAAAGTGGTCAGAAATTACTTCAGATCGTACCACGGAGCATCTAAAATCCAAAAAAAAATTCGGGGCCCTTAAAAATCCCACGCCGAAATTTTTGGGACCAATTTTTTGGGGGACCATAATTTGTTTTGGCCCCCAACAACTTGTGTTCTGGACGCGCCCCTGCGCCCCGGCCGTTTAAATCAGGCTCATCTCTTTTCATTTTTCCCCTGGTGAAACTTCTTTGTTCTATTCAAGAAAATGTCTCACAGTTAGTGTGGGTTTTCTCTCACAAGTCAAAGAGGTGTACCACTTCCTCAACAAAAACCTAAGTTGACGTTCTCCGAAATCTGCAAATCTTGCTGAGATTAGTCTAAATGTAATTGACGAAACTGTGGCAGATGAAATGAATTGGATGTGCAGTTTTAACTCAATTCCTCAAACCTTTACCCTAAGAATTCGATTGGTCTTCCGTTATCTTCGCATGTTTTGTCCAAAAGTCAATATTTCATCATAGTTATATCTGTTTGCATATAACTCCATACACATCGGTTCTTGTAATTACTTCCATACATCATGTTCTGTTCATGTACAGCCTTCCCTTTCTACCCCATTCATCACAAGCCATTGTACTCATGCCGTTAGTTCCGCCGTTTCAAGGGGATCGGAAGTAAGGGCTACGCTCGCCGAAAAGGGCAAGTTAAAAAAAAAATCCTTTGAATTTTACATGATTTAACGTTGGGATAATTGACATGCAATGACTGAGTGGCTCTTCACTATCAATTATTTTGGAGTCAATTACTGGGGACGTCACAAGATGAGTGACCTTGGTAAAATTCATCAGCTTTTTGGAGTCTTTTCGGATTAATTATAGGGTGCATTTGTCGTCCATCCATTTTGACGCTAAACTCAACATTACGCAAGACACCGGGCTTATTAATTTATTAATCAAACCGGAGTTACGCATCAAAGACGAAGATAAATTACTGCTGTTTTTTTTTTCAAAATTGAAATTATTTTTATAAAAGATACGACATGCCAACGTCCCATTTTTAGTGGTCACGGACAATATAAACATATAAGGTTATGGAACATCCAAATTCAACCTCTCACTGTCTGATGGGAAGTCTTTGTTTGATTTTTAGAATTTTGGAAGTGAGCAAACTATTTTTGTTCTTCCCGTAGAATTTTGATGGATCTAACAGTCTTGACATACAGCTGCTAGACGTATTTGGTTCAATAGGCTATTGAAAAATAGAAGATATACAGTAAACTCACAACATAATACAAACCCACCTTACTACTGACCAAACCACTACCTTTCGAAGAAAGGTACATCATTCATTTTCCATCTTTAAATCGGAGCATAATAAGCGTACACCCCTAATAAGTATCAACCCCATCCCTCCATCACTTCAGCAAAAGCAGGAATATTTACTGTCTCACAATTTGATTCTTTGCTTGCCATAAATATTCACCAAAAAGTGGAAGCAGTGAGCCGTTGACAAACCCTATAGGTGTTAAACGGCCAAGGGAGCTCGGGAAGTCAAAATGTGGAGGCATTTATATTCACACATAGGTTTAACACTCTGAATACAGCAATTCGTCACATCGGAACACATGTCATGAATGCGATGGTTTGAGGTACAAAAATGCATTGAAGTAGGCCTATGGCTGTTTTTTCCTTCTCAAAACTACTTGGATGTTTGCTGTCATGAAGTATTTAACGCACCAAGTTTTAGGTTTGCGTGCCTTGTTCACACAAGTTGGACATTTTCAGGTATAACAATATATTTTGACTGCTAAGGTCATGTTGGACAAGTTTTACATAGAGTACATGAGTATGCGAAGCCAATTGTGACCATCACGGCAAATTTGACTCTCAGTTACTCAACGAACGACTCACTCTCTTGTGAAGAAGACTTGCGTAAGCATCACCTTGGTGCAAACATTTGATATATGACTACCTACAGACTCCTCAGACCAAATTGACCTGGGATCAGCTTTACTACTATCCTTTATCCTTCTTGGACACAAATGAGCATCCAGCTTGTCAGATGTCTACTTAGGAACATTTCACGCTGTTAGTGTTTTGAGAAATGATCCCATCTGGTCATTATCAAACCTCGTTTACGTCTACAAATCGCGACTACAACATGACACCGTTATTATTACAACATTTTCCGGCTGGTTTGTTCATCAGTTTGTTATGACTGGTAGCATAATGCACCCTCAGGGAATTATGAAGAAACCTGCCCAAGCTGCTTCCAAATGTCGAAAGAATATTATATGGAGATTCAGGGAGTTGATATGATCTGGATATTACCTCGAATTCGATCAATGTAACGGGTTTGTGTTCCCTAGGGAACCCACTGACGTATTTCAGCTTAAAAGGATACTTGTTCTTTCCATTCATCATCGCGTTTAATCTCATTGCGATCTGTTGATATTAGCCTACATATTACACTTTTTTCTAGTTTGCTTGATAGTATACATTATCGCTCTTTATGTACTTCATACTTTATAGGAACAGGGAATCCTGCTTGGAACAGTTATCATCTGTATTTCTGAAGATCAGGTCTCACATAATTAGGCCTATTATGAAACTTCAAATTTATACCACAGTATGCAGAGCCTCTACCTATTCCATTTCTACCACACAAATTATGCTGATCTTATCCAAAGATACATCTGTTATAAAAGTGTTACCTGCTGTTACTAACAGCCTACTCAAGGAATACTAGATGCCACTTTAACTCAAGTTTTCCCTGACATGTTCTAGCCTCAGGTGTAAATTCATTCTACGCACACACTTGCTTTCTTGGGTTCGACCAATAAATGTGTTTATAACTTGCGAAAACGCACGCGCACCTCAATTAAAAACGCGTGCTACGTGCGTGCGAGCACGATATAACAATCTGTCAGTAATGTCTTCTGCTTGTGGTCACCGAGTAAGGTATGCTTCGATTGTTAACAAGAAAGGATGTCTCCAAAAGACCACCTGAGCATACTGAAACGTGGATGGTTCTCAATTCCAAACCCCAATTCCCAAATAAGACCGAGTTTTCAAAACAATGCAACAGCAAACGAATCCTGCGTGAATAAATGTACAAATGGCATCAAAGGGACCGCCACACACATTCCTTGCCTGTTATTTACATTATCCGCTCCATCGAGCCACAACTTTTCATATGGCAATATTGTTTGGAAGTCAGTGGTGGAAAATGCTATTGTTGTGGCGCTCTTATGTAATACCAGACGTGGCGCTCTGATGTAATTTCAGATGTGGCGCTCTTATAATACAATTCTTGTAATGCCTTTCAAACCTGTGTAGCCATTGCACGCCTGTATTAATTGTTCGTTACACTTGGCTTCGTCATGATGTTCCGTATAGTCAGTATTAAACTATTAGAAAGCCAAGTTTATTAAAGTTTCCTGTATTTGAATTTGAGTTGTCCAATGTCTGTTCTCGCGCCTCTATAAATTCCTAGTTTGCTACATCACAAGCCCTACACGACTATACACCACCGACCTTAATATAACACCAATAAAAAGTTACACCTACATTGGAGCCAGTCAATTTGGTTTTCTTATCCTGTTCGACATATATTAGCCTACATTTTACATAGGACCAAGGTTTCAGGTATAATATTTTAAAATCCTTAGAAGTAATTTAGTATGGTTTCTACACCCTTTACGAGGCAGTCGTCCTGTTGGATGTGTTTTTGTTCCACCGTTACTGAGTTAGGCTACAGCCCCCATTTAACCAAAAATTCAAGATTGCCGCTCTCTGCAAAGGTTTCCCATTATTTTACATAACACATATGTAAAAACCCTTTTTCTTCATTCCTTGCATTTGAAAATCGACAATGTCCACTACTAGTCTCGCTTGCATAACATACATGCCACACAGTGAAGGTATGTAGTTGACGGTATTTATATGACAACATGCATTTATCATCGACCCAGCTTTGAATGTAACTTAAGTCTGCCAAATGATACCTTACAAATTCCGCAGGATAAAATGCCGCTGATTAAAAAAGTAGAAATGCATTCATGTGATAGTATGTTTTTGTCTTCAGACTGTTCTATTTGCCGTACGATACCTGGCAACCGGCAAGTGTAGATTTTACAGCAACTTTCGAGAAACAGAACCCTTGAGTTTGTTGTAGGCCCTATATACAGGGTGACCCAAAAAATGCAACTCTAAAACATTTGCCCTTAAAGAAAAGTGATCGGTAGATTTTTATGTTTTGGTTATCAGATTAAAGCTGAGAGCTTCTTCTTTCAAATATTAAAAAAAAATCACGAAAATAGCACTTTGGGTTGCTGAGAAAATGCCAATTATGTTAAAGAAGAGATTTTTCATCCTGTACAAAAGTGCTTCAAACAGTGAAACATTTTACCGTAAGCGCACTGTACAATTGTCTTTCATTTGTGCAATTTCTTTAATATTTGACATATTTATGGTGCTGAAAAGGTTTAAAATAAGACTTAAAAGGATGAGATACCTGTTCAGGTGGAAAATAAAAGGTATTTCTGTCAAATTTATTTGCACTCTTGTCATATTATGCGCCGTGTTGTTTGTAAGGATGAGTACATGCACAAATAGGTACAGTGACAATCCCTTGCTGTGGTGATTGTTTGTGTGCAGGATGAAAAAAATGACTTCTTTTACATAACTGACATTTTCTCAGCAACCCTAAGTGCTATTTTCATGATTTTTGCAGTTTTTGAAAGAAAAGCCCTCAGCTCAGTTTAATCTGATACCCAACATAAAAAATCCACCGATCCCGTTTTTTAAGGTAAATGTTTTAGGATTGCATTTTTTGGGGTTGTCACCCTGTATATAAAAAAACAACAACAAATTAAGGTAGCACTGTAAATGACGAACTACGGATTGAAAGTTAGCACAATGCAAATAGATAATAACTTCAAATAGTTGATACAACCAAATATTGATGGGATCCTTACCTGCTTCAGTGAGCAACATCATAACAGTAAGTATCGCAGACGCTAGGCAGGGCGATCCGGGGGAACGGATGGTGAGATGTCGCGCCATCGTAAAAAGCAGAGCTGCACAGACTCCTCCGAAACACCTGTAATATTAGATGTGACAAGTCCAGCGTGAAACTACATCGTCATTAGGGCGTCGATGTGTGATAAATTTACCCTAGATTGTTGTATCTTACCGTGAGGCGAGAAACAAATTAACAGAATGCAGAGACTAAGCTTAGTATTAAAGGAATGATGGACTGGGTAGATATCGAGTCAACCTCACTAGACGAATTTTAAATTAGTAAACACAACGAGGTCTAAGTGCTATTTTTTGTAGTTAGGATCAAATAAGAAATGGTGCTGAATGTCATAAGATAGCTTAGCACTGACAGCCTTGGTTTGGATATTAATTGGAAATTCGCTAATCAGAAGAATTCTGCTCATTTAATTTAAAAGCGTCACACCTCATAACCTGGTCATTCTGAATCACTGATCTGGAAATGAGTTGAATGCAATTATTAATATCTAAACTATGGACCCCTAAATGGTTATGTTTATCAACACAAACAAAAAGACCAATTGACCCTTCAATAATATCCCAACAATGCCCAGATATGGTCAAATTGTCCTTTTAAACACAAGACATACCTATTTCAAACAGCATGATAAATCGAAGATCATAATTATTATGTTCGTGTCTCAGATGATTTTGCTGTGTTGTACGGCACAATCTGTCGGCAAATGTCAAGGTACACTGCTCGCTATAACTTTCTTTCAGTCGTTAATAAAAGCACGTGCGACCCGTCAAAGATGGTATATCACAAGCAAACTTCTGATGAGAAGAAAATGACTCAAATCCACTTCTCGGTTTTTTGGGGGGGTTTATATATTTTGTTGCATGCAGATGTCTCTTCTCATTCACGATGCTAAGCCAGGCGTGGGGCAAATTACTCTGTCTGTCTAGGCCGTGTTTATTAATCAACCCTGGGCGGAAGTATAGAGCGGTTTTCTCGGCTGACTGATAATGAGCCACTCTTTACGAATTGATGTAAACCCCTACCTAATGGACATGCGTGTTTGTACACTGTCGCGGTTACCACTGACTCACCATGACATGTAATGTTCCAAGGGCTATGTGATACTTCAGGACTTTATTAATTTTTCAGACATCATCCTTGCTCTACTAAGGTTTCCTTTTCTGTCGTTCTTCTACAACGACATGACCACATAAATAAATTACGACAAAACTAAGCCACATCATCTTCAGTTATAGTGAATATAGCGATCAGTGCATTAAACGACTAACGACGCCAAGCAAAAATGTCAAGAACAAGAAGAAACGATGACAAGAACGGCTCGATGATTAGTTGAGCATCTTTGAGCCTTCACTATATCTCACTACAGCTGAATGATCTGATCTTCATGTAAAAACACCTGTTTTTTGTTCTTCTGATGCTGAAGGGTTTATTTTCTGAATACTAGTTCTAATCATTTAGATGTACCGCATAAATTGCGAAATGGGAGTCAGGTTGGCGTAGCGGTACTTTCCCCGCCTTTTACCACTGTGACTCGGGTTCGAATCCTGCCTGGGCCAACACGTGGATTGGGTTTCAATCCCTGCCTGATTCCGTGGGTTTTCCCCAGAATACTCTTCTCAGTGGACTTTTCCTCCCACCTCTAAAACTGTAATTTCTTCTCATTGTCTCCTCTCTACAGGTTTCGTCAGGCTTTCGGGCTACAGTGCCTAGGGCACTTTTGAGGAATCCTTGGTTTCATTATCAGAAAGAAATAATATAAATAGATAAAAAAATAATAAGTCCATTAGAAATACATTTTTTCTAATTATGTTTTCAAGGATAAAAAGATATGAAGATAAGCCTTCGAATGAATTGCTAAATGCAGCGCGTTGAGAAGCCTATTTTTTAATTTTTTTTATTTGTTTGTTTAACAATGGAATAAATTGAAGAAACGCCTAAGTAAATAAATGATCGATTAAAGATAATCGGAGCAACCTTGTTTTAGATTGTCTTTGGAATGCCAACGCGAGAGGTCAAGGGGTCAAACTAAATGCCATTCTCTGGCCACTGACCGATGATACTACAATATACCAACGGTCAACAGCTGTAGTCTGCAATAATTACGATCAGCACCTGAGTCGTTTTCTATGAAGAATTCAACGTCATAAATCGTGCTAGTAAGCGAAAGAGTATTCCTCAACCATATGTTTTATGACAAAGTCTACTTAGAAAGCAGCGTTATTCAATAGGTTTGTACCGTGGCATAACGTCACGGTGCCCATATCTACCGTTACCGTTTGCCGTGAAAGAGTCGATATTTATTCATTGAGATGGTTTACTCAATGACCCTTTACATTAACTTCGGTCAACAAACTTTCGACTGATGAAGTTTCATCTAATAGATTCAGGTCAGTGTAAAGGATGGTGATATTCCTATCACGAAGGGTTATACGAACTGGTCACCACGTGATCTGGTGGTGCCCCACTTCGGAGAACCCCCTTGCCGTGCAATTCAATAGTTCCAACCCGCGGTGGATGCTGTTTCTTAGTGTGTTGTCAGCGCGTTCAGCAACATATGACTATCGGAGGCAAGCTCCTTGTCAACACGTCATCCTCATCTTAATGTTTTCCTCAAAATCATTAGCTCCCGTGGGATGAGTTCTGCTCCTCAGAACATACAATGTCTGCCAGATATTACAATTTCAAAATTGAACTGTTTAACATCTTGAGTCACACATGCAAAACAAAGTCATCTAAAGAAACAAGATATGCCAACGACATATGCAAGTATAAATGAAAAAATCATGGGATTTTAAACGTTTTTGCTTCGAATTCCAACTGTTTAAATATATATATGAATATTTAGTATAGCATAGTACATGTTAAACACAATATTTTGAAGAGCAGTAAAAAGTTTACAATTATTATCCGTCAAAGTCAATTTAACAATCTTTTTTTCAGGATTCCTGCTGTTGTTACTTTTTGAAAAGGCGCCCTTTTGACCTCGGCCTAGTATGCATGATATTTCAACAGTTATTGTTACCATTTAGAAAGATATACGTTCCAGAAGAATTGAAATTTGAGCAATTGTTGAGCAGATAGATGGATTACCGGCATCTGTGATCCCTAACACGGTGAGCGCAAAGGCACTGACAGGCAGTAAATTATACCAAACACTTCAAAGAATATGGCCGATGAAATATATTGACCTACAATCGCTGGAAAATGCATCACTATTGCCGATATGCTGATATAGCCTATCACTTCATAACATGTGTAAACTTACTCACACACGACACATCCATAAATGCATGAGCATATATCCACAGCTATTTTGATTGCACAAAAATCAATGTGCTTTGAACATTTAAAACGCAAAATTGTGCAAACAATATCCCGCTATTTTCGGGTATAAGTTCACGATTGATCTATACGAAGATTGAAAACTATCTAATATCTCGCAATCGTTAACAAAACACTTTGTGCAAGGACGTCTCACCGGGAAGCTCGAAAAGCAATTTCTATGATCAACAAAGATGAAAAATCAATTTAAAAGAATTTTCTGGGGTGCGACACCGAAAAGTGTGACTTTTCATCTTCAACTTTTACTTTGAAATCATGGCTCTGTCTGCATCAACTGCATTACCTTTGCCATCATACCACTGCATGTTCGCGCTCCTTTTGATGTAGCGTTATACATATTCTATCCATGACAACATCGCACTAAGGGTGTTGCATCTTCAAGCGCATACATCAAGCACTTCACGCATCACCTGCTAACAGAATGCTAAAGGCGAGACATCCGCATAGTTGCTGGTCATTTTCGTGCACAATGTCACGACATGCTCCTTAACATTAAACCGTTTCGTGTGCCAAATGCGTTGAGTTAATTGGCCAACACGCGTCACATTTTTGGAGCTTTAGCTGAATTTTAATTTGAAAACAAACTGGCTTCTTTCTATTATGCACACTGTAGGCCACAAATAAGTTATTGACGATCTGTTTTATAGCCACTGGATGAACAACAGGTGAGGAAAATGGCACGTTGAGGCTGCCGAGCAGTGTAAGATCAGTTGGTCTATTTTGTTGAAACAAGTAGGACTGAATATCACAGGAGGTGGCGGAGAACTGGCCTCTCATCAGACAGTGGTGCACTCGGCCCGGGGGGGGGGGGGGGGCTTGATCTCTCCCTGACCCCCGTAACTTAAAGGAGAGGCTCCAATCCAATATTATAATTTTAATTAATCGTCAATAACACAATATGATACCACTGTAGAAGGGTCTATAGCACAGCTATGTACAGCACATAATTAGCAAGAACAGCGACCTAATCCCCCCCCCCCCCCCCCCCCCCCGCCTAGGCTTGAGGACAATTCACTCTGGGCAGTCGTGTTTTGTCTGTCGACTCCCCAATATCATCTAGCACGGCGCTGTGTTCATGTGTCATGTTTATAATCATGTGCTGGGTTCGACATGCCCTGGGGTCGAGGATGCACAAACCGCCCATGGATGTAAGTGTTACGCCGCACGCTATTATGTTGCATGGTTAGACGGTGTATATAATCTGTCCATATCACGGCGGGTGCGCGGCGGCAAAACCTGTCCAATTGCCGACTCGGTTTCAATTCTAAACACCCCCCCCCCCCCTTCAACGGTAGGAATCCTTTTTTTTTCTCACATGCTCTCAATAGGAAATGAAAGAGACAGAATGGACGAATGGGTGGATGCACACGGATACATTTCAATAGATAAAACGAATTGGTTATGATTGTCAGACGGCCATAAATCTACACGGGCGTATCTCGCTTTTCATGCTGGGTAAACCGACGAAGGACACTTGGAAAAGTCTGGGATGACAGACCGGAGTATTGAAGACGACATGGCCACGGGTGCTCCAAAAAATGTCCCTCTGGAGGATGTTCAAGATTATCGTAATTTATGAAGAAAATTTCAAATTCAATTATAAAATTGATGAGCCCAAACATTTGTTAGTGAAGTTTTTGTTGGATTTGGTTCAGTGGTTTTGATACAAAGACCATTAATGTAACGCCAGTCCATTTGCTCCATTCCAAGTTTGTACATACCCTACGTGTCAAAAAGATAAACATGGCGTTTGCAGGAAAAAAAACACAGAAAGCTACTGGGTGAAACAATTTTAGAGCGAATACCGTATGAGTAATCTCGGCTTGTCGTCTTTACTCTTAATGAAAACAAATGGACAATCATGACTGTGCCAAGGTGCCCGATTACCATTAAGCTCGGCCCTAATAAGTCGCCACTGCGCCACTGCAGAGCACGCTGCAAGCCAGCCATCCCTCCGGAACTAATTGATAGTACTACTTTATGACGACGTTTTAATCCTTGGTATAATCATTTGCCATAATGGACTCTTTTGATGCTCGTATGAATGCAGATTTGTTTGCAGGGTTATTATACATTAATTAATGCTTGCTTTGCAAACTCGAAAGACAGTTTTACCGTGACTGGAGTGACTTTTTAAGGAGGATTTAAAATGAAATTGCCAAGGACTTGGTCGCCATAAACTAATTGGTGCAATTGGGTCCATGGACAAGTAATAAGCCATGACAAACTAATACCCTGGACGATAATGAAAGGTTGGCAATGACTGACAATAACAGATGTGGCTTATAGAAAACTCCACGATGGCCTTTGTTTTATAACGACAGATGACACATGACGGCCAATGACCGTGAAAGGTGGACGACCATACTTCATGTAGTAATCACGACAGTGGCCATGTATTAAAGTCGTCCGGGTCATTCAGCGCGCCAATACCAATGAAAGTATGCGACAACTTGGACAGCAAATTGCCAATGGTGAGCCACGACAGCGACAATTCAGATGGCTCCTATAACATCTATGCTCGTAGAGAGAGTAATGGCCGAAAGGGCGGGAAAATACCATGATAAAGTAATAACATGTCATCACCTACTCGCAGAAAGTACATGAGTTTAACAATGCTATTTTGGGTACTTTTACAAGGCACGTGTCTGCTAATGCAATACTCGTGACACTCATACAACTGGGGAAAAGCTAACATGAATTCGGTCTTTCATTCATTCATACAAACTGTTGAAACATTTATTTCCATATTAACATTAATGAGAACTGAATGAGGAACAAAAAATAACACCAACAAATAATGTAAATAATCCACAAAATAATCCACAAAATGTGGTGTCCACAGTATTCACACGTAAGTTTTGTTCTACATGACCCTATTCAGTGGCGTCATACCTAGGGGCCAACTTTAGTGATGTTGGGAAGCACTCAGCCTGATGGACTGTGGACAAATCAGTTTCAGTGTCGGACAGCTGCGTACGTAGCCGGAGGGGGGCGTGGGGGGGGGGGGGGGCGCACGCCCCAGCAGTCGCTTCCCCCTGGGAGGTTGTTAGTCCTAAATAAGTGACCGTGGTTGAAAGAAACTCAAAAATTGGGCCCCCGTAACCTCCCCCCGCCCACTCATCCCCCCTCCCCCCCCCCCCCCCCTCATGGTGAGAACCCTGTCTACACCGCTCTAGTACAGGAACATTTTCTTTTGTCACCAAAATACTTGAAATCCAGCCAACACTAAAAAAAGGGTGTTTTTTTCCACGTGACAATTATACTCTGATCGTAGAGACTGTCCTGTCCCCGCCGTGATACGCAACTGAATGGGCATCAGATATCAGGCATCAGGTTTGGGCAAGGTGTACTGTAGTACAGGCACATCAGGACGTACAGTAAGACGGACAGCATGTGCTTAAAACATACTTGATATTGGAATTACGTATCAGTTCCTGTCAAAAAGTATGATATCCTACACAATTATTGCAATATCTCATTAATCACTGTGAGAGCTTACCTTGGTTTGAAAGCGGCGAGGAAAGCACTTAATTCTGGCTGGAAGCAGCTCACCACAGACAGTCAATATTGGTTGTGCTGAGCAGCGCGACGGAACAATTAAGTTATACCAGAACCAACAAATTGCCACTGGCTCGCTGATATAACTAGTCTACTCCCTGCAGCTGACGACCACTCGTATTCCAGCTCGGCACCTCACAAAAGATTCAGCAGGGTATTCGCTATAGAAATTTATTTCGTAGGTTTTACTGTTATGGATCTATAACCCGCATATTTTGCAAACAGTGGCGCTTTCAACAACTCCAGTGGCACATGAACGGTTGCTGCTAATGATGTCGTTTAGAAGGACGATAAACTCATGGTTCTATTTTGGTTTTATTTTTTTAACGAGGCACGCGTGATTAAACACGTCACGTAGCGGCGATGGTGCGGATTATAATGAAGAATACCAACACGGTCCGATACATCAAGGCGAGTGAAGCGCGGTCCACAACCCCGAGAGAGGGCGCCATATACCCGACTTCTGCTTTTGATTTTTACGCTTTGTTTCATTTTTAAAAACATGGTTAAAAAAAAAACATTTTGGGATACAATTATACCTCGAATAAATAAATAAATAAGACTTGGCTTTAAAATGTTATAATATAATGTTTTCGTTAATGTATTAAATCTCGAGTTAAATCTCAAGTAACTAAACAAATCTATTCTGAAACAAATTTTAAAATATGAAAATGAATAAAACTGCTGCAAACTGCCCCCTGACTGGATTGACCTGAAATATTCAAATCAAAAAATTAGAGTGGCCCGATATATTTAGTCCTTAGCAAGGACTTTCTCAGAGGCAAAACTAACTTTGAAAATATTATTTCTCTGAGAACATTAATGCGCATGGACTCAACTTTTGCCCAAACAGGCTTCATTTATAATGCAACAGATTCTTCCTAGCCTGTAGCCACATCAGAAGCCTTCATTATTTGACACAAATCCAGTCAAATTGGCTGGCGGAGCAGTGTGAGTGGTAAATTACTGGAAGCGAATTCTCTGGGGAGTCCGCTTAATGGAAAACGCGTGTTATTGATAATTTACTGTCTACCGCGCTCGCCTCCCCGATTACCTAGGGAAAAACCTTCACAGTTGAGAATATCAAAACAGAGCCGTAAATTACATCGAATGACGTTATATTATTTGCAACATCATTTGTTCGTGTTGAACCTCCAACATAAATACTCTAAAACAAAATATGGACAAATATGAAGTAAATGACCAAGTTAACGGTTCATGAAATGTTCATGACCAACGTAAGTGCAGTGGCGTAGCACGGTCATTTTTATTGGGGAGGGGGGGTAAAAATTGTTCAAAAGGGCACTTGCAAAGCGGGGGGGGGGGGGGGGGGGGGGGGGAGCTGGTACCATTTATCGATGGGGGCGCTGTTCAAAAACGACGATTATGCACACGAAGGGACAAATGATGCTTTTCAGGGCGATACACGTGCGAAATCAAAAAGGCACACAAAACGGCAGATGCCACAAAAAAGGGCACCGCTTTTTTTTTTTAAAAGGGCACTTGTTCAGAAAAAAGGCACTTCTTAAAAAAAGGGCACTCTTTACAAATTATTGGGGGGGGGGTAAGCCTGTTGAAAAAAAGGGCATTTGAATGGAAAAAAGCAGTCTTTACAAAATATGGGGGGGGGGGGGATAACCACCTTACCCCCCCCCCCGGAAAATCAAAAGACAAAAGTAGGAAGAAAAAGAGGTGTGCATTAATATTTGCTATTAATTTAATACACATTTAACAAAATGGGCGTCTGCAGGGTTGTCTATGGCGGTGGGTGGGGTAAATGTCCCCGCCCACCCTCGAAAAAACTTTAATAAATTGAGCTAGAGAAAGTACTTTACAAGGATTTGGGGGGGGGGGGGAATGTGCTTTGCCCCCCCCCCCCGAAAAATATGCTGGCAAGGCCCATGCAAATACCATAGTGACATCTGCGTAGCGAGGGGGTGGGGGCAAGGAGGTTGGGGGGGGGGGGTCCCCTGGAAAAGCACCCTAAAAGAGAAAAAGAAAAAAGAAAAAAAGACGAGGGGCGAATCATATTACTGTTAATAATCCAATGTATATTTAACAACATGACGTCGATTTTTCCACGGATCTTTCCCCCTTCGCTTCTGGTGAGTGATTTGCCCCCCCCCCCCCCAGAAAACATCTTGGTGCCGCCCATGCCTCGGAACAAAGTACATGTTATTCGCAGCTTATTTCGATTTCAATAGAAATACCACAAAAGACAGCTGCCCAGCACCAATACTAACCCGCATTCATATTTGAATGCCTGTTTGTATCTCTGGATCTCACTCCGCTAATAGCTTATAGTAATAGCATTGCGTGCGTGGAGACCCGTAAAAATGCGTTCTTTTTTGACATGCATCATTAATTGTGATAGCAAGGATCAATTTCAGTACACGTAATTTTTTTCCAGACGAGTGGAAGAACATCATCGTTGGAAGAACATCATCGTTGAAATAATACGTGTTTTATTGGTGTATCAAAATTGACAATGTAATTGCTTTTAAAAGGAAAAAAACAAGAATCCCGGTCATCTCAATGTAAACAGCGTAAATGAAGTTCAAGATAAATAATCCCTGTTCGTCAAAATGTTGCATAAACTTAAGCCAATTTCCACCGAGATTATCAACTGAGGTAGTTTTAGTAAAGTAGTATAGTATAATCATTAATTAATGCTTAATCAACAAGAAAATTAATATTTAAATATTTACCTTTATTGAAATACTTATTTCACAAATATGCTTTATCGCTTTTTTACTGCCGATGATTCTATTGTTCGCTGGATGGACATTATGTTAGTTGAAGATCTCGTGCATGTTTCCTGCAGGTTGTTTTTCCCCCAGAAAACTACGATCACGTCTGTAAACCCCTGTTAATTTTGAATGTAAATTTGCACAAGGTGTAACCAATTAGAAAAGAAAATTAATTGCATCATTCATTTAAAAAAAAACCACTTTTACGTTTGTTTGCAAAGCAAACCCCTGAAAAAAAAGTGCAAGGGAAGGTCTAGCTTACTATTAAAACATCATTGACCGTATGCTGTATACATTGTATAATGAAGTCGACAGAGGCCTATAAGTGAAACTCTCCGCTTAATGGAGTTTAAAGTTGCAGACTGATTATTTGAAATGCTAATTTGATAGGAAGGCAAGCCTAATTACGGATATTTGCATGGTTACGAAGAGACAGTTACGAAATGAAGCAAATAACAATGAGTTCATGTATAGAGCCGAAACCGCTTCAGCACTGAGTGCTATTAATGATTCTTTAGCAATACGCTGTTATAATTATAATGTAGTAGCGCTAATGGTAAATGCAGAATGAATTTAAGTGCTGAGTTTTGTCATTATTGTTCCCTTGGAGCCTTGTTGATTTTTATGCTGGTACGAATTCAATATTCATGAGCAAAAGTGTGATGTCTTAGCAAAAACCTCAATGTTACATCTATTTCAGCCAGTGTTGTTGACTCGAGTCGCTGACTCGGACTCGAGTCGGACGCGAGTCGCTATATTTTTGACTTAAGACTTGACTTGACTTGGGAAAAAATGACTTGAGACTTGACTTGACTTGACTTGAAAATTGACTTGTGACTTGACTTGAATAAATTTGACTTGCTGACATTAACACGTTTCTTAAAGTTACAAAAAAACCACAAACCTCTGGGCGTTCGTGCGCAAAGCATAATCGATTGAAAAGAATGCAGATATATATAGCGAACTAGCAACCAGCACGCGACAGCTGGACATCCTGAGCCTGCCACACGCCATGCGCACGACTACTCTGCATGTGTTATGGTGAAGTTTGTGCCGTGCGTATTCCGAGTACCCTCCGTGGCTAGAGCGGTCATTCCATAGAGACCGGTCGACCATAGGCTACAGGTGCAGATTGGTTTACCGTAATCGTGCTAAATAATGCAACTAGGGTTTAAACGACTGGAAAACGGCTGCTACCCCCAATCCACTTTAAAACAAAAAGAATTCACATCATGCATTAAACGCAAACATTCGGAAGGACATCTTGTCAAACGTCCTTCAAACATCAACATGATGGAACAAGTTTGAAAATTATGAAAATGCGCTTTTTAGACTCTTCATAGGCGTAGCCAGCGGGAGCGGGGGGGGGGGGGGTTACATACCCCCTTACCCCCGGGGGGGGGGGGGTAAATACCCCCTTACCCCGGCTACAACTCTGATTTAAGCACCAAAATTTGTCAGAATTTTGGATATTTTGCTGTTGTACATTTCTTTGGTGATTTTTTGTTGTTTCGGCGCATGACAGTAAACGGAGTTTTCACATGAGTGCATTCCATGAGCAAATTGGTATTCACAATTTAAGCAGAGAACCCATCAAGTGAACAGTGTCTCCCTGAAATGACATCACAGCAACAGCGCCCTCATTTCAGGACAAGTATGGGAAATTGTAAATGCAATGGGTTTCAAATAATTGTTATACATTTCAGAGTAGAAAGTTGCACAAAACATGTTCTTACGAAAGGTTTGCAATTTCAACAAAATGCAATCAGTAAGAGAAAAAACCCATCATAGGCCTACATGCACAAATAACGAGACAATACAATTTACGTTCACCTTGACTTTTAATTAGGCATCTCTAAAAGAACGGTTTTTGATAATTACAGAATGCTGAGGTATTTGGTCGATATCTGGATATATAACATCAAGTGACAAAAAATAGAAAAGTATTTACTAAAAATATATGTACACAAAGTTTAACATTTCATTAGTTTTTTATACTACAAATTTAAGTAAAAAACTACATTGCATACATGTTGCGTTTGCTTGGTTCTCAAGTCAGTTTCAACAAACTAGCGCCTTCGTTTTTGTGTAAGCCAAACATTGTTCACAATTCCTGGGACCTCCCTAATAGCACCAACGCAATGCACTCGTCTTCAGTGGCACGTTCAGAACGCACATGCAGCAAATGAATTATATTACTTCCAGAGGTCAATCAGGCATGAGTTATCCCAGTATTTTTGACGATAATAGCAAATTTGGATTAGCATATAAAGTTCATGCAAATATAAATATCCTACATAATACATTTTGTACAAAGTACTGTATATGCTGCCGATTATACGAAACCCTGTTCTTTATTTTAAAAAAATAATATTTACTGATTTTTCGCTTATTAAATCGAAAGACTTTGGTAATTTCTACATTTTTAGTAATTTAGATCATATTTTCCGAGGTTTAGACGTTATATTTGTACTCATTTTCAAAGATAGAAAAATAGGTTCTAACATACACAATTGAATATAGCCTTATTTTACATACATGACATCGATAGCTGTAATGTGTTCCAGTTTTTCTCCGTGTTTCTACTTGTACAGACGTGAGAACAGCTGGCAGATATAATTTTAAGTAATTTAATCTTGGAGAATACGTATTGCTCGAATAACATTTACTCCACTGTTAAACAAAATAAGCAAAAAAAAAACAACAACATATTTTAACTGCCACACGTATACCACAATAAACATAAAGTAAAGTAAGTTGGAGGGAAACAAATATGTGCGAAACTTCAGTGAACGCAGTTATCACCGACCAGAATTTAAGTGTGGGAATCCCTGTCTGGGTGTGTATCAGCCTCCGACAACAAAATCCACATTTTGTGTAATCCATGTCAATAAAAAATAGTTAAAAAACAAAACAAATAAACAATACAAACTACAATTTGATTTAATTTAATACATGTTTGTCACATATACATGTTTACACGACCAACAACCACAGATATGAGTTAAAATGAAGAAAAGGGGTTAAAATTGCAACAAATTGACAAAGAATGATGTTGACCAATTTTACAAGATTAAGTTGCTGGTTTGGGATATTTTTTTTCTGACACCCATGTAATGGTTCAATCAGTGATCGACATTAATTCTTCAACCTCGGTCGAAATCTGCCCATAATTTAGAAATCATGTCCAATCAATTTCTATTTGAGTGTTTCTGTCACATTGGGACATGAGTACAATATATGTATATACTTTGATCGGGATGTAGTCGAGCCCACAACAAATGCAGTCACAAAAAAGTGCATGAATTAAAAAAGAAAGAAATGCCTTAATACAAAGCACATTTAGAAATCTTGTAATTTGAATTTGGACGGGATGATGTGATGAATTTGTGATGGACTTTTGATAGACTGGAAGGGACTTGTGATGGACTGGACTACATCCAAGATTCAGGTCAATTATATTGTCATCTTCTGTTAGCGTCAACCTACATCCAAATAACATTATGTAACATCATACATGAGTGTAGATCCATATTATATACCTTCCACCTTCTTCTGTCGACTAGGATTGTGTACTTTCATATGTGTTCGGAGGTTGTCCCTCCGTGAACATGTCTTCCCACAAACCTCACAGATGAAACTTTTGTTTTGTGAGTGAGCAAGTGCGTGTCTCCTCAATCTCCCGAGGTGAGTGAATGTTTTGCCACATACCTGGCACAAGAAGGGACGCACATTTGAGTGGATTGCACTTGCAAGGTGGTTTGCTAAATTGTGGCGTGTCTTAAATTTTTTATCGCATTTATCACAGGGGTAGATTCTTTGATTGGCTGCATGACTGCGTTGATGATTCCTCAGTCCTCTCTTGGATAGATTAGAACGGTCGCAGAGACTACACGAGTACAGTTCCTGATCAAAGTGAGTCTTTCTGTGAGCTGTCAATGTTCCTGAATGCCCGTATCTTTTATCACACAGGTCACATGCGAAGAGTTTCAAGTCATGACTGTCACTGTGAGAGTTTTTCATGTGGATTTTGAGACGGCCGGGATAGTGGAAGGCAACTCCACAGATTGGACATTTGTGGTTTCTTTCCATTCTGTGTGTCAATTCATGTTGCTGACATGAGTACTTTCCGATGAATTTCTTACTGCATATCGAGCAAGAAAACGGTTTGGCTTTGGTATGTTTATAGGCGTGAATCCGAAGGATGTTTGGTCTCAAAAATTTCTGATGGCAGATCTTACACTCATGTTTCTTGACTTCTTGTGGCTTCGGATGGGTCTCGCGATGCTTTCTGAGATCTGCAAAGTCTTGAAACGTCGCTGGACATTGTGTGCAGTTGAATTTTCTGACCCGTGTGTGAATAAGTTGGTGTTCTTTCATGTGGCTTTTTTTGCGGAAAGCTTTACCACAGTTACTACACTCAAATGGTTTTCCGTTGAAGTGAGCTATCTTGTGTTTAGACAGACTGTATCTTGACTTGAAAGTTGCCGGACAGATTGAACAGTCGAACAGAGTTTCAAGGACATGTCTTTGCAAGTGTTCCTCAATACACTGAGAACTCTGAAATTTTTCCTTGCAAATCAGACAAGTGAATATATTGATTGGTTTCCCTTCAATGTGGCTTTGTTTATATCTCTGGAGGATTTCTTTCTCTGCAGCAGCTTCGAGTTCCTCGATACTATGGGTCTCTTTATGTCTGTGAAGTCCAAATCTAGTAGAGCTGGCAGATTCACACATGTCGCACGGGTATCCTTTGTTTTCAGTGTGAGTATTCGTGTGTTCTTTCAAGCTAGCACGGCACTTGAAGGTTTTATCACACATAGTGCAAGGCAATCGTTGAGTGGTTACATCATGAGACAACCTGGTATGACGTTTGAAAGCTTGTCTGGAAAAGTAGACTTTGGAGCAAGTGCCAAAAGAAAGCTTCTCTGATTGGCTATGTTCTGGACTTGACTTCTCACTTGAATCTCCGGGTTTGGAATCAGCAGGAACTGCATGGTGCAACTGCAGGGATGCTAGAGTTTCGAATGTCAAGAAGCAAACCTCACATGAAAGCTCTCTTTTCTCCGATTGAGAACATATGTGCTCTTTAAGTGCAGATTTGTCAGAGAATTGTTTTAGGCAGTTCTCACAAGTGACATTTTCATCATTGACTGCACTTTCATCATCCAAAGTATGAGATAGCATGTGCATCCGATGTGCTCCTCTGCTGTAACAAAAGTGCTGGCAGATGACGCAGGAGTAGACTTTCTCCTTTGTGTGGATATTTACATGCTCTTTCAAGACGTCTCTCCTTTTGAAGGATTTATCACACAGCGTGCACTTAAACGGTCTATCTTTGTTATCATGGATTGACTTAACGTGTTTCTTCAGAGATTGCTTGCAAGAAAAGTTTCGATTGCAAGTACTGCACGAGAGTGATGCATCACTTGAGAGCACTGATAACAGCCTTTCTGGCTCGCTATGTTCTGGACTTGACTTCTCACTTGACTGTTCAGGTTTGGAATTGGCATGAATTGCATTGTGTACTTGCAAGGATTCTACCGTTTTGAATGTCGAAGAATGGTCTTTACATGAAAGCTCCCCATCGTTTGCGTGTGAACGCATGTGCTCTTTAAGTGCAGATTGGTTGGAGAATTGTTTTGGGCAGTGCTTACAGCCGACATTTTTATCGTTGACTGCACTGTTGTCATCCAGATTATGAGATTTCATGTGCATCCGATGTGCTCCTCTGCTGTAACAAAAGTGCTGGCAGATGATGCAAGAGTAGACTTTCTCCTTTGTGTGGAGATTCACATGCTCTTCCATGATGTCTTTCCTGTTGAAGGCTTTATCGCACACCGTGCACTTAAACGGTCTATCTTTGTTATCATGGATTGACTGGATGTGAATCTTCAGAGATTGCTTACAAGAAAAGTTACGATCGCAAGTACTGCACGAGAGTGATGCATCACTTGAGGGCACTGAAGACAGCTTCTCTGGTTCGCTATGTTCTTGACTTGACTTCTCACTTGTCTGTTTGGGTTTGGAATCGACATGAACTGCATGGTGCAATTGCAAGGATGCTTCCGTTCTGAATGTCAAGAAGCAAACCGCACATGAAAGCTCTCTTTTCTTTGAGTGAGAACGCATGTGCTTTTTAAGTGCAGCTTTGTCAGGGAATATTTTTGAGCAGTGCTTACAAGTGACATTTTTGTCATTGACAGTGCTTTCGTCATCCAGAGTATGATATTGCATGTGCATCCGATGTGCTCCTCTGCTGTAACAAGAGTGCTGGCAGATGATGCAAGAGTAGACTTTCTCCTTTGTGTGGAGATTCACATGCTCTTCCATGATATCTTTCCTGTTGAAGGCTTTATCGCACAGCGTGCACTTAAACGGTCTATCTTTGTTATCATGGATTGACTGGATGTGAATCTTCAGAGATTGCTTGCAAGAAAAGTTACGATTGCAAGTACTGCACGAGAGTGATGCATCACTGGAGTGCACTGATGAGGAATGTGACTTCAAATCCTCTTTTGTCTCGAATTCCATTCCACAGACTTTGCACGGTAAATGTCTTCGTGGTCTGTGGGAACGCATGTGCTCGGTAAGTTTAGATTTAGTTGGAAATCTGAACTGACAGTGCTCGCATTCAAACTTGAAATCAACTGCTGTATCTTGCTTCTCTTGATTGTGGGACTTTGTGTGCCTAGAACGTGCCGCTCGACTGAGGAAGGCCTGTTTGCAGACTTTACATGATAGCTTCTTCTCCTTAGAGTGGATGTTTACATGGTCCTTAAGATTGCCTGTCCTCTTAAAGGTTTTGCTGCACATGGCACACGCAAACGGACGTTCACCAGCATTGGTATGTTCATTCACAACATGCGTCTTGAGATTCTGTGGTGTTGTGAAAGTTTCCGAGCAGTTTTGGCACTTGTACCAACGCACGCCAGATGAGTGTACTCGTTCTTGGTGAGTTGACAGAGAATCAGAACTTGAGAAGGTTTCATAGCAAGTTGGACAGAACCAGTTCTGCAATTGCCTGCCATTGTTTTGGATCTCTTCATTTGAAGCTTGCGAGGCTACAAAATAGTCAGGCAGGTTTTCATCTTGGGATCTTGATGAGTAGTTATCATCTGGAAGCCAAGTGCAGTCTGCTCCAGTGAGTGTGAAATCGTTGGACACCAGCCCCTCAGGATAATCCTGTCAATTCCAAACACAGATGTTCAACAAGTTTTAAGAATGGCCATGCACCCTAATTTCTCAACAGAAACGCGTAAAGACCTGAATAACATGTTTCCAAAGCAATAACATAGACTTACTTCATGGTGGGAGCTGTAAAATGCATAAAAAAGGTAAACTGCCATTTTACATTAAGCTGATTCTGCATCAACATCTTGTTTTTTCTGTCGCTGCGGATTGTGTACTCTCATATGGGTCTTGAGATTGTCTTTCCTCGAGCACGATTTACCACAAACCTCACAGACAAACGGCTTGGTTTCAGAGTGAATCACTGCATGTTTAGCTAATCCACTTTTGTTGGTGAAATTCTTCCCGCATATCTCGCACAAGAAATGTCGGTTGTTAGAATGTGTTCCCAGGTGACATCTTAACATGGACTTTGTTTTAAAGGCTCTGTCACAGATGTCACAGGCATGTGGCCTGCTGTGGGAATGAGTAACCTGATGACTACGTAAAGTACGGGATGTATAAAAGGAACGACTGCAGATGTCGCAAGTGAAAGGCTTTTCGTTTGAGTGTCTCCTAACGTGCTCTTTTAGGCCTGCTTTACTGGGGTACCGTTTCTCGCACAAGTGGCAAGCAAAGAGTTTAAGGTCGTGACTGTCACAGTGGAAGTACCTCATGTGCGCTTGCAGAACATGATTGTGATGGAAAGCTCGATCTTCGCAGATTGGACATTTGTAATTTCTTGGAACGGAGTGGCTTAGTTTGTGCAAACGAAGAGCTCTCTGTACCTTGAAGCACTTCCCACATTCCCCGCATGCAAATGGTTTCACTGTCACATGTGTCAAACCGTGTTGTTTCAGACGGGACATGCTAACAAATCCTTTGAAACAAACACTGCATACAAACTGTTTCTCTCTATGATCAAGGGGCTTCGGGTGTGTCATTCTATGTCTTCTTTGGTCAGCCGAATTTTGGAATGTTTCCGGACAAAGCTTACACTTGTAAATTCGGTTAGTATCATGAGTACGTACGTGTTCATTCAAGTGGCTTTTTCTACGGAAGGCTTTGTTACAGACATTGCATAGGAATGGTCTTTGGTCCGAGTGAGTCACTCTGTGCCATTTGAGAGCTTGTCTTGTTCTAAACTTTCCAGGACAAATACTGCAGTGAAATGGCTTCTCCAAAGTGTGTATCCGAACATGGTCAGCAAGTTTTGCCCTGTTTGGGTACACATGCTGACAGATCTCACATTGCGGAAGCTTCCTAGGGGCTGGCGGTGGCTTAGTGTGGGTCAACTTGTGTGTTCTGAGAGATGATGGGTTAAAGTAAACACGTGCACACAAATCACACGAAAACTTTCTCTGTTTAAGGTGCATATTCATATGTTCTTTCAAGCGAAATTTCTCTGTGAAGATTTTACTGCACAAAGAGCAAGGTAGTTGAGGCTTTTCTGAGTGACTGTCTCGTATATGCCTTTGCAACTTTTTTTGGTTGGTGAATTCTCTTGAGCAAATGCTACATGGTATTGGCTCAGGAGGTTGAGAAGGCACTTCACCAGCTTCTCTCTCAAGTTGTGTCCCATGGCAAGATACGTTGTGATTCTTGAGGGATGTTCTGACGTAGAAGACACGTTCGCACTTGTCACAAGGGAACTCCTTTTCTTTAGAGTGGATATTTGTGTGCTCTCTCAGACTTCTTCTGGTTGCTAAAACTCTATCGCACACAGTGCACACAAACTTTTCTCGGTTGGGTGCATGATGGTTTCGATAGTGTCTTTGTAGATAGCGCTTTTGTTTAAATTCTTTGGAGCAAATATTGCATGAATATGGAACATGTGCAGGATTCATTTCACTACTGCTCTGAGTGCCATTGTGAAAAATCTCAGAGATACCAGAAGAATTTGTCTGAACTATGCCAGGATAATCTACATTTCCATTTGATTCAGTAATAACATTGGATATTTCCGTACTTTCTTTGCAAGACCCTTGCTCATCAGTAGAGTTGTTGGAATGATGTCGTTTCATGTGCTTACGGAGATAGCCTTTCTGTGCGAACGTTTTCAGGCAAATGTTGCACATGAACCAGTGTGTGACGGAATGGATTTCTTTGTGGGAGCGAAGGGAATCTCTATTGGAGAAGATTTGACTACAAGTGGGACAGGACCAACTTACAGGATTTTGAGAATGGTCCTTGTTGATTCCGTCCTGCTCTGTTGATGCTTCCTGTTCCCGTTCCTCCATGGCCAAGGAAGATGGAGCAGCTGAAGTGCCGTCACGACAATGATCAGGAATCGTCTCCTTCACATCTTGGTTGAACTTTACAGTACTTTCTTGCACCTCAAAATCATCCTGCCGAAAGTAAAACAACTACAGTTATTATTTTTTTTCATTCTCTATTTCACGTATTGTTTTTGAGAATTACAAGGAGAAACAAGTTTTTGATTAGAGGAACATTTATTCAATGGTTTGCTTAATTACATAGTACAAAAGTTAATGATTTGCAGATTATAAAAACAGAGTAAGAAATCAATCTCCTTGAACCAGCACAATACTTATAGGTGTTGACATTAGGTCAGGATGAAGTACATCACTGTAAAGAAATGATTACTGCCTCAGCAACTATTCTTCAGCACACCTGTACGACATATTTTTTTCAGTGTTGCGACCCAAACGTGAGAATTTTTGCTAAACCATGTGTCATCTTTGTACCTAACTTAATTACCGACTGATCACTGATGACTAAGACTCACTGTCAATCGTTAGCTGGGCACTACTGCCAATGAATGGTTTAAATCTGGCCCATTGCGTCCACAACATCTAAGCAATCGTGAACAATCTAAGCTAATATCTGGACTCTCACCTTTTCATTAGATGACTGTATTGTAGGCACTGTAGGCCTACTTTCCACTGTCCTTTCTCCAGATTGATATGAACACTCTGAATGTCCTGGATCCTCTGTCTTAATGTCAGCGCTGCTGCCTGTATCTGTTGGGAAGCCTGCTTGAGGAGGCATCCAACTTGTCTGCAATGAAAGCATCGTCAGATCAAGGGCGGATCCAGAACACAATTTTTGGGGGGGGCCAAAAAAATTTTTGGTCCTCCAAAAAAGCGGGTCCAAAAATTACGGCGTGGGGTTCGGGGCCCGCTTAAGGGCCCCGAAATTTTTTTGGATTCTAGATGCTCTGTGGTGCGATCTGAGGCAATTTCTGACCACTTTAACCAATGTTTTTTTGAGGAAAAGATGGTGGTGTACTCATTGCCTGCCTTTTTTGCGATGTCACATAAAAAAAAAATTGGTTTCGTTTTTAGGGGGGGCCATGGCCCCCTTTGGCCCCCCCCCCTGGATCCGCCCTTGCGTCAGATTGAACATTGATAAAGCTGACAAAGTCTGAACTTCGCTTACAGGAGAACCTCAAAATATCACGGATCATTCTTAGTCTACCACAAAGTTTTGGGAGAGAGGCCCGATGACTCTTAAATTTTGAAAGTGCAGAGAATGACAGATTTGGATGGTTTATTTGGAAACTCTCTGGCGGGGCACCTCAGCTCACAAAAAAGAAAAAAAAATAATTGTAACATTCTCTATCATTTACAGAGAAATAATGGCCACTCCGCCCCCATTTATACCAGAGTCCCACCCCTCACATATTATCTTGATCACATGAATCTGGTAACCTGAATCCACTTTGCGATATTAAATTAGTACATTGTTTTTACCTGTTCATTAGATGATGAGGCCTCACGCACTTCATTGTATGGTGTATGGGACTCATTTGGTCCATGTGAAAACTCTGAAAGTCCTGAATTTTCCACCTTTATGTGAGTTGTGCTGGCTGTACCAACTGGAAAGTTGGTCTCTTCTGACTGGGGTGCCCAATTACTTGACTGCAAAGTAAAAATGCATGATTTCAAATTTTCACTAGCAATATTTATACAAGAATGAATCAGTTCACATCTCAACACAATAATGACCATCAACTGAAGTCATGTCAGACCTTTAACAATGATCTTTCACAACCCACCACAAAGTTTTTGGAGAATGGGCCCGACCTTCCTGAAATTTGAAAGTACAAAGAGTAATCCATTTGGTTCCTGTACAGTGACAATTTTGGATGGTTTATTTGGAAATGATCTGGCAGGGGAGCTCAGCTCTCAAAAATACAAGTAAGTTGTCACATTCGCTATCGCTCACAGAGAAATAATGGCCACTCCCCCCCCCTTTTATCCCAGAGTCCTGCCCCTCACATATTATCTTGATCACATGAATCTGGTAATCCACTTTGCGATATAGAACTACATGTATATTAAATTGTTTTTACCTGTTCGTTAGACAACGAGGCCTCAGGCACTTCAGTATATGGTGTATGAGAATCATTCGTTCCATGTGAAAACTCTGAAAGTCCTGAATTTTCCACCTTTATGTGAGGTGTGCTGGCTGTAGCAACTGGAAAGTTAGTCTCTACTGACTGGGGTGCCCAATTACTTGACTGAAATGTAAAAATGCATGATTTCACATTTTCACTAGCAATGTTTATGCAAGAATAAATCAGTTCACATATCAACACAACAACACAATAATGGCTATCAACTGCACTCATATCAGACCTTTTACAACGATCTTTCAAAATCCATCACAAACTTTTTGGAGAATGGGCCCGAGCTTCCTGAAATTTGAAAGTACAAAGAGTAATCCATTTGGTTCCTCTACATTGACAATTTTGGATGGTTTATTTGGATGATCAAGCAGGGGACCTCATGCAGCTCTCAAAAATACAAGTAAGTTGTCACATTCGCTATCACTCACACAGAAATAATGGTCACCCCCTCCCATTTATCCAAGTCCCGCCCCTCACATATTATCTTGATCACATGAATATGAATCTGGTAGCCTTTATCCACATGATGCACTTTTTAACTTTAATACATTGTTTTTACCTGTTCATAAGATGACAGGGTCTCAGCTGCTTCACTGTATGGGGCATGGTTAATTTCATCTGGCTGATGTGAAAACTCTGAAAAGCCTGAATTTTCCACCTTGATTTGAGGTCTGCTAACTGCATCAAATGGAAACTCTGTCACTACCGTCTGGGGTGCCCAATTACTCGACTGCAATGTAAAAATTATTTCAAATTTGTACAACAATTAAATCTTGATACCTCAAACTCTGATAACTCAAAACAATTGTTTAAGTCCAAAAAAGCATCCATTGCCTTCAGAAGTATAACAATGATATACAACCCTGCTTAACTCAAAACAACTGTTAAGTCAAATTTTGAACCTACTCCCTTACGGTTTGACTTATCAAGATTTCACTGTACCACTATTAATGCACAAATGGAAAATGTTGCATCTCAATACTTTAATAGCTTTGAATTGCAGCCATAGAGGACCTTTCAGATTACCTGTGCCTGGGATAGTTGGGGAGTCGGCATTGAACTACAAGGAGCATAATAACTTTGTGGAACTGCTGAAAAGACTGAATCTTCTGTCGCGACATGAAGACTGTTGGTTGCAACCATAGGGTAGTGTCCCTGCAACGGTTGGGCACTCCATCTTGACTGTGTAAAGATTAAACAAAATTAAGTTAGCTATATACCTGTACTAGTAGTGCTCTTCAAACTCCAGGTAACTTCATACTATTGCCATATGTTGCTTTATACAGAAAACTCAATCCAGAATGGTAATTTATCCTCCCATACTAAGCCCAGCATTCTATTCTTTTTTCAATTTGGAAATTCTGGATATTTATCTAAACATATGGAAACATGTTGTACCATGTATAATTTTACACTTTAAAGGAGAAGAAAGGGTAATCAGGCCACATAAAATAAAAGTTGCTGGCCTTTACCTTCCTCATCCTCCGGATTGTAAGGATTTTGGCAATTTAGGAATAAATAAAAGGAAGAATGTAACATGTCAAATGGGCAATAACGAGAGGAGGAGGTAGACAAGGTTTTAACAGGAAACTTCAGCGATCAACCACATCTTGTTTAATTCTGCTATTTTTCTGAATTTGTCCTGACCTGTTGATAGGATGGCTGGGTTGCAGGCACTGCATTGTAATTGGCATAGTGGATGTTTGATTGAAGTGAATACCCTGGAAGTCTAGGACCATCTCTCATGATGTGAGAAATCCTGGCAACGCTCATTTGGAAATCGGCCACAGTTTGCATGGGAATCCAGCTTGACTGTAATGAAAAGCATGCTGGGTTAACTTTGAGACTATCAAGTGACATATCTGTACTGGCTACTTCAAAAAAATATCTTAGATATACAGAAGCAAATGCAGGGCCCCTCATCAAATTGAACCCATAAGGTTACAATAAGATGACTGAATCATTTTTGAGCTCAAGTTGAACTGAAACATTCTCAATTTGATTTTGCCATCTTCAGCTTAAAATGAACTCAAATCAATTAAATTAATCATACATCAAACAGTGGAACCAGTTAGCTATTTGAATGTATACATGTTTAATTGCCTATTATCACTTGTATTAACTTGTATTACAGAATTGTATCACACTGTAATATAACCATAGAGCGCTAATGGGTTCAATATTAAGGGTAGCCAAGCTTTAAATCTAAACGTATTCATGCATGTGGTTGCTCATGCAGCCTCTCTTTCAACCTAACAGTGCAAAGGTCATAGTGCAAATGTCAAAGCTCCCATTACCTGCTGATAGATGACGTTATTAGCGGCACCCATGGCTCTGTTGATATTATGACTTGAACTGAAATCAACATGTCCACTGTTTGTTCCATTGTCATAATACGGCGGTGCCATTTGGACTGTTTGAGGTTCAAGTTTAACGCTGGGAGTCCTATACCGCCAAGCATTCTCCATTGTTATCCCACAGCTATTCATATGTACATTGTCGGGGAACACCTTACTTGATCTTCACTGAAAATCAAAGGTAGACATTTGAATTTTAATACCAGTTATACAAAAAAATGGAGAAGAAAACGTTGTATTGAAGTACAACCAAATTGCTGGCTGTGTCCAAAACACTATAGTGACAAATCATGGCCTATCTTAAGGAATTTCTGTTATGACAAAATATTTAACATGTAGTGTGCCTTTTAATGGTTGCAATATCTAACCGGCATTACTGAGTTTATATGGTGAAAACAGTGTTATGCTCGCCCCCAACTAGGCCTAGTACTAGGCTATAGTCCCAACTTAAGCTCCCAGGATGTCACGGTCCCTACTTACTACATTTGGAACCAAGTTAGTTGGGATGGGCCCAATTTAAGTTGAGACCACTATATCCCAACTAAGTCTGGTTGGGGTGTATCAGGAATAATGCATTATTAATGCGCTCTACTTAGCCTACGTGATGGAAAATATATATCAACACCCTTATTTATTACTTACCTTCACTTATGATGCATTTTTCACCAGCAGGTATACAATTTTACTGTCCAATTCCAATAATTTGGCCATGCAATGTTATTAGGCTGAAAAACAAAATGGACTTTGCATGACTTGCGAACACTTTTTATACGCAAGTCCTCATTTATACTTTACTGCTACCATGCATGCAGGCATATAGGCCTATGTCCTACAGTTCGGGCGTCACAGAAAGGGTACAACAATGCCAGTTCGGTGAAAGCAGTAATCCTCTTTGAACGTAGGCCCTACCACTGCTAGCTATTCACTTCACAATCCATTAACAATAAAGCAACAAATCCTATAGACTAGCCGAGGTCGTTTGATGACAAAGGCAACCTGAGGATTAGCTCGCCGCAAGATCAGTCGCGGCGGTGTGATGGTATTGCCATAGTAAGGTATGTGCGGCAACTATTGCGCTTAAAAACTAGTAAAATCAAAATATTAAATCAGAACTAAGCAGTAGGCTGTGTCAGGCCATGGTCAGGCTGATTTTAATCAGTTAACAATTTCGGTTAAGCGCGCAAAAAATGGTAAGTGCATTTAAGTTATTGTGAATATTAAAGTTGCCCAAAACTGCCTGGCACAAGTTCCCAGACAAAAAAAGATCAAGCAATCGAGCTGACTTCAATCATGTTCACCAATAAAACAAAACAAAACAAGAAAACAGGCAAGGCAGACTTAATTTTACTGTTCAAAGCCTATTTTGTCAGCTGACATGAAAAATATACTTCCAGGGCACGTGGAGAAAATTGCAAGGGTTCAGCGCGCGCGCGCAGCTGCTGTATGTTGTACAACAGCGCCACCACTTGACACGAGCGCGCTGTCATAAATATGCTTCCGGTATCCAACCTTCAACTTTCAAGGGAAAAATCTGTCATTGTGTCAATGTGTGTATGATAATTGATATGAACGAACGGATATTAAACGGGCATGCAATTGCATGATGGGTATGGTTATTCCTTGTTTGGCATTGTAAAGAATAGTACTTGTGTCCTTTGTATTGTTTTCCTTGCTCCCTTCTGCAAGTTACACATAATTTCATGATTTTATTTTTATTTTTTCCATAGAGCTATATTAAATTAGAGCTCTAACTTCGTGTACAAAGTAATGCCTGCTGGACGCATCTATGTTTGTGCACAAACCTATGGAGACCTAGACAATTTGTATGGCTTTTGTACGGCTATTCGCATATCTGCGTTTGTATTCCATACCGGTGCGTTACTGAAGCCAAATACGCCCAAAACCGAAATGCATGATCAGCAAATGAGTGTGTCATTTTGCTCTACGCAAACAGCGCAACATGTGCGCGTATTCGCTGCAGATGCTTTTTGCCGTCGCGTTGTTTTTTTTAACCGTCAGGACGCGCTTTAAGTTGTTTGTGTATCTTCTACTTGCGCATTGCATGTAGAGTACACTTTCAAAATTTAATCCATCTAATTTTATTATGTTCATGATTATGTTCTACAAACACGCACATGAATTCAAAATGTCTGCGCCCAGGAGGGCTTCAAAGCGTCTCCGCGCACAGAATGACGAGTTAGCGCTCTAGTAATTTAATATAGCTCTATGGTTTTTACCTAGCTTGAGTAACTCCAGCCAGTTTTTACCCAGTCGTATGCCAAGACAGCAAATTAAATTTTGTGTTCAGTTGCAATATGTCAGTCGTTGGATTAATTGGGAACACTTCCATGTCTACTCAAACTACTCTAAAGTCTTGGCAACTTTGTAACTCACTGGATAGTGGATTGGGAAAGAGTTCCATCCTTGGACACACACCTGTGAGTATGGTCTGAAAATATCCAAGTGTTTTCTCAGTGAGTGAATGCTTAAATATTTTCCGGGCTGAATTTTTCCCTCATTTAATTTTTTTTTTTAAATACAGAAGGTAGGTAGATGAATGATAAGAATTATCAATGATTGATAAGAATCACTGAATGATAACAATTACTGTAAGTGTTTTGACCTGCCATTAACTGTCTGTATACACTCGTGATTTTTCAGCAATGCAAAGTGAAAGTTTTGAAGACACTTTTACTGGCTGTTGGGCACCCACCATCAAAGAAGAGGCAACAACCATCAAAGCTGAACCTGCTGACATCTATACTAGTGATGATGTCTCAGGTGCGGAACAGGCTAAGGCAAGCATGCCAAGCTCAGGCATGGATACAAACACTGTTGAGAATAGGACCATTGCAGCACAGGTACAAAGCAAACAAGGTTTTTTGAAGTCACTCAGAAAATTAGTTCTAAGAGCAACTCATGTTGAATAAATAAATTGTGATTTTAGAGAGGTGAACATTTTTTTTGCATTTTAGAGTTGTTCAAATCTTCTGACGATTTGGTGGTTTTTTTTGGTGACTCAAGAAAGACAATCTGAAAGGGTGACTTACATGTATCTCTTTTTTATTTTGTTTATAAGTTGATCAGTTTCTATGTTTTGGAAGGCATACATGTAGGAACCTAGAACATCTGTTTTCTGGAATGACACTCAGTCAGTCTTCGGGGGCACTTTTCGTGTATCCAAAATAGTTTGGAAATAAAGCTTCATGCATCTAAAGTAACAAAGGCTACAACTCAAAAAGTCCTAAAATCTATCAAACTACTGCAACATGTTAGATTAGATTTCAGTTGTTTCAAGACGGTTAGATGTGAGGGGGCTTTCATTGTTTTATTTGACTCCATAAAATGATATGGTTCTTATTGTTGCACAGGCAAGTTGGACATCTCAGCAACATGTCTCAGATGAGCCAATGGATGGAGCAGGCATGTTTGAGATTAAGAGAGAATATTCCGACAACTCTCTGGAATCACACTATCATTCCCCGTGTAATGAAGAAGCATCTGCTACCAAACCATCTCAGGTAACTTGAATCATCTTTTATTGCTTTGTATTTGCCATGTTGAATCTAGTAGCAATCAAGTATGGCACAGGATTAAAATATCAATAATTGGCCTGCCCAGGGCCAAAGACTACAGTGTTTATTAAAGGGCACATGTAATGTGATTGTTTAATGCAATCCTTGAAAATGCACCTTTGTGTCCCATTTAACCTTATTTTCAATTTTTATTTTGCCATTTTAAGGGCATTTTGGTGCCTATTTGGTTTTTATGCTTAGAAAAATTTCCATATTCATGAGCAAAAGTGTGTCATTTTAGGCTGAAACCTCAATGTTACACAGCTATTTCAGTACCAAAATTTGCCAGAATTTTTGATATTTTGCTTTGATTTTTTTGTTCTTTGGTAATTCGTTATTGGTTTAGTACATGACAGTAAACCAATGAGCAAAGTTTTCTCACAAATGTTTTCAATGAGCAAATTTTAGGTCACAATTTGAAAAGAAAACACCTGAAGTGAACAGTAGTGTTTTCCTGAAATGACATCACAGCAACAGCGCCCTCATTTGTCATTGAAAGCATGGGCAATTTGAAATGTTTTAAAAAGTACACTTTTCAATAATATTAACCAATAGGGATGTCAAATAATTTTCATAAAGTTTTAAGAGGAGTAGAAAGACGCACAAAAATATGTTCCGAAGTAAGATTCATGTCATGCCCTTTAAAATTTATTGTATGATTGATTTGTGATATTGTTTAATGATGTCATACATGTAGGCAAACTTGATGATGCATCCTCCAGTAACAGAGTATCCAGCCGACGCTGCCAGTGGTCTCCATCTCAAGACGGAGGATCCAGGACTTCAAGAATGTATTCATGCATCGTATGGTTGTCATGAGACTAACAGTTCAATGACAGCGATCCAGGAGAACAGATCATCTCCATTAGAGCAGGTAATAAGAACCATGTGTTTTTGACATACCTATTAGTGCTGTAGATTTATTGGGCTGCATGCCACTCATGTGCACATTTGCGTCAACGTTGCCTAGGTTCTTATGAACATGCCAACCCAAAGTGGAACAAAAATACCATTGAGAAATTGTTGTACTTGTGCTGCCAGTCTCAATGTGAAGGTGGCAGCTGAAGGTCTCGACTTTAACCAGTTCGCGCCAGGATTATTTTGACATTGACCAGACCTAGGCCTGGGATTGTTTTCACGAACCTCGATGCCAGATGGGTTCAGGCCATCATCTGCGGGTAGCACACCCTGATGTTTCTGGCCTCGCTAGCTGTGAGCGGGTCGCAGACAGATATTTCTGGCCTTGCTCGTTGCATGTTTATCCGTCATCCGTTCCAAATACCCCAAAACTTTTGTGTGTATACATGTCATCCGCATGAACTGTTTAAGTTAAATTTTGGTAGTGATATATATGAATTTACTGGAGATTTTTTGATATGGAAAACGGCAAATTCAGTTCCGACGGTTCACTGAGTGTCAGTCGGCCATCTTGTAAAAGATGGCAAACAACTCGAAAATGCCTTCTTCTTTTCCGCTAATCTTTGCCATTTGTTGGTGGCTATCATTCACTCCCACTTGCACAAATATTCCCAATGTTTGCTAACATTAGAGCTGTTCACATAAATGCACTCCTGGCTACATTGGCTAGGTTTCAAACTTTGGTTTATGAAAAATTATGTTGCATAAAGTGAGCGACTCTGTGACCGTAGACCTTCCCGAAGAGTGTAGATCTTCCAGAATTGGGATCATGGAGGAAAAAAGCAGTGGGGAAGGATAAACGGTAGTTCTTGAATTTTAATCAAGTTTTTTTTATATTACAGTCTAGTTGGACACCCCAACCGTCAGAGTCAGCAGTAGATTCCACCATCTGTCCGAATATAAAGACAAAAGATTCGGTGCTCCCAGAGAATTTGCCTCAATCCAATGAGTATCAACATGCTCTGTGCGATGGAGAAATACCTGCTACTCAACCATCATATGAACAGGTAATGTGAAATGCCATTCATGGCATACATTGTAATTAACTAGCGAGGAGATTATAAGTTATTAAGCCTCATGCATACGTACAAACCAAACATGCTTCTTTCATTAGTCAATGGTCCAACTGGGAGCAAAACAACTACCCTATGCCATAGATGTTCTATTGCCCAACTAGTGAGTACTAGGGAACAACATGTACATGTAGGCCCCGAAAGATTGGCTCCTAAACTCATCACTATTTTTGTAAGGCTACTGGTGGCACTGAACCTCCTTGTTGAGCAACGGAGAAGCGATCACATGCATCATTTGGTGGGAATGATCTGATTTCCCATTTTTTTGCCCTAATGAAAAGAAATATGTACGAGTTGTAAATACACAAATGCTACTTTGTTTGTGTGAAGAAGTGCAAAATTTACTGGGCGATTTTTTTCCCCTTTTTCAGATTATTATTCAACCCCTACCCCTTTGTTTCAAATCCTGCCTGAACAATTTTGTAAACTAAATTTTAATGTTTAATTCACCACATATAGCTGGGTTAGCGTAAACATTTCTGCTCATTTGTGTGCCTCCAATCTAAAAATTATGTAATTAATTCCTATAATCATGATATTGATGACTCTTACTTTTGTCATTCAAATGAGGAATCAAGATTGTTTTCAAATCAAATTGAAATGACAAATATCCCATATTATTTTTTTTCTTGGGAAAGGTATTTAATGAATTGTAAGTACATATGTATAAAAGTTGTAATCTAGTGGTTTGTTTTGATTGCCTACTGTAACAGGATTCTTCACAGCAGCCAGTGAAAATGGAGACATCAGAGGAAATGATGTACAACGACGAACATGAGGAGTCTGACAGCATTGACCAATCAGAGGAAAGCATGTTGATGACTGCTCAATATGGCTGCTCTGTTGCCATGCTAACGGATCCATCGTCAGCTGGTCCTTCGAGTGCCCAGATTGGAATCGCTACCCTGCATGCAGCCCGACCTCAGACTCCCACGAGCTTGTCCTGTCCAACTTGCAACCAAATCTTCTCCTGTAAAGATTCCCTTCGTTCCCATGAGGAAATCCACTCCGTCATGCACTGTTTCATCTGCAACATTTGCTCGAAAACATTCACCAAGAAATGCTATCTGCAGAAACACATCAAACGACACTCAAGAACTGGGCAGAGGTTTCCATGCACTACTTGCAATGAGGCTTTTGATACCAGTTTTCATCTAAAAGAGCATGAAGCTACAACTCATAACAAAGCATGTGCATTAACTCCAGATGACCAAAATGTTGCAGAGAATGCAGACACTTCGATTGTAGAGAGGCCATTTCAGTGTGACCTTTGCCCTTTAAGATTCAAAACCAAGAACACCTTGCATTCACATCGAGAAGTCCATGCCACCATTAAGCCATACGCTTGTAGCAAATGCGGAAAGGATTTTATAAGGCAAAGAGGTCTCAAAGATCATGAACAAACTCATAATTCTGATGGAGTATTTAGATGCGAGAAGTGTCCTGAAACCTTCCGAAACTTTACGCAACTTAGATTGCATCGACGGAAACATTCAAAGCTGCCACAGGATGCAGTTCAACAGAATGTTCCTGTAACCCTTGTCAACAGTGACATGCAAGTTCCAGGCGACCAAAATGCTGCAGAGAACACAGACACTTTAGTTCCAGAGAGGCCATTTGAGTGTGACCTTTGCCCTTTAAGATTCAAAACCAAGAACACCTTGCATTCACATCGAGAAGTCCATGCCACCATTAAGCCATACACTTGTAGCAAATGCGGAAAGGCTTTTATAAGGCAAAGAGGTCTCAAAGATCATGAACAAACTCATAATCCTGATGGAGTATTTAGATGCGAGAAGTGTCCTGAAACCTTCCCAAACTTTAATCAACTCAGATTTCATCGACGGATGCATTCAAAGCTGCCACAGGATGCAGTTCAACAGAATGTTCCCGAAACACTTGTCAATAGTGACATGCAAGTTCCAGGTGACCAAAATGTTCCCGTTAACCTTGTCAACAGTGACATGCATGTACAAGTTTCAGAGACAACAGAAGTTGTTGGCCAAAAACAAACTTGTTTGAACAACAATGAAGCGTTACCAGCAAACATATTATCCCATGCAGAAGCAGTACCTGATATGAACGTTAGTAGCACTTTGGCAACAAATCTAGGAAGTGCTCCCTTTCCCTGTTACTATTACCCTGTAACCATCATGTACCCGCAAGTTCCTAGCGTAATAGCCGTTCAGAATCCTTTAGGAATGCCATTTGTTTGCTTCCCTCATAATCAGTCTTACGGATCCAGTTCCATTCTGCCAGAACAAATAAGCAACAACCTGATTGGCAACAGTCTGATTGGCAACAGTCATTCATGTGATTTGTGTGGTTGTACTTTCTCTGATATCGAGGAACTAAATACTCATCAGAAAACTCACGTTCAGTCAGCTGAAAACCTTGGCAACATTGACACATCAAGCCCAGAGACAACAGAGTTTGTGGGTCAGACACAAAATTCTGCCAACTACAAGTATGAGTTGCGAGAGCGCAAATTGCCCCATACATGTACTGAGCCGGCACTTGATTCAAACAGTGAGAGCACTCCGGAAGAAAAAGCTCTGGAAATTGAGAAGCTTGGCTACAGTCAGTCTTGTCACTTGTGTGGTTGTACTTTCTCTGATATCGAGAAACTAAGTGCTCATCAGAAAACTCACATTCAGTCAGCTGTTCCATACACGGCAACTGATCACGCTCATCAGGAGGTCTGTACGAGCAGACATGACCTCGTTGATGAGCAACTCCAAGTGCATACTCTTGATAAATCGTCGCAATATTCAGTCCTCCGTGATGAAGTTCATAGCGACTTGATCCCAGAGAGGCCATTTCAGTGTGAACTTTGCCCTCTAAGATTCAAGAAAAAGGACACACTGAAGTCGCACCAAGATGTTCATACCGGTGTAAAGCCATACGTTTGTGGAACATGTGGTCGAGCATTTGCCAGACGATCCGCTCTCCATGATCATCAACAATCACACAATCCTGATGGGGTATTTAAATGTAACAGGTGTCCTGAAACCTTCTCATGCTTTCGACAGCTAAGAGTCCATCAACGTTTACATCCAAAACTGCTAAGGAATCCAGTTCATCAGAATGTTGCTGAAAACCTTGGCAACAGTGACACATCAAGCCCAGAGACAACAGGGTTTGTGGGTCAGACACAAAATTCTGCCGACAACAAGGATGAGTTGCGAGAGCGCAAATTGCCCCATACATGTACTGAGCCAGCACTTGATTCAAACAGTGAGAGCACTCCGGAAGCAAAAGCTCTGGAAATTGAGAAGTTTGGCAACAGCCAGTCTTGTAATTTGTGTGGTTGTACTTTCTCTGATATCGAGAAACTAAGTACTCACCAAAAAACTCACATTCAGTCAGCTGTTCCACACACGGCAACTGATCACGCTCATCAGGAGGTCTGTACGAGCAGACCTGAACTCGTTGATGAACAACTTCCAGTACATACTCTTGATAAACAGTCGCAAGATTCAGTCCTCCATGATGAAGTTCTTAGCGACTTGATCCCAGAGAGGCCATTTCAGTGTGAACTTTGCCCTCTAAGATTCAAGAAAAAGGACACACTAAGATCGCACCAAGATGTTCATACCGGTGTAAAGCCATACGTTTGTGGAACATGTGGTCGAGCATTTGCCAGACGATCAACTCTCCTTGATCATCAACAAACACACAATCCTGACGGGGTATTTAAATGTAACAGGTGTCCTGAAATCTTCTCATGCTTTCGACAGCTAAGAGTCCATCAACGGTTACATCCAAAACTGCTAAGGAATCCAGTTCATCAGAATGTTGTTAAAAACCTTGGCAACAGTGACACATCAAGCAAGTTTGAGGGTCAGACACAAAATTCTACCGACAACAAGGATGAGTTGTCTGAGCACAAATTGCTCCATACTGAGGCAGCACTCACCCTGGAAGAACACCTTCTAGACATTTATCAATTTGCCTGCTTTTTTTGCTCCCGAATCTGCACCCAGCCTTCTGTTCTGAACCGGCACATAGCCCAAGCTCACAGTTCCTTAGAAAGCCCATTCCTTTGCTATGTCTGTAATCAGTCTTACAACACCACAACAAGTCTCAGAGAACATGTGAACTACCACAGGAGAGGGAACAGTTTCAAGTCGTACGATTGTGCTATTTCTGACGATAAATTAAAAACTCATGAAAAGACCAACAATCAGTCAGCCATTCCATCCGCTGCATGTGAAAACGTTCAGAATGTTAGTACCAACAGTTCTGAACTACACTTAGACCAGCAACTCCTAACAAACACTCTTGACACATCACCGATGCACCCAGTGGTACTCATAAAAAATCATGAAGCCACTCCCTCAACTGCGGGCAAAAGCGGTCAGAATGTTTGCGCCAAGAGTTTTGAGCTAGATGAGCAACTCCCATCACCTGCCACTCTTGACAAACTTTTGATGGAATCGATGAAACTCATGGAAAACTCGGACGAGATTCACAATCAGTCAGCCATTCTGTCAGCTGCATCTAAACACAGTCACAACGTTTGTATCAGAAGTTCTGAATCTGTAGATGAGCATCTCCGAAAAGTCACATTTGACAAGCAATTCATGGATTCTGTCAACCGAAATGTTGACCAACCCGACGTTCCTGATGAGAGGCCGTTTCAGTGTTCCCTTTGCCCTTTAAGATTCAAAAGGAAAGGAAATTTGCGCACCCACCAAGAAGTTCATGCCGCTGTGAAACCATATGTTTGTAGCACCTGTGGTAAAGCTTTCATTAGGCAAAGGTCTCTCAGAGGACATGAACAAATTCACGACCAAAATCGTGTATATAAATGTAACAGATGTTCTGAAACATTCTCAAGGTCTCGTGATCTTAAAATTCATCGTAAGATTCACTCCAGACCTCAAAATGATGGATGTCAAGAAAGTGTTGCAGAGGAACCAGTCAATAAAGACACACAAAGCACAGAGAGACCACATCAGTGTCATCTCTGTCCCTTAAGGTTTAAAAGAAAGGGCACGTTGCGCTCCCACCAAGAAGTTCATGCCACTGTCAAACCATACGTTTGTCATAAATGTGGTAAAACGTTCACAAGAAAAAGAAGTCTTCAAGATCACGAACAAATTCATAAGGATGGATTATTTAAATGCGAAAAGTGTCCTGAAACCTTCTCTCGATTTCATCATCTTAAAATCCATCGTAGGATGCACTCCCGACCCCAACAGGATGGATGTCAAGAGACTGTTGTTGCCGAGAAGCCTGTCAATAAAGAGACTCAAAGCGCAGAGAGACCATATCAGTGTCAACTCTGCCCTTTAAGGTTTAAAACAAAGGGTACATTGAGCTCCCACCAAGAGGTTCATGCCACAGTTAAACCCTACGTTTGCAACACATGTGGTAAAGCATTCGTGAGGCGATCAACTCTACAAGATCATGAGCAAACTCACAATCCTGATCGAGTTTTCAAGTGCAAGAAATGCTCTGAAACGTTTTCAAGTTCTAAAGACTTCAAACAGCACCGTAAAATGCACCCAAAGCCAAGTAAAGTAAAGACATTTCGCTGTGACACTTGTGAAAAGGATTTCCCAACACAACGTGCCCTGGTGAGGCACGGCTACGAACACACACAAGTGAAACCATTCCAATGTACGCAGTGCAGCAAGGGGTTTTTGTATGAGAAATCTCTCCAAGTTCATCAAAAGACCCACTCAGAAGTGAGGACGTACAAATGTCTCCTATGCAAAGATAGGGCCTTCTACACCCGTGTTGTGCTTGATGCACATATGAATTACTATCATAGCGAAAGCCACGACTTGAGACTGTTTGCATGCAACTTGTGTGACAAGAGATACCCGAGTGCTAGCTCCTTGGCATATCATGTGCTCGTCCACAAGAACCTGAAGCCGTTTGCCTGTCACACTTGTGGCAAATCCTACCGCTCCAAGATGGCTCTCAAGTACCACAAGAAGTACCACACTGGAGAAAAGCCTTCATTTTTCTGCGACATCTGCAAAAAGGGCTTCCTTGCCCTCTTTTTTCTGAACCGACACAAGAGAGAGTCTCATTCCCATCGTGACCGGTCGTTCTTGTGTCAGTACTGCGATAAAACATTCACACACAGTGGTCGGTTGTCGAGGCACGTTGCTATCCACACACGAAAAAATGTACTGGCCTGCAAGATTTGTGGCAAGACATGTCTGCGCAAAGACAATCTCAGGACACATATGAAAGTACATCGTCCTGGTCGAAGGAAGAAAACAACACATAGTGATTCTGATTGAATTCAATTAAAGTATAATTCAGGAGAAATCAGAAAACTGTTGAAAAACACTACATCTTAAGAAACATACTTTCATGCTCGATCTTAATAATGAATTGTTTTGTCTTCTAAACTGTGCCCCGAAGAATTGACATATTCGTGTAGCTTCTATTTGGCTTGTTCCTCATTGTGACAACTGTTCTACAAATTAACAGACATTATTTGTTCTTTGCCATCATTTTATTGTCGTTATCCCTAAGCCAATTCCATTGATGTATTTTCTTCAAGTTTCTTGCCACACGCTGCCTTACTCTAGAATCCCCTGCCTTCATACTGTTTTCCACATACCAATAACCTATCTCAGTTTCAGAATGCACATCTCTCACATTAAACTTAATCTTCTATCGTTCACTTTTGGTCTGTTCTTTTCCTCACCTTGAGAGGCCTTTGCGCTTAGTGACGGGTGACTTGCAAAGAAAAAACCAACAGCATTATCCTCTGCACTAAATGAGATGTCAAACTTACAGAGGATGACTCCAACATGACACTGTGGACAAACCATCTTGCTGTGCATCCTAAGTGCCTTAAATTGATTATATTATTAATGAGACTTCATAATTACAGTGTTTTGTTTATTGAATGTGATGTTTTCTTAAAACCAAAACCATATGTTTCTAGTACCATTCTGTTTTTCCCCCAGAGAATGCAAGTGTTTTATTGGCATTGATTAAGTTCTTTGTATATTATTAGTTCTTATATAAGTGACATTCAGATCCTTGTCATTTGATTGGTGGAACTCACATCACGTGACATTTGTTATTGCTCCCATTCACGCCGGGGCTCAAAAAGTCCCATTCGCCCATGGGGAATGGGAAATACTTTTGAACAGTTAGGATCATTCTTGTTCCATGACGCAGTATTTGTGTGCAAATGCATGCTGGTGTGCATGTTCAACATTGCGGGTAGCACGTATTGTTCCAAAGAGCCAGCGCTACCGAGTTGGGTTCAAACATATTCGTGAAGGGGTGGTTTGGAAGAGAGAAATACATTTTCCACCCATTTTGTACTGAAATAAAAGTTCAAATATATCAAATTACAAGGATCTATATGTCAGTTATATAAAACAAATATTGAGTGGCTTTTTATTGTGAAATGGGAGGAATATTATCGCTCGGTAAAATCTGGACTTTTCCAGTTCACTCGGCTTTCCCTCATGAAATGGAAAAGTCCAGATTTTACCTTGCGATAATATTCCTCCCATTTCACTCTGAGCCACTCAATATTTGTATAATATTTGTATAGCATACATGTATTTCATGAAACAGGGTGGTTTTGGTATTTTCTATTGAATTACTTAAATCTTAAAAACCTTGTTGAATATGCTGAGTTTTGCAAATGTAATTTTAAACAGGAACCTTAAAATAAACTATTTGGATTTTCAAAATATGTGATGTGTGGATTTCAAGACCTCTGCAGTAGCACTCCCCTCACTCACCCCCCCCCCCCTCTCACCATTGCCTGATGCTATAGTTCCGCCCCTGTGGTGTGACCAGCTTCATTAAAGGCCATAGGATCATTTGTTTGTTGTACAGTTGTTTGTATACGGCAGACAGATAGTGCCACTCAATGAGTGTGAATATATTTTTTTGGTGCGTGTGAAAATATTTTTTTTGTACAGCGGCCGCCACTTATTATGTGGCGGCCGCCAGATAATAAGTGGCGGCCGCCACATAAGTCGCCATAATAAGTGGCGGCTGCTGTACAAAAAAAATATTTTCACTTTCTTATGTGGCGGCTGCCACTTGTTATCTGGCGGCTGCTGTACAAAAAAAAAAAAATTCACACGCACCAAAAAATATATTCACACTCATTGAGTGGCACTATCCGTCTTCCGTATTTGTAAGACTTCTCCAAATTTAAGAAGGATGCATGAACAATGTGTAGGGGGGTGTTTCCCTATAACCACCTCTTTGAATCTGATCAGAATTGTATAGTTGGCAAAGCATCCATCAGGAAACAGCACACCATGGTTAGTTCCTCCATGGTTTGGGGCATGGAGCTTTTTGGGGTTTTTTTGGGGGGTGTGGGGTGGGGTGTTTTGTGGGGTGGAGAAATCCTTTGTGCGTGACGTCACCTAACATTTGCTGCTGCCATTGTTTTCTATGGATTTTTTTTTTGGGGGGGGGGGAGGGGCTAGACATAAGTCTTGGAGGGTTGGGGATAAAGCCCCCCCAGCTCCCCCGTATAACCGGGCGCCCCCCCCCCCCCCCCCCCCACCGGCCCCTCGTCAAAAATGCGATGGGTCTGCCGATTGAGGGCGCTATTTATCCTGTCATGAGAGCTAGGAAACAGAGAAACATGGCGCCGAAGAGTGGGAGTGTTTTTGCAACTTCGCTTCAACATTTAGCTCGTTCCTTGTCAAATTTAGACGATCCACCATGGGAAAAGGTAAGCAGATAACAGAAATAGAGGGGATTGTCGCCCCATAAATGTGGCCAATTTACTGTATTACCTCCTTAAATAAAGGCCACACTTCCACCATGTACAAAAACATGTCGAACTTTGTCAAATTTTGATTTTCACATTTAGCCTAGGCTAGCTTAGTTTGTAGTAATAAGTAGTACGGCCTACTAGTAGTATATTTTGGCAGTGTATATTTTGCCGGAGACGGCAAACCTTTAGTAAACGTTAGTTTGCCGGATATGCACTGAACATGCGCAGTTACTGTTTTTTTGTAGGCCTACTTAAACATTTTCCGGTGACAAGTTTTAGTCTGGCTCCATGCCAAAATTATCGTTGTTACCTCGTATTCACAAGATGGGATTCAGACCATTTTATAATTTCGGACTTTATTTCCCTTTTAAAAAAATTCCTCCAGAGCCACAAATCTGAAAAAGAAAATGTAATACTCTGCAAAAAATGTTTGAGACATGTTAAAATAATAAAAGAAGAATATTCTTATTTATTTGGGGATGAGAAAAAAAACTTTAAAAATAAAATGTGATACGGTCGGAATCGAACGCGAGTCATCCCGCTTAGTAGAGCCTTTGCTTAACCATTACACCAAACGTGCTACACAACTTTTGCTTTGGTGGGAATTTAATACATCTTATAATTCAGCCCTATTTTAAAGAGTACCGCGCCCTCTGTTGACATGGATTGCCGCCGGCAAACCTTTAGTAATCGTTAGTTTGCCATCATTACCTCCGGCAAAATATCCACTATCGTATATTTTAGCTTAAGAAGCATACTCACCCTCTTTATAGGCTAATCAGATAGTCCGAGTAACTTGGACCCAACTTATCGCCTTTTTGAACATTTGGACATGGTCTGGCGATAGTAAGGTCCAAGCTAATACCGCGACCTGGACAACACAGTCCCAAAAACCAACATTTTCCAACAAAAAAACATCAGATTTCACCTTCAAAACGGCCTCCAAATTACTAGATATGCCACCTGAGGTACAAGTAGACATCGATAATTAAGATGGTTGTACTGAAGTTTACTTACGATCCGGAAAAAAGTGAAATTTTCCGTTCATTTCGGAGAGCTCCCCTCGCGATCTTGAACACGTTAAATTTCCGATCGTGTTTAATGTTTGAACGACGCGATTTCTTCTACATGCCCAGCGTACATTCGATGGTCCCTGTATCCCGATTGCGATTCCGTTACCGAGCGCGCGCGATGCATCAATTATGATAATGAGTAGACTGGATCACGTTTGTAAACACATGTGCATTTCAAACGATAATAGGGAGTCGGGAACTAGCGCAGCTTTTATGGCGGGTACCAGTTCAAGCTGGTTCCCGATTCCCTTTTACAGTTCGAAATGCACATGTATGTGTTTACAAACGTGACTCATTATCAAAATCGATGCATCACACGCGCTCGGTAACGGAATCGCACATGGGATACGGGGACCATCGAATGTACGCTGGGCATGTAGAAGAAATCGCGTTGTTCAAACATTAAACACGATCGGAAATTTAACGTGTTCAAGATCGCGAGGGGAGCTCTCCGAAATGAACGGAAAATTTCACTTTTTTTCCGGATCGTAAGTAAACTTCAGTACACCCATCTTAATTATCGATGTCTACTTGTACCTCAGGTGGCATATCCAGTAATTTGGAGGCCGTTTTGAAGGTGAAATCTGATGTTTTTTGTTGGAAAATGTTGGTTTTTGGGACTGTGTTGTCCAGGTCGCGGTATTAGCTTGGACCTTACTATCGCCAGACCATGTCCAAATGTTAAAAAAGGCGATAAGTTGGGTCCAAGTTACTAAATCAGAAAGTGCTGTCCTTTTCAGATTTTCGTGAAGTTTCATGTTGAAATTTTCCATATAAGAAGTTCACTCAACACCCTGTGTACAAACCCTATGAGAGTGGACTGAAAAATTCTAAGTGTTTTCTAAGAATTTGCTTGTATTTTCTCACTGCTCAAATTGACTTTGATGACATGAAATTGCTATCTGGGGGCTTGTTAGTCAATACAGAGGAAAATTAGTGAACTTCTTATATCGAAATCTTTCCCTAGACTCTCCATAGACTTTGTACACAACCGCTGAAGTAGCGTCAAGTTGCAACATTCTTTCCTAGGTTAGGTAATCCTTATCTTTAGGACATCTCTATTTTTACGAGTTCAGTTCAAAACTGACTTTTGCAGATGACTGTCCAGTACCAAAGTGACTTTTGCAGGCTAAAGCAGTCTTTTTTTTTTCAGATAAACTCATGTTAGTTGTAATTTTGATTTTGAAAGCACTTTCAAAGAAAATGTGACTTTCCTACCTTTTTTGCAGTTCACCATCTTGCTTTTTAAATATATTTTCTGTTGTCATCGTCGTCTTTAACCCCTCATAAATAAAAGCCCTGCCCTCTTTCCACAAAATTAAACCTGCTGATGTTCAAGAAGGTGTCATTGCCAACTGTTCAAATGTGTCAAGAAATTTCAGAATGTCACTTTTGAGTGTCATTTAGTCAGCTGTTTTGGTGAGTCTTTTAACCTTATATAGGAACGGGTCCTAAAGGTAAGGATTATCCTTTCCTAAATGACCATTTATTGACACTCGACCGGTCATGTCGGTAAATTGAATATTCAGAAAGATTCTTATATCTGGCCCGGTAGTGCTATGCAATCTTTGCCTACTCCTAGAACTATGAGGCTCCACTCATAGGTTCAGAACCCCGCAAAATTGTTGTCAGCACAAAACACTGATCGCTCGGAGCGCGCCGCGGGGGGTACGTACTTGCACTTGTACGCATGCGCATACTATCTTCCGCTCCTACACCATACCCCCCCGCGGCGCGCTCCGAGCGATCGAACCGAAAATGACTGCGATCATTCTGCGCGCGTGCACGTTTCAAGTGTCAGGTTGGCTCAGTGTGGAAAGGGCATATTTTTCATCATTTTTGCCGGAAAACAGACAGAATCCACCGATGTTTGTTGGGTGCACATAACATGAGTATGTCATGAGGTATTGTACGTACGGAGTTTAGGGGCAAACTGCAGCGGTTCTGTGGGAAAAAGCTTGGTTTGGATGGACGTTTTTGTACTTAATTAGTGTTTTGTACTGACAACAATTTTGCGGGGTTCTGAACCTATGAGGCTCCACTACGTGGAGCCTCATAGTTCTAGGAGTAATCTTTGCCTACCACAATGGCGACGCAGGTCAATGAGAGAGCCTTTATATGTATATCCTGATTTCCTGAAAACCCTTACATATATCAATACCATATATTTCACAGACTTGTGGACAAGACGGCTCACAGTTGTGACAAGATTTCATTTGTTTCTTCATCTAGGTCTATCAGCTTCAGCAGATGTGTCCCCAGCCAACCTTCCTAGGAACCAAGGGCTTCAGGATCGATCCCAGACGCCAAGATGCAGTAGCTGCTCTAGGAATATTCCTCCTGGAGTCCGATATGAAGGTACAACTCAAATCAGTCTATTTATGATTATTATTACTTTCTCAAAAGAAACCCGGGACTCCCAAAAGCTTATAGCTTGCTAGCCTGCAGACCTGTGGAGAAAAGACAATGAAGACGAGCTCATTTGTAAATGTCAGTAGGAAAACTCAAATGAAGTATTCAAAGCAAACTCATGAAGTCATTGAGGGTCTGAGCCTCAATTCCATATGTCAGTCTGGTAGAGATGTGAACCCAGCTCATACAGATGGAGGGCAAGGAAAGTATTAAATACATGTTCTACATGTAAGTCAACCATAGCATGTTCAACCTTAGCTCTCCGCTCAATTTTACAAGAAATCTTCTTGAAGCTTCTTAGATCCACAGCTGGGTAGGCAACCAATGGCACATTCCTTGTACTTTCAAGGGAAAGCGTGCCCCATATGAAGTAAAAGTAGCTTGGCCGTACCTTCCAAAATCAAGTCAAATCTTTTAAACTTCCTAGTGGATTTTGAAGATGGATTTGTTTTTACAATGACCTACTGTGTTCATCGATTACAAGGAGCTTCTCAGCACAACATTTGTTCAGCACAGAAAATATTTGTAAAGACAAACCACCAGCCGAAATTTCATGAGATGTTTTCTGCTTTTGACTGGGTCTTTGCAAGTTCATGAGCATCCATTGTGTGTCCGCCTTTAGAAATCACCTCGCCTTCCTGAACCCTAACTGCTTAGATCCTTTTTGCTAGGAACCATCAAAAATCCTCCAAAATCTTCCAAAATGTTGCACTTATGTTCAAATGAAGGATACCCAGTGCCTCAATCTTTTAAAATTGTCAGACGGTCCTGCCTCAAAATATGCATTCATCCTCAATCTTCCGAAATCCTCCTCCTTTTCAAACACCATTCATCCTCAATCCTCCAAAAACCCTAATGTTTTTTTTCCTCAAACACCATTCATCCTCAATCCTCTAAAATCCTCCCAAAACCGCCATGAGAATTTTGGAGGATTGAGGTGAGTTTCTTCAATTTGCAGTGCACTCAGATATTGTTCAGCAATTTGTAACAGAGCTACACATTTTGTCGTTTCTGCCCACAGTACAAGGAGAAACTAGTTCCATATTTGATTGATTTAATGAGAGGACTAGCCTCGGCGCAATGGCAAGAACAAACAGGATACAGAGCCAAAGAAAGTAAGTCAAGTCATCTCCCAAATCTGTCCAAAATTCCAGGTTTCTTAAGTCACCTATAATTTCTCGAAGACATACATGTAAAAGCTGTCACCAAGCAACTGTCATGAAGGTTATACATTTTGAAAAGAAGCATATAATTAGCACCAAAAATATGTCATTACTAGTGTGTACATCTACATATGAGTTTAAGTATAAAGGGCAATTTTGTCAGTGTGGATACAGACAGACAGAACAAAAACTTCAAGACCTTTAATGTCACAGAGCTTCTCATATAGATTGCTGTTTTTGACATCCTTTTTGTAATTGTTTTTGCAAAACTGTGACTTCAGTGAAACTGTGATAAATTGTAGCCCCATTTAACAAATTCTTAAATTTTTTTAAAAGTATGGATAACAAGAGTTCAGAAGCTCGGCTGAAATCTGTAGAATTTGTTTTGTGTTAAAGTACATTATATCTTTGCAAGATTTTAAGGTGCGTGGATCATATTTCTTTCATTTCTACAAATTGTCTTTCCCTCCTTCTGTAAAACTCCCATGCGAATTATAAAACGTCCTTCTTCAAAGCTTGAATGGGTTGTGTGATCAATCAAATTGAATCCAAGTTGCTATCAGTGATGTTTTGGCTTTAAATAATGAAAAGAAAATTTGAATATTAACTATTTTAGTGCAGTTTTGTTGTTCTACAAATACTCACATAGGAATGATGCCTAAATTTCTTAAAATTTAACATTTCTGTAAGGTTTGCCAATGAGTGAAAACTACGCATTCAGTCTGACAACACTGCTGACTGACATTGCAGTTAAAGAGCCTTCCTTCAAGGAACAGGTAGGGAGAATTCTTGTTAGTCTGTTTGGTTGTCTGTTTAGCTGTGTAGGGAGATACACAGTGTCAATAGACCTTGAATGCTTGAATTCTTTATGTATTTGCTCCACTGGTGAAATAGGGCCCTTTGCAAGCTTGTCTTTGAGCAATCTTTTAGAGCCTCCTTTTTGTTGGTCCCAGTCATGCCAGAAGGCCAGCTTAGTGTACTCTTTGTACCTGTGTGTAACTGACTTAACTGACTGATTGACTGATTGTCACTTGTGGCTTAGATTGGTTGTATGCTAATAAAGTGAGCTGGGCAGTGCTATCATATAGGATTACGCTGTAATGCCAATGAATGGGATGCATGAAAAGACTTCCAGTCAATAGCCATTCTGAATCAATTGAATAGAATTGTGTGCACTCTGGGACCAGCTTTACTGGACTTGTTTTGTCTGTTAATCAAATAAAGGTATATTACTATTATTTCGTTGGAAACTCAAAAACTTTATTTTTGTATAAAATGTATTTCATTCTGCTTCTTTCTGCTAGGGAATAAATCCATAGTTGAAACAAATAATAATGGTAAAATTATTACACAGGCCAATTTAGTCATGTTATTCTGTCTGATCCGGGATCTCCCATTTTCCCCAATTAAGATAATGTACATGTACATCTGACTGAGGATCAAATGATTATAATCACGGTACGCTTGTCGAGTGCTTGTCATGACCAAAACATCTAGTCTAGTGGTTTTTTTTCACTCTCTCTATTTTTGTCAAATGCTCCATAAAATTCCCTTTTTGACTCAAATATTCACCTTTGAGAATTATTTGAAGCTCCATTTTTAAATCACATTTTGCCATTATGCACAATGTTTGTATAACAAGACAATTTTTGAAAGAACTTTCAAGAGAAATACCTTGTTCCTTGCACACTGCAGATTTTCTTTTTTTCCTCCATGTTCTTGACAAATCATGTCTGATTTATTGAATTTCTTGTAGATATTTACCTGATATTGACCCCTGCTCGTATAATTGTCGGATATAAATAGAAATGTTTATGGCAACTGTCGTTAAATAAATAACTCTTACTTGGTAATTAAGTGCTCAAATAAATAGTTTATCAGATTCCAATCTTTCTCACTAAACGGATAAAAAAAAAAAAAGGTTACAATTTAAATTTTTAATCTGATTATTTATAAAACAAAGATCTGAGAAAGTCCAGACCTGAATATATCTCTATGCTATAGGTAATACATGACCAATGCTGTAAATAGGTTAGATATGCAGTCATTGTGAATGATAAATATGTCCATTTATTATGTTGGCATTCTGAGCTGTCAGTAAATCCCATTAGCTGTATGCATTTGTCATTATCTGTAAGCAGTGTGTATTTGTTTCACAGCATAAGATGGTGGGTCTGTGCATGTAGTCTACATCTAATCAATACAGACATTTTATGCACAGATTGCATTGCACTCTGTCAGACTGTTCAATTTTAATATTTCCTCAAATAGTTGTGTTATAATACTTATACATTTTGGAGAGGAAGGATATATTAGACTTGGCAAATTTACTTTTGCACTTTCAATATTCTTGTTATGGAGAATATAAAAGATTGTATTACTGGATAGGGTTAAATACTGTTCAATTTTTGAAAAGTTGCTTCTAATGAAAAGCAATGATTGGTCAATTGTGTACATGCACATGTACATGTATGTCAATAAACATGTGAAATTCCTTGTCCTTAAACAGTACAAGTGTACATGTATGTACATAGGCTTGAGATGAATTTCTAATTTATATGCATTAATGCGAGGCATACTGGCAAAATGAGACAGAACTGGGCAGAGGTCGAAATGAGGGTTTGCAGGTATTAGGAAAGAGAATACAATTCTCCTTACAACACCTTCTGTTGCACTTCAATCAGAACATCCATTGAGAAGTTATCCGTGTTAAAGTTTACGTTTATCGACATGTCAAAAAAATGAAATACTGAGAAAAAGGCCTTTAAAGTTTTGAGTTTTGCATTTGTGAAAATGAAAGATGCAAATTGTTTTTCCTAAAAAACTGTTATTCCACGATTTTATGCAGTTTCTTTAAAAGATGTTTAATAGACACCGCAGAGATTACAGATCTATCAAGAAATCTGCAAAAAACCACCCCTTTTGGGGGTTTTTTGGCTGCATTTTTCTTCACTGCAGCCTGTACCAAGTTCCATCTCATTTTTGCAAGAACACCTCACGTATAGTTTTAATGGACAGAAATTCAACTGTTCATTTTGTGAAGTCACGCATCGCCACCGTCCACGCTGTCATACACGTGTAAAACCAATTATAAAGCAGTCATCGTTAATATTACATGTACCTGAAGTAATGAAATGAAATTGCTGATGCATGACATCATGGCTTAACCCTAAAGGGGCCGGGGGGGGGGGGGGGGCGGAATCGGCCCCCCCCCTCAACATTTTCCGCGATAGCTTCTAAAAAAATTTTTTTCGCGACCCGAGCTGTTATGACTTTTTAGCCTCGAGCTTTGCGCATCTTTTGATACCAAAAACATAAAAATCGGACCATGGGTTGGCCCGTAGCGAAAAATTTTCCGGCGCTACGCGCCGTGAAAACTGAATTTTCGCATATACGTCGTGTACACCGAGCAGAATTGCCATTCATACATATGAATAATTAATTAGCCATAATTCCAAAACCCTTTGACCTATAGTCATGAAATTTCTTCGGCATGTTTAGGAAGAGTTGCTCTATGCATGTGCTGAGTTTCAAAATTTTTCGTCACTCGATGGCCGAGATCTTGGGGGGGGGCCCCCCCCCCCCCCCCCCCCCCCCCCCCCCCCCCCCCCCCCCCCCCCCCCCCCCCCCCCCGGCTGAGAGATGGTCAAAATAACCCGGCCCCTTTAGGGTTAAAGGGAGTGTCTGTCAGTATGGTAAGAATTTGACAAAGTAAGCTACTTACACGTACCCAATAAAAATGGGTGGGCATTTATTGGTATGCATGTATTTAAGTATACTTTCTAGTTGTAAACAACCAAATTGTTGCGTGATACAAAAATGCTTGGGATAGTGCTACATGTACTGTAAATTATTTCATTGGTAATTATCATAAATTTAGTAATAAACATTCTCTGAAATCTGACTTTGTTCATCCATCAGCCTCCTAGATCCTTCACAGTGTGTGATTTTGCAGGATGGACATGACGGAGTAATATACATGTAGGCCTGCATGGAAAACAAAGTCACGATCAATTTGCACATGTCTTGAAGCCCTTGAAACGAAAGTGGAGCCCCGTGGTCCAATGGTTTACAGCATTCGACTAACGTGTGATTATGTGGTTTTAAACCTTGATGGGGAACATGGTGTTTGTGTTCCTGGGCAAGACACTTTACTACAATTGCCTCTGTCCATCGAGGAGTATAAATTTAAGCACTTTAAAAACACCAGATTATGAATTTTTGAGCTATCAAGTATCAGAATGGTTCTTTGAACATTTTTTTTCTAGGGAGTTAGGGTTTACACTACAGCACTATCGTTGCTTGTGGTTTGGCCTGACATCAACTTTTAGAAGTTTGTATTGACTGTTTCAGATTCTGACTGCTCAGTTGGATGCATTGCAGGCGTTATCCAGACAATGTTATCAACTAGGGGAGCCATCACAAGGTATATTCATGTGTAGACCGTTAATGTTTGTTTACCATTTGCCAAGTTGCGATCATATCATTCATATTTTTGTCAGAGGATGAAATCAGACACAAAGATCGCTTGGGAGAAATGAACTAACAAAATCAATCTTGGGGCTTCACGTGGAGAGTGTGAGAATGTACTGTACTTATGGTCCAACTTTGTTTGTGGACAATTGATAAATAATCTGAAGATGCACAATGCCAAGAAGTAATGTCACCCTTGCTTTCAGTTTGTTGTCTCACAAATGCCTTCTTTTTAAAAAACATTATTTCAAAAGGATTTGTTGACGAGCTTTCCAATATTCAGAACCATTTTTGTACATGTATGTACAGTATGTTGAATTTCTTGGCTTATTTTTATATACATGCACTGATGAAAAGTGGTGATATTAAAGGGAACATAAATGAAACTAGACATATGTTTGTGGACAAACATAGGGCTGTTTCGGTAGCTTTTTGTGACATGTGACATGTGTTCCATCAACGAAGGATGTGTAGTTCTGTTTATAATAAATGGTGGCATATAAATGTAATATGTGATTCCATTCGCATAGGGCTTTGAAATATGACGTCACATGTCACGTGATGACGTCATGATGACGTCACATAAAGTTTCATCTATTACTATAATATTATGGTAAAGAACAACTAAGACATAGCAAACATCGTTGAAAGCAAGTTCGCGTCTTTCACCAATTTTAAATTACAAAGCACTTTCGGTTTCAACCAGAAGAAACGGTCACGTGATTTATTTGCACATATTTTAAAAAATGAAGACCCTCGATACCTAATTTTTTTCTACCTATAACACATCCCGGTCTAGCCACATACCAAGTTTCTACCCAATCAGACTTACAGTTCTGTAGATATAGGACTTCATAATATGCACGTAAATTTTCAAAAATCAATAAAAAAAATTAGGTGATGACGACATCATGACGTCATAGTCTTGGCATAATTTTTGTATGAGGGTCTTCCTTGGCTGTAACATTGATGACGATTCTAGATCGCCAAGTTACAGAAATGGTGGCTTGAAAACGTGTACTAAGTCAATGGGCTAACACGTGTACAAAGTTAACGGGCTAAAAACAAAATCCCACTGCAGAAAAATTGCACCTTTAAATTTGTAATTTGCCTTTGAACTGAAACATTTTTATGAAATATTACTTGATATTCTGACCCTTAGGAATATGTTCAATCGAATGACAGCGCGAAAAAAAATACGATTTCTCTTTCCTTCTCATAGTATTCTCGGCTGAAGTTCAGAACTACTCAGTAAGATATCAGTGTTGTATAGGAAAAGACTTGTGGAAAATCCCACTGCAGAAAAACTGCACCTTTAAATACGTAATATAGGGCTTTTCGGCATTATGATTTTTTATTATACGTCCCTGACTATGCGCATGCACGAACATAAAATCTGTCAAAGTTAGCCGAAAATCGGCTAAAACGGTCACTGTGATATGATGTGGACAGGATTTGACCTCTCCAAAACGTGCTCTGCAGGCTGACTGACATTACATGTACGATGTACATGTACAGTATGTGCGTAACGTACTGTACGTGTATGTACATATAGACGTTCTGTGCATGTTTTAGAGCAGATGTATTGTCAACCTGAAGTTTTAAGCGTGCGCAGGGCATGTCCAAGTTCGCTTATTGCCTTGAAGCTTTGGAATGTGTTAGACCTACCCTTAAATCGACAATTAAAGTAAAAACTAACATAAAAACTGCCATGGTTGATTTTTCAGGAATTTTCAAATGAAAAAGGGTCTTTTTATTATAACTTCCGGTCTGATGACGTCATTCGCCTAAAACTTTGCACACGTCTTAAGTGGGTCAAGGTCATTATATACACCAATATTTCAGCGATTCCGAACAAACTTCGCCACAGACATCTATTCAAAATACATTTTTGCAAATTTTCAACCTGTCGCTAGAGGGCACTCGAAGATTGCATGACGTCATTGGTAGATGATTTGAAGAATACTTTCAGCCAAGAGACTAACACTGTTAAAAGCAAGTTCATATCTATTACCATTTTCAAATAATAAGCCACTTCCGGTTTTGGCCTTTTTCGACCGGAAGCAAGGGTCACGTGATTTCACGCACACTGAATGAAATAAAGACCTCAACCTACTCTACCACTTGCAGGTAACAGAATGCTGCGGACGCGTACGGTTGATTTCTTATGCATTTTTAAATATTAAAAGTGTCACAATTTAATTGCCTATAAATACACACCGGATGACGTCATCATGACGTCATCATTATACAATGTTGTTTGAATTAGGGTCTTTGCTTGGACAAAGATTGGTGCAAATGAATTACTGGCAAAGAGTCAAAAATGCCCTTTGAAAATCGACAATTTTTTTTTCGATTTCTGTGTACAAAGTCTATGGGAAAAATTAAATATTCAAAATTCTATAATAAATTAGTCGATGACGTCACGATGACGTCAATGTTCGGCACACAACTTCAGATGCTGGTCTAAGTGTGTGCCAAGTATAAAGTCAATCGGATTGATTTTAATGCCCAAAGTGCCGGTGACAAAAAAACGTGTACAAATGCTATGGGCAAAATGACTGAAAAAGAAAAAAAAAAAAAAAAAAAACTAGAGATGAGTTTGTGGACAAACACAAGCTGTTTCGGATATTCGAAATACTCTGTGCACGTCATGAACAATCAGTGACGTCACTAAAAATGTCATCTATAACAGCATATTATACGTACATGTCAAGTTATAACCAAATCGAAAATGTAAGTCTGTAAATATAGGCCTATAAAGAACAAAATGCCCCTTTAAGGGACGTCACATGACATTTGATGATGACATCACATGAATTTGTCTATAACCCATCTCGGCATTGGTACGATCACGAATTTCTTCTAGGACCATCTGTGGGTGATAGTCTAAGTGTGTACCAGGTCTAACGTCGATCGCATAATTTACAAAAGTGCCAAAGTAGAGTGTTTTAAAACGTGTACAAAACCTATGGGGAAAAATGCATCTTTAATGTGACGTAACCCAACACCTGATGACGCCACGATCACAAATTTCTTCTTGGACCATCTGTGGGTGGTGGTCTAAGTATGTATTAAGTCTGAGGTCGATCGCATTTATGAAGGTGCCAAGGTGGAGCGTTTTAAAACGTGTACAAAACATATAGGGAAAATGTGCATCTTTAATGTGAAGTAACGTGACACCTGATGACGTCACGATCTCGAATTTCTTCAAGAACCATCTGTGGGTGATGGTCTAAGTGTGTACCAAGTGTAACGTCCATCGGATTTACAAAAGTGCCGAAATGGAGCGTTTTAATACATGTACAAACCCTATGGGGAAAAATGCATCTTTAATGTGACGTAACCTGACACTTGATGACGTCACGATCACGAATTTCGTCTAGAACCATCTGTGGGTGGTGGTCTAAGTATGAATTAAGTTTAAAGTCGATCGGATTTACGAAAATGCCAAACTGGAGTGTTTTAAAACGTGTACAAAACATATGGGGAAAAATGCATCTTTAATGTGACGTAACCTGACACCTGATGACGTCACGATCACAAATTTCTTCTAGGACCATCTGTGGGTGGTGGTCTAAGTTTGTACCAAGTCTGAAATCAATCGGATTTAAAAAAGTGGCAAAGTGGACTGCCAGAAGAAACGTGTGTTAAACCTATGGAGAAAAAGTCTGAAAAAGGAGAAGAAAAAAAAAAAGAAAAAAAAAAAAGAAAAAAGAAAAAAAAAAATCTTAACGAAAACAAGAGCTGTTTCGGTGTGTAACCGAAACAGCTAAAAATAAAAATCTTAACGAAAACATAGGCTGTTTCGGCAAAAGTGCCGAAACAGCCAATAAGTATTCAGTTTGGTCCTTGTGAGAAAAAAAAGAAACAAAAATGAAAAATGAAAAAAATGAAAACAAAATGTGTTGAGAGAGGAATGTGTTTGAAAAGCTTGCTCCACATTTTAATATTTGGTGGTTTTGGGGTTTCTTTTTTCATAACTTATTTCTCCAGTCAAGCTAACCAATGTTTTATCCATTCCCATAGGTACATCATGTCATCTGATTGTTCCAGCTCTCTTTGGTATGGCCCGAGCTATTGGACGCTCAAGTCACACCGATGTCCCCTTACTGTGCCAACTGTTCCCCCCTCCCCCACGCAAATCCCACAAGCAGACCCCGTCAGACAAACCCAAGAAGAAACCCATTCCTCCAACCTACAGTACCTTCCGTCCTATTATCTCACCGACCATGAAACGCTACTTCCCGCCGGTCAAAGATGACCCCTGTCAAGGTCAAGGGTCAGACACAGTAGATGGCATGGGTCAAAGTTCACTGAGGATTCACAGAGACACAGAGTCTGAGAATGAGAAGCTGTATGGTTTTGAACCGAGTCAGGAATTGTTTAGTGTCGTTGCGTCGTCATTTCTCCTGCCTGCTGCAGTCAGAGATCAAATGAAAGATAGACGGAAAAATCAGTTGGAGTTCAGGACGGAGCAGTTACAGATCATTCTGAAAGTTGTAAGTTGGGGATGACGATTATTCCCTGAATTATGAATTATTTTTATCCCTAAGTTGTGTTTTCCTATAAACGAAATTGAGATTGCAAATTGGTTTTGAAGTACAAGCAAGAACACATTTCGAAAATTGTGAATAAGTCGTTACATGTACAGTAATACATGTAAGTCTTTCTCAAGTACAATCAGAGGTGCAAGTGGATGAACATTACCAAACAATGCTTTCTGCCACAGTTTATTTGAATAGTTTATGACTTGACTTTAGACTGTTGGTGTCTTCTGTTTGACTTGTGGTGACTCCATTTCAACTTTGATATTTGTAGAGCAAAGTAATGAACAAATTTCAACATTTGCAGATTTCTACATCCAAAATTCTTGTTGAGAGTCTAAGATTCCTTCTGTATGTTGCAAGAAGTACTGTTACCATATCTCTTAAAGGTCAGTTCATTCTTCATATGTATGCAAATGCAAAATTTGCTGGAGTTGAAATGTGTCCAATGCAAATACTTGCAGCGTAAATATTTGATGAGACATCGAAAAGGCCACATTTTTGTGTTCGCATTTGCATATACGTTCCCACCAAGTATGACCCCTCTTTACTCTTCAGAAGTCTTTACTCATTGAGAAACATCAGCTTTATGCAAAACAACATGAGTCTTTTTTATCCTTTCTCAGACCAAATAGTCATCTTAATGAAATGACTGTTTCCTTTTTCCAGGCCAAAATTTTGATCAACAACAAGACCTTAACCGATCTAGACAAGGCAGCCAAGATGTACTGTGCTCTGCCTTGGGCAAGGGACTTCCCCTATCAGTCATTCAGTGAGACAATTAGTCTGGTGCTTGTGCTGCTGCTGAGACATCTGCTGCAGTACAGTGAAGGTAACAAGACTTGGTATTCATTCATTCATATCATATATTTCCATATTTCTGAAAGTAACAATACATTCAGAGCAGTTCATGAAGAAGATAGCATAAAGTGAGTAATTAAAAAAGGATCAATAATTGAACCAAACCGTCAAAAATGTTCCTTTTTTTATTTCAGGGCTACCTGAAGTCTTAATTGATGGGGTCCAGTCTTTTGTCCATGAGATGTACGTCGCTGGTCAGACTAAGATTCAGGACAAGAATCTTGAGATGGCGATGAGATCTACCTGCGGTTACAACTCGTTTGAGTTGGCAGTCAAGGCTAACGCTACCTGTGTGGATATGCTGGTCTGGGCAGTCAAAGATGAACAAGGTAGGGTCAGAATAAACTCACATTGCATAAGTTAAAAGTGATCTAACCCAAGTTTTCTTCTTGGAAACGTGATGTTGTGCGTAAGGTTCTCCGGTTTACTGAATACTCATTGAATATCCAAAACTGCGCACATGGCAATGAAGGAAGGAGCTTGTTTTAAATAACCGCTATCTGTCATTCATTGTGGATATTGGGTGATGAGTTGACAACCTCTATTGTTGAATGTTTAAAGCAACATAGGTACATTTGCAGTTACCTGAGTAATAACTAACAATTTAAAAACAGAAACTTGCTCAAAGTGAAGACAGGACTGATGTCAAATACCCTGTGAAATCATTGCACCTACAAATGTGTTGTTTGGAAGAAAACTAACAATGAAGTTGGTTTCCAAACCATGTGTTAGCAACAGAATCCGGTTACGAGATTCCAAAAATTATGCATAAGTTTTCTGGGTTTTTTCAAAAAGTGAAACTTGAACAGGTTAGTTGTTATGCTCCATTCAGTTTTGTTGCTTCACATGAAAAAAAATACACAAAAATCACAGATGTTCTTTGAAGATGTTGGAGTTGTAGCATTAGAAAAAAAAGGAGGTCCTGGGTTCGTGTGCCTTTCCAAGCTTTCGTTTCCACCTTATATATGTTAGTCATTGTATGACATTGTTTGAGGGGAAAACCCTGGCCTAACAATCTTAAATCCTTGTAAGGCATTCCTTTGTCATTGCTCATCCCCTGTTTCTTGTGATTTGACTTCTGACAGACTTGAGACTTGTGATAGACTTTACAGTTCTTGGGCAATCCTGTTTTTAAGTTTCATTTCTGTGTGTATCTTGCAGGAGGTGATAGTCTTCTAGGACGGATGAATGAGAAGTTACAGGCCCCTGAGGGAACTCTTCATCTCCTAGCTCATATCCCACTGCTTCATTGTTGTCTGGAGGTAAATATTCTCCCCAAACAATTCACCGGGCTTGAGCCCAAAAGTTCAAATTAACTTCCTTAATGTATTTCAAGCATTGGTATTGAACAAGACAATCATCCAATGTGTAAAGTGGAGTCATTTGTAGCCTCTTTGACAATTTTTGTGATCTCTGACTAGGTTTTTACTTGCCTGTTTTTTTATTATTATTATTATTCTGGTTTTTTTTTTTTTTTTTAAACCACCAAGTCGGCAGCCACTATAATGTGTCTGAAGAGACCGGCTTACAATAGTATAACATTATTGATACATATAAAACATATAAATAAAAGACATTCAGCGTATGGTTTTTGCCCCTTTTTCTGCTAAAATATCTTTTTGGAATCATGAAAAGAATACCTGAAAGCCAAAATATTACCAATCAAAACCAATTTGCACAGTGTCACATGATTCCAATTTCCCAAACTACATTTAGTACTTACATGTATGTTTTTCTATATACACCTTTCAATTTGATTGGTCTTTGCAAGTCACCTGATACATCGCCATGTGACTGATATTCAAATGAGAGATCTCAACATTTGACTTGTGTCTCACTATTATGTGTGTCTGCAGGCCCACGGCACGTTGTCAGAGAAGTTCCCCCTCCTAGCACACCAGTCTATCAGTTCCCTTCGTGAATTCCTGCTCCAACACTCGCGCATCCTCACCAAACTACACAAGTTCTGCCCTAAAGAGGGCGGCAGATCAAAAAGCAGAGACCGGCATCACAGCGGTGGCAAAAAGGAGCCTACGTGCGTAGCATTCTCTGCACTCCGGGATGCAGCAATACATAACCTATGCAGGTAGGTGGCAGTGGATGGGTTCGATTTTAGACCAGCCAATGTCAAGTGCAGAGGAAAATCTCTGCTAATAGGATAATTAATGTGAAGTTTGAATCTAACTCGAGGCTTCTTTTAAAAGTAAATGTACAAGCCAGGACATCAAAATAGTAACTTATACACCAAATGCACTTTCTTAATATCAAGTTCCCGTACTGAAAGTAGAAAGCAAATGCTGTGTTGATATGAGACTGTTTTGGAGGAAATAGGCTTGCATCACCGTGTGCTTCAGTCAATTTTGTCACAAGATTCAAACTTTGTACATGTACGTTTTGAATATTTGAAAACCATTCAACCTTTTGTTAAACAGAGCTGGTTGCTGAAGTTTTTCATACTTGAGGAAAGAAAGAGTATTGGACAAATTCAGCACACGTTATGTGATATTCATGTAAGAAAATGGGTATTACCTGCAAACGAACCTACCGATTTAATGAGAAAAAATAGCTCGGGGGGGGGGGGGGGAGGTAGGACTGGTAGCAAATACGCTGTGAAGTTATTCCCCTGAAGTAAATAATTTTGGAAGGTGGTTTTAAAAAAGTGTGCCTCTTTTTTTTTTTACATGCGTTAGCAAAGGAATTTAGTTACGACACCAAACAAATTGTGCATATATTTTCTTAAAATGTATAGCATCCCCTAATCTGAAACCTCAACAGATTAATTGTTGAGCACCCTACAGTAAAATTTTGAGCAATTTTTTTTGGCTTCAAACAAAAAAATTCACACAAAGCAAATGATTATGTGTACTTTAACTGCAAAACATTTTTGTGAATTGATATGTTTTCAGGTCGTTGCGGGCCGGTCTTCAAGAGAACCCCAACTGTGTCCAAGCCTTTCTTGCCTCTGTCTCCAACATGCTGTACCTGACGGAGACGGGTGTAGAGAAACTAGCCATGAAATCCCACAATGCCATCCTGACCTTGGGTCACGTTGCCGTAGCGCTGAAGGACATCCCTCAGACTATGGAGAGCATTCAGCAGATCTTCCAGCAGCAGTTCTGTAACCCGGCGTCTAAGCTGGATGAGGCGATTGTGGACATGCTGGGCTGTATGTTGCTGACAGGACAGGTACATCTTACGTTTATTGATGCAGTAATAAGCCATTTGCGAATTAATGTCGAGCAACATCTGGTACCCTGACTTACTCGAATGCTAGACACATTTTAACTTTGAATTCTCCAGACCAAAGAGAGTGCTACTATATCACATGATTCGGGGCAAGCCTTACGCTAGCAACCCAGCTCTGGAATGGTCTGGTGTCTTTGTGCCATTCTCATCCATTGTGAACAATGTATTGGTGCTGAGCGTCTCTTACGTAACTGTGCAAGCGCTTGCCCCAAATCATGTGATTAGCAACAGTGTCTCTGGTCTGGAGAATTCAAAGTTAAAACATGCCAAGCGTTCTGAGCAAGTCAGTGTACCAGGTGTTATTCAAATTTAACTCGCAAAGGGTATAGGTTATTCACAAATGGCTTATTTAGGCTAATTTAAGTGTTCTCTGGAGTGTTGTTATTGTTAGGTTTGCCCTCTGCTTAAGTAGATGTAGGAGTGTTCCGTACTGTTAAAGTTTGTGTCTCATTATTAGAGGCTCAGGGATTAAAATCCTGCTGCTGGCTATACATTGTATCCTTGGGCAAGCCACTTCACCCCACTTGCCTCTCTGCCGGCGTTAGCTGGGGAGTAACCTGCTATGGACTGGCATTCCATCCAGAGAAGCGCACATTCTCAGTTGTTGTTACTGAGAAAGCTGGCTTGATGACCCACATTGGCTTATCAGGCCAGATGTTACTTCTTTTTTTTCTTTGCTTCATCTAAATCCTCATAGCCTCATTATAAAATTTTAATGAAATAAATCAAACTGGACACTTACAATGGTACGTGCTGGATACGACAAGCAAAATTATAAGCACAGAAATCACGCACATTGTTTTATTTAGTCTAATAACGGCAATTAATTCTGCATCCAAAGAATAAAGATACCTCCTTAGCATTACCGCTAGTGCTGTGCAATGGAACCAGGTATCCAAATACCCAACTGTTGTCAGGAACCGGTTCTAGATTATGCAGGCATGCAACTTTTCCTCGGATCAGCTGATTTCCCCTTTGTTTACTTCCCATGTGTGCCATTGAAAATAGAAAAATACTGTACAAAGTCTTGGAAAGATTTGATTTTCCTCTTTTTTGTGACTTCCCAGTTGCATGCCTGATTATGTGACGGGTACCCCTAACCAACTTGACAAATTATTTGGTAACTTCTCCGACAATGAAAAAGAATGGTTTTGAATGTCATTTGTGGGGGGGTTTCAAAATGAAAGCCAGGCAACAGGGGAGAATAAAACATATTTCACGATTATGACGCTCGCGACAGTTTCAATTTACACCGTAAAGCTATCAAGCTGACTGTACACACTTGCATCTTGCTGTATTGACGCACCGATGTGGTAGCATTATCTTGCTGACCTTCATGAACAATCTCAACATCAACTTCCGAGATTTGAATTTTGGAATTGGATTCTTATACCCGGGTACCTGAGTACCCTTTTTTTTTTTAAATCGGGTACCTGGCCAGTTCCCTTACTACCCATAAATGTGCACCCCGAATTACCACAATTTTTTTCTCTCACTGAACTTTTTTAAAACAATTTGTTTACATAATACTAACAAACTGATATTTTTTTTGTTTTTATGGCTACCATATAGTCTGGTATCTACCAGGAAGTGATGAATATGTTTATGCAGATCAGCGTAGAGGCTGGGTCCGCTGCCTATACTCCAGACAGCTCTGATAATTCCCACAGATACAGGTGAGTTGCTACGTGAAACTTGAATAGTATGGCACTACAATTCTTGTCTTCCCTGTCACAGATTTTTTGGCAGTAGCCACTTTTTTTCTTAATAGTAGTCTCCAATTTTGTTGGTTAATGTTTGTTGGAGAAAAAAAAATTAGTTTAATCCATTAATATTGAAATAATACAGACAAAATTAACAGTCTTGACTTCTGTCATCTCTTTCCAGGCATTGCTCATTAGCAGTCATGAACGCCCTTGCCAACATAGCCGGTTCCCTGCAAGGGGACCAGGAGCAGCATGAACTCCTAGTACGTCTCTTAGAGCTGTTCGTTCAGCTTGGTTTGGAAGGCAGACGAGCTAGTGAGAGATCTTCATTTGCCATCAAGGCGTCTAGCAGTGCTGGCAATCTAGGCATTCTAATCCCTGTATTAGCAACAGTAAGTTAGAGTCTTTTTGTATTTCAACAAGTTTAGTTACATTAAAACTGGCATTATTGAGTTTGAGAAAAAAAGCCAATATATGAGAAAAGCAAATGGGCAGAGAATGTTTCCTAGCAATTGAAAATGCTGAGGAATAATCAACTGAACCAGTCATGGCATACCCTTCACCTGCATAATAACTACTCCCAACTTACAGGGGTTACAGCCATTACCTATTTAACTGCTGCAGTTCATGAAAATCCAGCCTCTGGCTTTTAAATTTTGAGACTCTATTTTTCCTAGTCACAGTAGCACATATATGGCACTGCTTGTTTGCTGCCCTCTACTGAGCAATAGTGCATTTAGACTGCCATCACAATAATCACTGAGGATACAAGACTTCACTGGACCACAAAGGCTTAGTTTAAGACATTGTTTATGTTCAGTCACTCGGTGAGTAAGTCAGTTACTCAGTCAGTCAGAGGACGATAACCAATCATTGTGATTTCTGTTTGTCAAGTTAATGAGGAGGCTTCCCCCTATCCGTGACCCAAAGCCGAGGCTTCTGAAGCTGTTCCGAGATTTCTGGCTCTACACCGTTGTCATGGGATTTGCTGTGGAAGATTCAGGTAGGATTGACCAATCAGAGATGGGCATTATGTGCATTGTATGGTGGGAAATGAATTCTGCGCGTTCAGTACACGTGTGAATTCCTAGTGATTGAGTAAACATTTAAAATTTTGAAATTTGTGTGTACTTGTTTCAAAATGACACAGGTTTATGGCCGCGTGAATGGTATGAAGGAGTATGTATCGTTGCCGTCAAGTCGCCACTTCTTACATCATTCCAAGGAGAGCATCTTCGCTCACAGCTGCAGTACACCTCAGCTCTGAGGAACGATAGTGTGTCTTATGTGAGTCACTCAAGAACCAAATATGATGATGTGCAGTTACTATGCTTCGATACTCTGTGGATAATTTCTGACCCAAGAACCGAAATAATTGACCAAATGGTGACTTTAGCTTATTTACATGTGTACTCAAGATTTTTCCTCTTTTTTTTTTAACACACCAAACTTTATCTCAGTATCAAGCCAAAAAATGTTGCTGTGGTAAATTGGCATTCAAAGAAAAATCAACTGATTGATTTGACTTTTGATTTGGGGTCAACTTTTTAAGACTTGTAATTGACTTGTGAATGACTTGTAATTGGCTTGTGAGTTACTTGTAATTGGCTTGTAATTGACTTGTGATTGGCTTGTGAGTGACTTGTGAGTGACTTGTGAGTGACTTATAATTGGCTTGTGATTGACTTGTGATTGGCTGTTGATTGACTTGTGATTTTTTTTGTGACTGACGTCATAATGATTTTGGAATTATTCATTACAACTCAGTCATAAGAAGCTCTGTGTTATCCTTCGTCTGTCCTCTGCAGAATGATCTGAATGAGTTACGGCAGACCATCCTGACTCTCTTGCACTCCCCGGCTGAGATCGTACCCTACGTCAACAAGCTAGACTTTGCCCAGTGTACCTATCTCCTCTCCGTCTACCAGCTAGAGACGCTGCGTGTAATGCACGGTGATGCACCCAGCTTCTGCACAATGTTCGAGTATCTAGAAGACATGGCCATCATTCAAGACAAGGCAGGAATGTGGGATTGCCTGCTGGCTGTCTCCAATCAAGTCTTCACTAACTTCTTGGATATCATGTCCAACAGGGTAAGAAAGCAAACCAGATTTTTGTCTCTTAGACTGATCCGTCAGCCAAAATTAGAAGCTCTTATGCTAGGTTCACACAGTCCTAAATTATTGCCATGAAAGCCATGATCTATCCCGAATAAAATTCTTGATGGCATCGGGAGAAATTAGCCCGATTCGCTGTTTGTAAGAATAACTTAAGAATTAAACAAAAAAAATCAGGAACTAGGTACGAATTGGAAGCCGAATCAGAACGAGCCAAGCCGACTGATTGCGATTTAGTGCAGAATAAAACCAAATTGTAGCGATTTTGTCAAGAATAACATTTAGAACAATTAGAACTTCTGTTCTAACTGTTTGGCCTTGGATTGGATACGGACTTCAGTACAGCTCTACAGAAGAATAAAAAAACAAAAGATTTCAATTAATTATTTTTTTTACAATTTAATTTTTTTTATCTTTGTAGCCAAGGACATCTGATCGGGAGGCAGAGCTTGTTAGCCACGCCCAGTTTCTCCTGGTCAAGTTCAACCACATCCGTAAGCAGATCAGAAAGATTGCCGACAAGTACCTGTCCAAACTTGTAGACAGGTAAGTACTCCCGTGGCTTTGAATTCAGCAAATGACCGACCCATAGACCCGGCCACTACACACGTGGGCAGCAACATGTGTGGCTCTTCAATGCCAAACTGCTGTTCAAGCCGTGAGCATCATACGCACTTGCGCATATGATTGGTCAAAGCACTGTGGGGCAGGGCTTAATAGAAGGATCTCTGATGGGCTTGTGCCACACATGCTTGGAAAACTCTGACAAACATCCTAAACTCAACATGAAACTTAACCGCTTAGAGCTTGCAAGTTAACCTTAAAAACTGACAAGATTTTGCTGGTGAGAGCCAACGTTTTTATTTGTCTAGTTCAGGGCCCCCATTTTTCTTCAATCCACTGCCCTGTTTTACACTTGTGACCTAACATAAATAGTGCTTAACGTCTTTCTTATAGCCAAGCCTGATGGTTAGTCCCATCATTTAGAAGACCACAATGGAAATACACTCTTAATGGCATTTTTAATGGTACCAAAAGCACCTTAGATATTTGTTTATATATTGTCTTTATATTGTCTGTGTGAGTAATCCATGGTTTTTGTACAAATGAAATTACATCTCAAGACTTTGTTATGTTCTGTTTCAGGTTTCCCCATCTATTGTGGAATGGCAGCGTCCTGTGCACCATGCTGGACATTCTCCAACTCCTGTCGCGCTCAGTCGTTGGTAACAACAGACAAGAAGCAGCTATCTTCTCGGTTCCCAACACCAAATACAACTTAACAGTCTTGGATACCAGTGATGCAAGAGAGGTAAGCTTTCAAACTGACACAGTTCTCCAATTCAGTGCAACAATTTTGATTTTCTGCAATTCAGTCAAGGTAGATCAATATTAAATACATGTAGATGGTGTACATGTAGCATGTTGAGATTATTCATTGAAGCACTAAAAGTCTTTTCCATTGGTGAGAGGTTCAAGTCAATTCCCTATCTCTTCGAATAATGATTTCAAACTCTCCTGCCTATCTTCAGATTATCATGCGTGATTTCTCAGCGCGATGCGGCGGCATCTTCCAAGAAGCAGTCAAGTGGGCTCCGTCAGTCACGCGGTCCTTAATCCAGCAATACTTGATCAATCTGGAGAACATTAACGAGGGATTGTCACAGCGTGTCAAGCTGGAAGCTGCTACAGAGGATGCACTACAGTGTGCTGGGTTCAGTAGAGGACCCATCAGTGGAGGGGTAAGCATTGTCTTATAAAAACTATATTAACTAAGATTTGTCAGGATTTTTTCCCCGATTTTAGGAAACGTTTTTTAATCAGGATTTTTCCTGATTTCATGATTTTTTGTCAGTATTTTCCTGATTTCACAATTATTTGCCAGGATTTTCCCAATTTTTGCTGTTTTTTTTCCTTCTGATTTTAGGATTTTAAAGGAACCCTTTGGAAATAAGGCATTCCCAATGTTTTGCTATAAAGATGTTTTACCATATACAAATTTATATAGAACAAAAGTAATGGCTAATTTAAAGGGTGCCTTGAAGAAATACAAATATTTATCAGAGGCCAATTCGAACACAATAACCATCGCTGCTCTCATAGGTACCCATTTTACTCATTTGCAGGGAGAAGTAAGTAGTGATAAAGTGTCTTGCCAAAGGACACATTCACTGTAATGTAGCCAACATGTTTAGGGTGGTTTCAAGTTTTGGGGTATTCTGCAATTTCTTCATTAATTTGATACAAGGATTATTCCTACTGTTATGCAAATTGATTTTGTGGATGTGCGTTCTGCTCATGTCTGAGTAATGTACTTTTTGTATACCTGTAGGACGTTCCTGTGTACTTCAGTAATCATCACATTTTGAGTAATATACTTTTTGTATACCCATAGGAAGTTCCTGTGTACCTTCAGTAATCACCACATGTTATTGTTCTTTTAGTTGTCAGACAGCATGAAGGGTGATTCCAGTAATTTTGTCTCGGCAATGACGCTACGCAGCAGGTTTACTGGAGAGGTAAATTTTATTCAAATCAAGTCAAACGCAAAAGAAACAAACAAAAATAAAACAATCTATTTCCTTCCCTTTTTTATGCCCCGCGGCGAAGCCGAAGGGGCATACTGTTTCCGCCTTGTCCTTCCGTGGGTGGGTGGGTGGGTGGGTGGGTGGGTGGGTGTGTGGGTGTGTGTGTGTGTGGGTGGGTGTACAGGCATTACATTCACTGTGTGGACTTCCGAAACAAAAACACTAAAGGGAATCATAGAAAAAAATTGGGTTGAAAGAGTTTTCACAGTTTGAGAAAAATGAGTTTTTTCACTGGTTTTTCTTAACTACACGAAAGCAATGGAAAGTCCACACTTGGTATGTAACGTAAACTTGTGTGTGTGGGTGTGTGTGTCCGGACAAATCTTGTCAGCGCGATAACTTGAGAAATACTTAACATATGAACTTCAAATTTGGTTTGTGGATTGTCCTTGGTAATCCTAAAAAGCCTTTTGCATTTGGGGCCGAAAGGTCAAGGGTCAAAGTCACAGTGGCTGAAACAATAGAAATTTTGTCAGCGCGATAACTTGAGAAACACTTTACATATGAACTTCAAATTTGGTTTGTGGATTGTCCTTGGCAATTCTAAGAAGTCTTTTGCATTTGGGGCCAAAAGGTCAAGGGTCAAGGTCACAGTGGCTGAAACAATAGAAATTTTGTCAGCGCGATAACTTGAGATATACTTTACATATGAACTTCAAATGTGGTTTGTGGATTGTCCTTGGCAATCCTAAGAAGCCTTTTGCATTTGGGGCCAAAAGGTCAAGGGTCAGGGTCACAGTGGCAAAAACAAAAGAAATTTTGTCAGCGTGATAACTTGAGACATACTTTACATATGAACTTCAAATTTGGTTTGTGGATTGTCCTTGGCAATCCTAAGGAGCCTATCGCATTGGGGGTCGAAAGGTCAAGGGTCAAGGTCACAGTGGCTAAAACAATAGAAATCTTGTATTTATTCTGAGATCATAGGGATTAGGGATTAATTCATATAAAACCTACAGAAGACACTAATGCTGTCAATGAACGTTCCATTTGACCAAGGTACATGTAAGTTGGTGTTATGTCATGGAAACAGTCACGGTTGCGGGGCATTTGTGTTTGTAAACACACCTGACTTGTTTTAAATTATATTGAGATGATTCCAATTTCTTCAGTCTAACATTTAACCTTTGATCATTGACCTTTGACCTTTCAGGTGTCAGGAATGCAAGCCATCTACATGCATGCAGGACCAGGCGGGCTGTCTCTGTCCAAAGTCTTATGTGATCAGCTGATTAAGGCTTGTCAGATGGGCAAGGAAGAATCGGTGACGAGCGGCATGTTTAGGGTCTGTGCGCTGCTCATATCAACAGAAGGTCAGTCTTCACCAAGGATAGAAACTCGCTTAGCATGGAAACATTGTGCTTAGCAAAGTCAGGGTACCAGCCAAAATACATCTGTTGTGTACTGCATGCAACTGGTTCCTCGTTGATCTTTGCTTAACAAGAAAACTTGCAAAGTGATACTTTGAAATTGACTTTCAGGGGGAAATTTTTTGGGAGCATCGTTAACAAGGAAACTTTGTTTAGCTAAAAACAATCTGTATCACATATATTGAAGGGAGTAACAAATCTTGTTGGGGGCATTTGCTCAGTAAAACTTTAATCTCATTAATTTAGATGATTGTATTTAATATCAAATATTTAAGATTTAGTCATTCTAATAAAGTAAGATGTTAGGAACTTGACCTATTGATAACAATGGTTGTATGTAGAATTTTTTTATTTGGATCTACCAACAGGCTTAGACAGACATTTACTGCACAATCTGTGCTGGGCGGCAGTCGGTGTCTTCACCCTACAGTCTATGGAGACTGCTGTTGCATGCTGGGAATGGTTATTGGCTGCACGACCTGACCTGGAAATGCACGTATGTAGTTCAAAAATTAATGTGATGTTTAAACATCAAAATCAGAATTTCCCAGTATGTTTGAAGAGAAGCCATGAAAACGGGACCTTGTATTTCCATGATTTGGCCTGCATGATTTGTCAACCAAACTCATCAATTATTTCGTTTTTGTTTTGTTCAACTCAGTCCAAAGGAGCAGAGTCTTAACTCTAACCACTAGAGTGATTTACTAGGAACCTTCCTCACTCTTGCAAAATCCAGCACCATATGGTAAACTCTATACCCAAACTGTTGGACACTGATTATGGTGGTATGCCTGACCCCATGTAAAGCATAAACAGTTTACTAGTGCAGAACTCACTCACTCCAACAGAATCCAACAAAACATGCAGTTTGATTTTGAAGAGTTGGGGTGGTTTGGATTAATTCTTTTCTTTTGAGTGGTTTACAATTTTCGTTTATCCCAGTTTATGCGTGAGATGGCAGCGGCTTGGCAGATGACAGTTGAACGTCGTCTAGGAATGTTTGCCCCAGACCCTGACCAGCCCAGCCCCCTAGCAGCAGCTAGCGGGGAGGACGTACCCCTCCCAAACCCACCAAATGCTGCACCTCATGATAAATGGACACAGGTAGGATCCTAGATAGGCTTGAAATGTTTGCCCCAGACCCTGACCAGCCCAGCCCCCTGGCAGCAGCTAGCGGGGAAGACGTACCCCTCCCTAACCCACCAAACGCTGCACCTCATGATAAATGGACACAGGTAGGATCCTAGCTAGTCTTGGAATGTTTGCCCCAGACCCTGACCAGCCCAGCCCCCTAGCAGCAGCTAGCGGGGAGGACGTACCGCTCCCTAACCCACCAAACGCTGCACCTCATGATAAATGGACACAGGTAGGATCCTAGCTAGTCTTGGAATGTTTGCCCCAGACCCTGACCAGCCCAGCCCCCTAGCAGCAGCTAGCGGGGAGGACGTACCCCTCCCTAACCCACCAAACGTTGCACCTCATGATAAATGGACACAGGTAGGATCCTAGATAGTCTAGGAATGTTTGCCCTAGACCCTGACCAGCCCAGACCCCTAGCAGCAGCTAGCGGGGAGGACGTACCGCTCCCTAACCCACCAAATGCTGCACCTCATGATAAATGGACACAGGTAGGATCCTAGATAGGCTTGGAATGTTTGCCCCAGACCCTGACCAGCCCAGCCCCCTGGCAGCAGCTAGCGGGGAGGATGTACCGCTCCCTAACCCACCAAACGCTGCACCTCATGATAAATGGACACAGGTAGTAACTAGAACAGTGTACAGCATCATAGAATATCATGGATTCACTAAGCAGAAACATATTGCTTAGCAAGTTTATATAATGAGCTAAAATCAGATAAAATCCATTCACAAATACCTAAAGTAACCTGATTACTCTTAGCGAATAGTTTGGTGCTAAGCATCCTCATGATCAGGGACACAAGATAAACTTTAGTTGTAATGATAAGCACACAATTTCTGCTATTGGAACTTTCACACATGGATAGGAGACTCCAAGCAGAGTGCACAGCAAAGAACGTGCTAACTTCATGGGCAGAAATTGTTTAGAGTAGTGATGTGACAATAGAATTAACTATGCGCATACAATGGGTGCACATCTACATTATGAAATATGCTCAACTTAATAGAAATGTGGTGGTATTGTTAAGTCAGTTTTTCTTCTTGCTGGTCTCGGAGTTTTAGGTAGAAGTTACAGCACAAAAAGAAGACTAAGTCATTCCGAAACCAAGAAAACTAGTTTAAATCTGGATTTAAGTGGTCCCCTGGCTCTCGTGTAAACTTGAGGCTAGGTTCCATTTTGTTAGATTACTTTTTGGAAAGTTCTACAAATTTTAGCAGCCTGTTAAGACCTGAAGGAAGTATGCTGGAACCAGGACAAAGTCTGGACTAGAGCTATATCTCAAGTAAAGGCTTTAGACAACATTTGCAGAGCTGTTCAATTTTTTTGTCATATGTGATCTCTTTTCAGTTCCTGGCCTCACGTATAGAGAGCGTCAAGTACAGTCAGATTGGCATCGTTGAGATCTTCACCACTATGCTTCATCGGTCCCTATCCATGCGCGCTGGTTCCCAGCATAGTGTCCTGTGTCGTCACATCGGCGCCATCGGGCCGCGATTCCGTCTGTTGTCTATTGGGTTGTCCTTATTGCAAGGAGAGACACTGTCCAATGGGACGGCTAAGAATGTACTCAGAGAGAGAATCTACGCAGCTGTCTTTGACTACTTCAGGTAAATCCTAGTAATCAAAGCTGTATCAACAGTTCTTCTAAGCCAACATAGAAGAAATTGAACGAGCATATTTCATTTGCAAGGAACCTCTCTCATCTCCCAATGTCCACTGGTGTGAACGGACCCATCATTGTATTTGGACATCAAGTCCCACATAGCGTTATAGTGCCTGGGCTCTACAGTGTTGAATTTATCAATCTATTGCAAAAACAGATGAAGGATATAGGAGAGCTTAGAGTTAGAGGCATATAGGATCATTTGCATTCATCCCAAAAGTAACCTACAGAATTATTGTCCAAATGCTAATACCTAGATTAAAGATCGCACAGTACTAAACACCCCCTGAAATTATTCCGTCTGGCTTGCTGTCATTAAGAAGAAATCAAGAAATGTAGGCGATTTTCAACGATCAATTGTTTGACTGATATTTGGAAATAAGAGTGCTATTGATGAAATCGTGCTACGTGATCAAAAGGTTGTGCATGGTTTTTCACTGCTTTCTTTAAAAATGTAATATCAACTGAGCTGAAACTTCAGCAGATTAGGTTTTGAACATTCTTTGGACTTTGAGTGGTGTTATTATTGGAAACGAACAAAATGCACAAAAAGCCAATTATCCTATATGCCTTAAAGATCTATAGGTAACAGAAAATGGGGGTTATACACATGTACATGTACCGGTATTGCAGTACAAGTTTGCAAGAAGCTATGAAATGTTTGCAAGAAATTAAAGACTGAAGCAATGATTATTGCAAGATAATGTTGAACACTCCATTTTGTGTTTTTGTTTCCTCCCAGCATGTTGCCCATGGTTCCTAGCCAGTCTCTGTCATTGTTGAAAGATGACGTCTCAACACTGCTCAAGTTCTTTCATATGGTTCTAGCAGAGAAGAAATACTTGAGGGTGTCCAACATACTGCCTCAAGGTGTGTTAACCATTACCCTCAACCCACGCATGATTCAAAATCATGTGTGAACGGCCTTGTTAAAGCCCAAATAATATATGATACTGTAGCTAGGGTGTTATGTCAGTTGGAAGGCTACATATTTCAAGTTTGATTAATTCAGAATCACTTTGTGGAAAAAAGGCTTCTTTTTTTCTTCCTTAAAAAGTATAAAAGCATGTCCAAAGAATTTTGGGTGGTAACATCCAATGTAATTTATACAGTACTTTTTGTTTTGTGCCAATGGTATGAAAACAAAGCCAGACTAACTTGATGCACATAAGTCAATACCAGTAATCTTCAGGCAAGTTATAACAAAGAAATTGAACAAAGAAATTGAAATCGCCGTTCCAGTGCTCTACCAACTGAGCTATCCAGCCCTATGTTGGCGGTTCCCCATTGTGTCAATGTCTTTGTTCAAGGGGCGCTAGTCAGACGCCATAAACCTGATTTTATTATGTAGCCAGCAATCACACTGAAAGTCGCAATGCTAGCAACATTGCTGCAAACCTGGGAAATAGCAAACGGGGATCACTCAGAGAGGATACATAGGGCTTTTGTTTGTCTCCATTTCTCACAGATTCCCCTGATTCTGGCACGTTATCTGTCCTACCCACGGACATGCGCGCCAGCGTGGACATTCCCAGCAGACAGGGCTTACAGCTGCAGGGCTGGATGAATACAACGCCACTGGGTAGTAACATGTCAGTCATCTCCAAGAGATCCTCAGCGGCTAGGAAGGGAGGTGACGTGGGTATGAAATACACCAAGGTCTACATGAGAAGAAGACATCTCATCATGTCCTTAATTGTGAGTCAAACTCTTCACTTCAACTTTTATATTATCAAGTAAAGCTGCAAAATATGTCAATGTGAAAGCTGATATGGTGGGATTTTCACAATCAGATGACATTATGTTGGGAAAAAATTCATCGTTTAGATTTTAATTTTTTGTTAGGATCAGAATTTTATGTCTGTGAATGTTATGTCATTGCTTAACTCTAAAGTAACTTACCTTGTGCTCAACTTGTAGGGGGGAAACTGAAGAGAAAAACATGGAATGAGCAACTTTAAAGTGCTTATCTCTTTGATAGAGAGATCTTATGTATTTCTGAGGCCCAAAGAGATAATAATATGTTTTATTCCCAATTGTAAAGAATCAGTGGATCGCCCATTCCAGAACCACCAAATCTTGGGTTCAGAAATATCCAACTTTACTGTTAAATTGCGCCAGCAGAACTCAACTGTGGGATTACTACTTCTAAAACACCAGGCTTTGAACAGAAACATAAACACAAAAGTATATCGTTCTTGGTCATTCAGAGTGTTTTCTTGTCGCATATTTGTGATTGTAGTCCAATGAGGTTGAGAGGCTGTGTACATGGTACAACCCCATGGACGCCGCGGAGCAGAAGATCCAATCAGAAGAGATCTTAGCCGGCTGGAGAGGGCAGCAGATTAACGAACGCAACTGGCGAGACTTTGTCCGATTGGCCTGGGATCTGTCACCTTATCTGGCTTGCTGCTTACCCAGCAGGTAGGGAAAATATGAAAACCAATTGTCATACAAGTCATTGTTGCAAAACAGGCTGCCATGGGTTGAGTGATTAGAATGCTTGCATTAGTGTTGTGGTCCCACAACAAACAAGCTTGTGAATTTCTTCGCGAGTTCTTGGACAGCACTGAATATACAGTGCTTTTACATGTACGTTGGTGAAGACTAAAACCAAATAAATATTAAGGTAATCCTTACTTTTAGGACACCTCTATTTTGTACGAGTTCTGATCAAAACTGACTTTTGCAGATGTCTGTCCAGTACCAAAGTGACTTTTGCAGGCTAAAGTAGTCTTTAGAAGTCAAGAAGGTGTCATTGCCAATTGTTCAGATGTGCCAAGAAGTATCAGAATGTCAATTTTGAGTGTCATTTAGTCAACTGTTTTGGTGAGTCTTTCCCTTCCTATAGGAACAGGGTCCTGAAAGTAAGGATTACCAATATTAACATGTGCCTGATACACTTAGGCAGGGGAAACAACTCATATGTGAGGCATTTTAGCAAAATGAGACAGACATGAGAGTTTGCAGAATTTAGGAAAGAGAATAATTTTCTTCTTACAAAACGGTTTATTGCACTTCAATCTAACATTCCATTGACAAGTTACGGGTGTTTAAGATTCATGATTATCAACATGTCAAAGAACTAAAATACTGAAAAAAAGGCCTTCAACGTTTCAAGTTTTGTAGTCATGAAAATGAAAGATGCCAATTGTTTTTCTTTAAAACCACTTTATCCCACAATTTTTATACTATTTCTGTAACACGTGTATTAGACACATCAAAGATTACCAATAAAAAAAATCTGAAAATCGAAAAAGTCACCCCCATTCAGTTTTGGGTATTATTTCTCCACTACGGCCTGTGCCTAGTTTCGCCTCATTTTGCTAGAATGCCTCTGATTTAGGCATTTCGTAAATACATATGTCAGGATTATATGACTTTGTCTTACTGGAGAAACTTAATTGTTCTTGTTTTATGACAATAAATTTAATAATTTCCTTAATCGAATCATTTGAAATCTGTTGCAATTTTTTCCACAGATTCAAGAATTCTGAAGCGTTGGTGCGAGAGGTGACCAGACAGGTCCGTCTGGATCCAACGACGGTCTGCAATCAGCCCTATGCAATACATTACCTAGTGACTGAACACAGTGTGGAGGCTGATGTACCAGAGGTATCATACAAATCCTGAAAATAAAACAAAATTTCTTGGAAAAAGAAAAGATTCTTGGAATTCCAAGTCATTCATACCAAGCCCTCATGCACAGAAAAACAAAAGTCAAGGCAACTTCACCATTCAGCAATATTCTCCTAAGTTCCATATTGCACAAATGAGGTCTGGAGCATATCGTCTGCTGAGTTTGAGGTTGTCGTCATTATTCCAAACTGAGTTGAATTTGTAATTTTTGGGGGCACTAGCAAGACAGGCTGTGTGTAATTGCACTAGGGCATGTCAATTATCAGGGGAGGAGGATGATTAAGTAGTGGAGTGGCATGATTGCTGGAGACAATGCACAGAAGAGAGACTTTGCACCCGCCAATGCTTTTGGCATCCTTTACTTATGCAGTACTAATTAAGCAATTGAGTGATTATTTTATTAGCTAGTATATTTACTAGTTTTGTTTTAAGATTTGTAATAAATAGTATTGAAGTTTTAAAATACCTTGTAAAGGCCAGTTTATACATTGTGTCATATAACACCAGTCACTAGCTTGTGTACCATGTTGTCTTTATTATTTTCACAAGACTTCGACAAAATGGGGAGCCGCAAACAAAAGGCTGGCTAGCTCAGTTGGTAGAGCACTTGAGCGGCAATCCGGAGGTCACAGGTACAAATCCATCTTTAGTCAATGTCTTTGTTCAAGTTTTTACTACTCTTGATTATTTTCAGTTAAGCTACGCATTGTGCTGGGCACCGGTTGCTCCTGTGGTGGCGCTGTCCTATTTCTCCAACCAGCACCCACCGCATCCAATCACAGCGCAGTATGCAACCAAGGTGCTTCAGTTCTATCCTCCTGAGGCTTTGTTGTTCTACGTTCCTCAGCTTGTCCAGGCGATCCGATACGACACGGTGAGTTGGGTTGCTTTTATTGTTTAGGTCAAGTAAAATAATGCTCAGCAAATCTACTTGGTTTAGTAATAGTCAGCGGGGAACCAGCCACAACCAATATGCATAGCATGATGCTTTGGCTGGTAACATGTCCTTACTAAGCAGATATTTTCTGCACTTTGCAAATTTGTGTGTTAAGCAGCGCCCTTAAATCGGCCTGTTGGGTTAAACATGGATTACTATCAATTCTAGGTGTTTATGTCTCTGTATTAACTTGGGTTGTGATTCCCACTTTGGTTACAATTCCAACTGAGGATCGGATGTGATTCAATTTTCGGTTGCAATTCCCACTTGGGTTGTGTTCCATCTTGGGTCACAATTCCCACTTGGGTTGTGATTATGTCTGGGGTAAATTTTCAAATGAGGTTGAATTTATCTGCTTCTGTGACTTCCCATTATGGTTAGGTCACAAATTTGTTAATCATAGTTTGAATAACCTGAGTGGAATTCAGGACCAGCGTTCTCAGGTGGCTTGCACTGCTGATTCTGAATAGTTGCATGCAATGCAATGTACAACTGGGAGGCATGACCTTTAGGTTTATTAGCTTGAAGGTGCAAGGAACATCATAATTGTCCACTAGTTGACTGCTCAGTGGTCTTATTTGGTACAAGGTTTTCTTTCCTATCCAAAATAGGAACTACAATGTACCTAACTGCCCTGATTTGAATTTTTTCATGTGGCCATATTCAGCCAATCAATAGCCAAGTCTAATACTGTTGCCTCCATCATGTCCTCTTGGTTGTGTTTGTCCTTCAGTTTGGCTACGTGACGGAGCTGATCACAATCCTAGCTCAGAAATCTCAGCTACTCTCTCATCAACTCATCTGGAACATGAAGACCAACATCTTCACCGATGAAGACGCAAAGAACAGAGATGGTAAGAATCAAATATAATCAAAAACTCTCTTGAAAATCTCTTAAATCTCATAATTTATTAAAATGTCAGTATCCATGTCAATACCTTATCCCCTTTTTTCTCTCATCCTGTTGATAATTACATGTCTATTCTCATTCCAAAATTAAGTTATTTTTTTCTTGCAGATGAAATTGCCGACCATCTTGAAACAATTATGGAAACCATCTTCAACAATCTGTCTGGACCAGCCAAGGCTTTCTATGAGAGAGAGTTTGATTTCTTTGGCAAGATCACTGCAATCTCCGGTGAAATCAGGTAAGAAAAATTAAAAAAAAACACACTTGCAACCCTGTGTATTTCTGTTAGATTTGTTCTTTTCTAGAAGTTCATTTGTTTTTCCATTGGAGCACTGTGACACCATAGTCTGGAACATCCAATTCAAGATCAGTAATTCTACTGATTGTGGGTTCGAATCCAACCAAGGGATTTTGGGGAGGATTGTGTCCCTGGGCTTGACACTTTTGATCATTCACAATTTTCAACTGAGGTGTAAAATGAGTACATGGTTGTGTTTGAATTCGCAATTTGCACCAAAATGGCAGCATGGGGGTGTATGCTCCTTGGGAGCTGAGATAGTCTTGGGAATGTTTTCTTGGCCCGATGAGCAGGGGTAATAATGATGGCTAGCTTTGAATGGGCTCTGTGCACAGGTACCCCCTCACAGCAAGAAGGGAGAGTTGGGGAGACCACTGGGAGAGACATTAGAATGCATTATTGACGACGTCTGATGCTCACTCAGAGACGCTATGGCTTTGTACACATTCAGAATAAAATTAGTCGTGCATACTTTGTGCTTTAAACAGGTTGTGGAATGCTCGAAGACATTTCCGTCATTTTCTGGTATATGTAGCCTAAGGTGTGATGAAATAAAAACGACTATTGTTTCTGTCATGACATGAGTACAAAGGGTACTTTTGAGAGCTATTTTTCAGGTCCTGTTTCGACCCGAACGTGCAATTTGTGTAAATGTCGTCGTTGCGGGCAGCAAACAAAACACAGTAAATCGTGACGTAATAAACAGGACTCGTTTATGCTATTCTGCATCGGGAGTCCTGTTTATTACGTCACGATTTACTGTTTTTTGTTTGCTGCCCGCAACGACGACTTTTACACAAATTGCACGTTCGGGTCGAAACAGGCATGACAGGACTTGAAAAACAGCTCTCAAAAGTACCTTTTGTACTCATTTTATGCCAGAAACAATAGTCGTTTTTATTTTATCACACCTTAGGCTACATATATCCGAAATATGACGGAAATGTCTTCGAGCATTCCACAACCTCTTTAAGCGTGCAGACCAGTGTGTGTCCTATCCACTGGGCTTTCTCAAGTGGTAGCAAGGTGCTATCCCCTGTGTGCACATAGAGCCCATAGGTATACATTTGCATGTTATGATGGTTAGTCATTGCGGAGGTTTTTAAACAGGAATTCATAAAATGTTGAGTTTTTGTGAACTTTGTGTTTGCATTTCAGACCATTTCCTAAGGGTGAGGAGCGCAAGGATGCTTGTCTGAGAGCCCTGAGTAGAATCAGACTCCAACCTGGTTGCTACCTTCCTAGTAGTCCTGAGGCTATCGTCATGGAGATAGATTACAAATCAGGCACACCCATGCAGAGGTACCAAAAGTGATTGAGAAAACGTCTAGATGAAATAATCCTCTTTGCCTTCGGACAGAAAGTTATTTTCTATTTTGATGTTGGTCTTGTAAAGTACAGACATTCAGTACTCAAGGTTATGGTTGAACAAGACAGTGCTGTTAATACACCAATCCGATTTTGAAATGACAGTGGTGGTTCTGTTAGCCATTACTGGAACGCTTCCTTGCCTGAATGCCCATCATGTGTGTTTTATAGCTCTGAACACATCACTAAAGGGGAGTGCATTGTGTGGTATACCCCAGCGAGCTTTGCAGTGTCCCACTAATGGATGCAAGCCAGCCCAGTATTCACAAAAATGTGGGCAACTTGGATTGGTCTATGAGGGTGAAATTGCTTTGCTGTCTCATCAGTTCTGAAAGTGGTTTGTTGGAATTGTTTTGGATTGACAGTTTGACAGCCTGATTGTAAAGGAGCAAACATTCAAACAACACATAATGAAACGTTTTTGTAGATTTAAAATTCGTTCAGCAAACTGCTGAAAGAGAAATAATCGCAGGGGGAAGGAATATACTTTCAACAACGTTGAAAAAACCCGAACCGTTCTCACAACCAGTTCTTTCACTATCACATTCTAGAAAGAAATCTGCTGACTGTCCACACCACATTTGAAATTTGAAATAAATCGCTCTTAAAGTAAAGTTTTAATTTTGTTGGTTTTCTTTCCTTCAGTGCTGCCAAAGCTCCGTTCCTTGCCAAGTTCAAAGTCAAGAAATGCGGCGTCCATGACTTGGAGAGTATTGGTTTGAGAGGAGGAGTCCGGAAGGATGAAGAACAGGATATGAAGAAACCGCTGAGCTGGGAAGCTTGTATCTTCAAAGTGGGAGATGATGTCAGACAGGTAGGTAGATGGGGTGGGGGAGAGGGTGAGGCGGGGTGGGTCGGGGTTGGGCAGGGAGAGTTCAGAGTGAGAGGCAAGGAGATGCCAGGAAACTATGCAACTGGCAAGCTTGTATCTTCAAAGGCTTAAATAATAATAATAATAATACAGCATTTATATAGTGCAATATAAATCAAAGATTCCTCAAAGTGCTTAACAATTATAGAACAAGAAACAGTAAAATAAAAATGATCCCAATTTAAAAACCCTAACTTGGTTACAAACTTGGGCCGAACCAGCTGTTGTCTGAATGATTAATCATTAAAAACCTGAGGTATTCAGGTGTACAGATGGGATGTAGGAAGGGTGGGCCAGGAGTGAAGGTGAGGGAGGGGTCAACAATCTTTTTCTAGGTTGAAGACAGTTAAAGTATGAGCATGTTCGCTTGAAATGTACAGTCTAATGTCTGAGTTCAAATATACACATGTAGACGTTTGTGGTTCAAATTGGCAGAACTTATCAAAGCAATGAAATCATCAAAATGATCCATGGGGTTGTGAAACTAGAATGATATCCCAAAAATGTAATAAAGGATTTTTCCCCCTATTTTCTTACAGGACATGTTGGCACTGCAAGTCATTGGTTTATTTAAGAACATCTTCCGTCAAGTTGGTTTGGATCTTTACCTGGTTCCTTACAGAGTGGTCGCAACCTCACCGGGGGTAAGTGAAAACTCATCCACTCCAATTAACAGCAATTAACATGGTCCCAGAGGGCCACCTTAGTGTCCTCTTCTCACCGATCTGACTGACTGACTGACTGACTCGCTCCCCGACTCATTCACTCACTCACTGACTAGTCTTGGCCCAAGATGCTAGTGATCTATAGTAGTCGGTGCATAGTGCACCCTGTAATCATACCAGCGGGCCTACTCACACTAACGTATTGGCCATCACAAGTCCATCTCAAGTCAAATCACAAGCTATTCCGATGAAAATTTGACAAAAGCATTGCTTTGTTATTGTTCATGCCCTGTTACTTGGGACTGGACAAGTGAATTGACTCGTGATTTACTCTATGTCTATCTGTGTCCCACAGTGTGGTGTCATCCAGTGTGTTCCCGACACCAAGTCACGTGACCAGCTAGGTCGCCAGACTGACATTGGCATGTATGAGTACTTCCTGACTAAGTATGGGGACCAGACCACGCCAGCCTTCCAGAAAGCTAGAAGGAATTTCATCCAGAGTATGGCGGCCTACAGCTTGGTAGGATTCCTGTTGCAGATCAAGGATCGACACAATGGTAACATCATGCTGGACAGTGTGGGACACATTGTGCATATAGGTAGGTGGACTCCAGAATGTGTCAAATCTTCTAAGTTAAAAGGGGCAACACATATTCTTTTGAAATGTTCCATTTCTGATGCCAGATAAGGTTGAACATTTTAAAGGCATATAGGATCATTTGCTTTTCATGCATTTTGTTCGTTTCCAATAATAACACCACTCGAAATCCAAAGAAGAATGTTTAAACCTAACCTGTTGAAGTTTCAGCTCAGTGGAACAGTTTTGGGGAAAACAGTGAAAAACCCTGCACAGCCTTTTGATCACGAAACATTATTTCATTAGTAGCACTCTTTATTCCCCAAAATTAGCCAATTGACTCATCGTTGGAAATCACCAACATTTCTTAATTTTTCTAAGTGACAGCAAGCCAGACAAAATAATTTCACAGGGTGTTTAGAACCAGAACAGTCTTTAATCCCAGTAAGCCTTTTGATTATAATTTGTTGCCTTACTTTGGGGATAAATACAAACAATCCTATATGCCTGTAGCAACTTTGAATATGTTTCATAATTGCTTTTACAGTTATTACTGTCCATACTTTTTGAGTGTGGCCAATAAATTTTCAAATGAAATTGATTTCTTCGCCTCCTGTTCAAAATTCCAAAGTATAAATGATTTTCAATCTTTTGGTGTGAAACACTACAATATTTTTGGAAGACTAGAGAAAGAATGAGGTATGTTGTCTTGGTGATCTTTTTTATTTTAAAAAAGTTGAGTTTAATAATTTGTAAGTCAAAAGCCAGTGGTCATTTTCTTAATCTTGCAAGATTCACACAGCTCCCTCTATCGGCCAAGAGTGTTTAATCTCTGTTGTTGGTTTTTATTTTCTGCCTGTCAGATTTTGGCTTCATGTTTGAGAGCTCACCAGGCGGTAACATGGGTTGGGAACCAGACATCAAACTGACTGAAGAGATGGTCATGATTATGGGGGGTAGGATGGATGCCCCGCCCTTCAAGTGGTTCATGGAGCTGTGTGTTCAAGCTTACCTCGCTGTCAGGCCGTACCAAGAAGCCATTGTTTCACTGGTTGCCCTGATGCTGGATACCGGTTTGCCATGCTTCCGAGGACAGACTCTCAAACTGCTCCGGTGAGATACAAATTGTTTCCGGAGTACTCTTGTCTTAGCAATTAACATTGACAAGTATGTGAAAGTCAAAGAGATCTTGTTTATTACTTAGCAGCATGCTGATGTTGGAAGGGTTTTTGTTTTTGTGTTTCAGGAGTCGATTCAGTCCAACACATACAGAACGGGAAGCAGCCAACTACATGTTGAAAGTCATCCGAGACTCCTGTCTCAGTCCTAGGTAAGTTAACATTTATAATTTCAATTATTTCATTCTTCTTAAGCTAAACGAAGCCTGTGGAGAGAAATGTTCATTTTAATAATTTGGAAAAATGTCCCATTAATGTACTAGCGAAACCCATGATATCCGCTAGGGACTGAAAACCTCAATCCACGTGTGTGCCTGGGTGGGATATGAACCCGAGCCATAGACGTGAATGGTGAAAACACTGCCACTCTGCAAACTGTAGCAGTGAGGTCATTTAGAGGTCACACTTGTTTCCATTGCAACTGGCTCATTTTTGCTTGTAATAAGAGTTATTGTTACACATGGAAGTTGTGTAGAAAAGAAAGATATTGTATCTGCTCAAATCCATTTCATGTAATCTGTGATTTTCTGGCTTTGAAAAAAAACTACAATGATGAATCTTGCAAATTGTGAATTTGAATGGTGAAATTTCATCATTCAATATAAACATTTAATGTCATGTAAAGCAGTTATTCCATGAAGCATGAACTGCTAAGGAGTTTGTTTGTGAGAAAGAAGTCATGTGTCATTTTGCCTGCAAATAGACGGAGAAGACGACAGACAAACAGACAAGATAAAATAGTTTTGACAGACATGTCATCATATGCGAGAGATACAACCGTAAGCCTGTGAGCCATTTCTGTTTTTTGCAGGACTCGGACGTATGATATGATCCAGTACTACCAGAACCAAATCCCATACTAAGACCAAACATGCCAAGTATAGATGCCAAGGTTCCAGATACAGGTTAGTGTGGTCAGCCATGTAGGCACCAGACTATTGAACTCTTTTGAACCTGAACAAATATTAGCCAGACACAAAACTTTAAGAAACTCCCGACACAAAATTTAAAAAGCACACAAATATTTTCATGGCCATAAGCAAGCTGCCAGCCAAAACTAGTGGGATATACATATTGCTTTTGGCTGGTTCTCACATAAATTTGCTTAACAACATTTGTTGCTAAGCAACTTCATGGAATTTGGTGTGAAAATGAAAACAAATGATGATATTTCTGTTGCATTTAACTTTAGAGAATGTGTGCCGTCTGCCTCCCTTCCAAAGCAGATGGGCTGAAGTTCAAAGACCAAAGTTAACTTTCCAGTTATCAGCTGAACATTGGAGTGATCAGGCCAGTACGTACTACAAAGCAGCTGTCAAGAGAATTTGTCACCAGCTTTTATAGTTTACAGTAAGAACGTAAAAAACAAAATTGTATAATTTTATTTCGGTAAAAGAAGAATATTTTAAATTGCACTGACATTTAAGTGATATAAATTATAATACATCATGTTATACAAGAGTAGGGTCTATAAAGGAAATATTATAGTAAGGGTAATTGTTGAAAATATTATGATAATTTTATAGTTGAACGAAGAAATTGACTGGAGTTGGCTTGAACCTGTGACCTCCGGATTGCTGTTTCGATGCTCTACCAACTGAGCTATCCAGCCCTATGTTGGCAGTGCCCAACAAAATGTTATTAAACTGAAACATCCAAAGTCCTTTAGAAGTGTGGTTTAGATTTTCATGGGAGAAATTACTTTCAAATACTTCAGTCAGAGAGTTTTAAGTCACAACGACTCAAAGGGGTTTAGATTTGAAAGCATTTGTTTAATCAAGAAATACTGTCATTACTAGAAAATGTTCTTAGGTTTGAATGTCTTTAGCACTTAATGTTAATGGACCATCAAGAAAAAACTTAAAGAGAGTCCTAGGTGAAAATTAAACCGAAAGTAACCTTTTAGCAACCAGTTGTTATGAATAGACAGACACTACCCTCAGAAAAGTGTGGTCACTGAAGGGGTAAGAGAGCGTCCTCTGTGTGCATGCTACTGACCTACAAGGATTGATTTGTCAGCAATTTGTTTACATTTAGAGTAAACTTTAGGCTACTGTGAGTTTATATTTGTAACATATTAATAGTAATATATGCGCATTGTTATCATGTATCTTCCATATACTTATGATCATCCAAGGTTATGTTATGCTTATGCTATTTTATCTGAACATGTCTTTCTAGAAATATTTCCTAAATATGTGACGTGTAAACGTAATATTAAAGCTGAGTTTGGCATTATCATCAAATGAACACAATAAACATTGTTTCAAGTAATGTCAAAGTTAGCAATGGATTTTGTTTTTTAATTTAAATCATTTAATGTACTATGCTTTCTTAAGAAATGTATGAATATTTTGTAAATTAACTTGCTCTTGAAACTTATGCATGTACATAATGGTTGAACTGATTGCAATACTAAGGCTTTATAAATAATTCTTAGAAGCAAACTATCGGCATTTATGAAATGCAATTGTGAATTTATCAAAGTATGAAAAATGCACTTTGTGAGGTAAAATGGTTTTCATGATATTAGAAGTATATATCTCCGTTTTTGTTTATACGTGTACATTTGTATTTGTAAAGAATTGTGTTAAGTTTCAGTTGTAAAAGTTGAAAATTTCTTCTTTTTTAATTTAAATTTGATCCACTACAGTAGTAGGTATTACCTATAAGAGGATAACTTGATTTTGCCATCTTGCAATATTTTGCCTCTTTAAATGTCCAAGAATCTCTCATAGCAGATTTTTTCCCCCTGGTACTTTGGACTTATTTTTTAAGAAGAAAAGATGGGGTGAAGGGTGTTTTTCAATCCTGTCATTCGCAACTTGAGTTTACCTTTGTGCATGTGTGGTGTAGGATATGACTGGTAACTTATTTTACATCTGTTTAATTGACCTATCGCGTTAGAATCGCTTCAACGCAGCTTGTGAATTATTGTCCAATTACACGATATACAAAATAGAAAATCTGAGACGAATGAAACTTAGCGTACACAACTTCCATAGGGTTGTTTTAGGGGCGTGGCTATCTCGCAAACGGCGATATGTCAATTGGTAATGCGAGTTTGATCGTGTTTGCAGCTAATGACTGTGGCTAGCTGTGACTAGCAATGACACATGCGGCTTTGGAAGCGGCTGCAGACATTTCTCATAGACATGTGTAACCGTCAGCCATAGCCAAGTAATTTGGACACGGCCTAAAATGCAATACGACAGCCTGATATATTTGCTTTAAAATTGTGGCAGTTTTTTTTTTAAAGCCGCCACAGTGTGGCTAAGTTAAAGTTTACCATAAAAGTGCAGCAGTCATGTGTCAATATTTTTTTAGAAGTTACTTATAGCAGTGCTGCGGGGCTTTTCTGTTATAGACTGATATTTGTGTGTTTGTTTGTGTGTGTTTTTCTTTAGTGTGGGTTTTAGATGTTTTTGTTTTCTCAGAAGGTATATGAACGTGAAGAGTTGATGCATTTTGGTTAAAAGTACTTGCCGTTTTTGTGAGAAAAACTAATGCCGAGACATGTTTGCTTTGATATTTGTTGTCAGAGTTTTCCTAAAACTCTTGTTTTCAGTAATGAAATCCAAATATTCAACCTTAGTTACATGATTCAGACATTTTATTTACTATAGGATAACACATTTCAAAAGACACCTGGGTGCGTGCACAAATATTGTAAAATTAATGTTTCCAAGTTTTATTTTCCAATGTTACGGTCAGGATTTGATGAAAAATACAGACTTTTATTTTATAATTGACTTTCCAAACGTGATTAGGGTTGTTGACCCCCTTCCATCAAGAGGGCTGTGATTGAATGAAGGGGGTGAATCTCGGTTCAAAAAAAAAAATTTTTTCTTTGGTCTTCAAATTATAAATAGGTACATGATATTGTATTATCTGTGATTGTAATGTATACTCTGTGTATTATTACCAATATCAATGCCAAAGCTCAGAATATGTATATTTTAATAGAAATCTTGTGATAATTATATAGAGAGGTGGACTATTTGTGCAATAGTGCAGTGGTTTAAGGGATTTTGGCTCAAATAATGGATTAGTTTGAAATACATGAGTGGGTTTTTGGACTGAATACTGTACCTCTATTGGGCTTGATTTCCTTTTAGTCATTGTTGATGTGTTTTAAAGGTATATAGGATAATCTGCGTTTTATGCGGTTTTTCTTCGTTTCCAGTAAGAACACCACTCAAAACCCATAGCAGAATGTTTAAAAGCTATTAGCCGTTGAAGTTTCAGCTCAGTGGATGTTACACTTTTCGAGAAAACAGTGAAACATCATGTACAACCTTCTGATCGCAAAACGCAATTTCACATCGGCCCTAACTTTATTTCCCAAAATCAATCAGTTGACGGGTCGTTGGAAATCACCTACAATGACAGCAAGCAAGACGGAATAATTTGAGGGGGTGTTTTGAACCAGTATGCTATCTTGAATCCAAGTAAGCCTTTGGGTGACAATTTTGTAGCTTACTTTTGGAGAAAATGCAAATGATCCTATATGCAAATGATCCTATATGCAAATGATCCTATGCCTTTGATGGATGTAAACCATTGGTGTTGTCCAACATCCTTCGAAAAAGAGAAGTAGTGCCGAAAGTAACTACTCTGTATGTTTTGCATCAGTGAAATTCGTTTTGCTTTACATGAAAGTTTGTTTTAGATCACGTGCACAAATAATTAGTGTGCAGACGTCCGGTTGTGTGTAGTTGGTCAATTGCAGATAAGAGCGCTTCCGCGAAGGGTCAGTCACCAGTGCTGTCACGAAGGTTGAGTTGGTTATCGTGAATTACGAAACACAAAGTGACCATCAGGTCTTTTGTTTTATGCGGCTTCCATTTAAGGACGTAGCTTACAAACACTGTTTTTGTGTATAGAGAAAACAAATATTGCACCAGATTCGATCTTGGGAAAAGTGCGCAATCACTCAGTCTGTTGTGGTAAGTATTGGCCTATTTCGTTTCTCTGACTTTTAGCATATATCAGACATAATTTCAAAGTAAACTTTGTAGTAATACTTTCACGCACTACATGAAGCGCGAATTAGTACGCCATCTCGGCCCCCAGCCCCCCCCCCCCCCCCCCAGCCCCCAACTTTTCGAATTCGAAACTCCTGGTAGGCCTAGGCCAGCTTTACTACCCGAAATGTTGACTAGAAATTGCCGCTGGTTCCAACCGGGCGTTGTTTACAACAAAAGGAGACCCACCCTATCAAATATGGTTTGTTTTACCTAAAATGCAGGGTCTTGAACTGATTGAAACAATAATCGAATCGCACTTTGCTAACTGCTTATTATTTTTGTCCCACTGCCGATTGCAGTTCACTGAATTCTCAGGAATGCCCTATAAGTCTGACTAGTAGGGGTAATAATAAACGCATGAGTGCTTTGCGATATTGATTTTATCGTTCAAATATCTCAAGCAATTAGTCAAATGAAAAACAGGATGCAAGCAAAGACCGTGAACTTTTGTTTCACCGGAAACAAAAGGACTGGTCCAACAACAGGTCAGATTGAAGGGAATCCTTGATAAAAAAAAAACTGACACGTACAATGTAGACAAACGAAACGGGGATTTATACCACAATCATCATAATCATTATTACGACCTCAGTTGTTATTGTCACTGTTCACACTGATATTCATCAACAGATGGAAACACTCATGTACCAGAATTCTGGGTCGCGCGATCGTCATGAGGGATATTATTTAATGACAGAACGTTATTGATATTCTTTCGTGGTTTTCTCTCTATAGATGAAACTCACGGATGCGGTAACCCTTCTCACTGTACTCTTAACATCCGTGGCAATCTCCAAAGCCGGCGGTCCTGACTCTGGTAACGATCCCGGTACTGGCTCTGGTTTTGACCCAGGTACTGACCCCAGTCCTGACCCCGATCCTGACATCAATCCTGACCCCGGTCCTGACCTCAATCCAGACCCCGGTCCTGACCTCAATCCTGACCCTGGTCCTGACCTCAATGGTCCTGACTCCGATCTTGACTTCAGTCCTGACCTCAATCCTGACCTTGATCCTGGCTCCGGTCCTGACCCCAGTCCTGACGCCGGTCCTGAACCGAGTCTAAGCACAGGGTCTGGTCCGATACCAACGGCACCTCAACAGATCGACATCTTGGCTGTTGTTGCCCCAGTCGTAGCGGGCTGTCTACTTGCAACTACCATCGTCATTCTTTTGAGCTTTCTCCTCTACCGGCGCTGTAGACGGAGCCGAAAATTCGAGCCAGGCGTGAGTTTCCAGGCGACGGGAACAGACAGATCATCATCTCGCGTCAATATAACAGGTTCTCACTTCACTAATACGGGTAAGGTCATCCATCAACCAGCAGATGAGGATTCACTGACGAACAGACAGCAATCCCTCTACCAAGATCTGCTGAAAAACCAAGGTGATGGGCGGGGAAAGTCCAAGCAAACACGTGAACAGACTGCAGACGATGGGACCAAGCTAAATCAAGAGGACAATCAGAAATATGAAATTCCCATCAAAAAGACCAATCCGAATGTAAGAGTCAGTGAACCATCAGTCCAACCCGACTACCTTCAACCCATCATGAAACCCCGCCCCTCGCAGCTTAAGAGTCAACCTAAGAGTCTGAAAGCTTCTTCTGGTGTCGATTATTTCTACGAAGACGCGAGCTCCACCGAACTTCCTAACACAGGACCCAAAGATGTTTCCGCTCCGGAAAAGGTCTTAGAGAGTCAGGCTCAGTCGGGGACTGGTGATTATGCCTATGTTGAAACTGGAAGGGACATAATTGAATATGCGTATGCTGATCAGTACTAGTGGTGTTAATAATTAGACCAGTAGGATCACTCCTAGAAAAAAAACCACTGCACGCTTAAAATACGTGGACCACACTTTTACAGGAATGAAGATAGTTTTACAGATTTCGTAGCGTTTGTTTCTCATACCGAGTAAATTGAATATAATTATGTTATTCTGTTTAGTTTAATGTTTTTAGAAATTAGTCAGAAATAAATTTTAAAAATTTGAAACTATTTTGAAACACTGCAGCGTTGCTGCCAGAAAAAATAGCTTTGTTTTGGAGCCCAGTGCATATATTAGGCAAAGCTAGCATCGAGAATAGTTCATTATCAATTTTAAAAACCTTAGATTTATGCGTAATAATCAGTTTTGAAAAATTTCAACTCCCAATAAATGGTCAAAAATAACAAAATACATAGGCCTTACCATTTTATGAACGAATTTTCGCAGAATTTACTACGTTAAACAGTAATAACTCTACCACCTTCCCCCCAAAAGGGCTGACTTGTGTATGCGATTCTAAATATAATCGTTTTTTGTTTTTTTTGTTGAGAGATTCGCAAATTAGTTTGCAGTTTAGCGAAGTTTTCTCAAGGTTCCCCAAATCGAACAATGTACATGTACATTTATACGACATTATTAAATGACATTACCATTGCAATGAATCATAGGCAGATTCTTGATTCATGGCTGTGGCTTGCAATGACAAAATGAGTCCACGTGACGGCCATCAATCTTAAGTAATTCAGATGCAGCCTGAAATACCGAACAACACATAATGTCTCAGCTTTTGCTTGAAAATTGTGGAAGAATCTTGTTTAAGCATGCCACGGTGTTTTGGCAAAGTTAGTGTCCCATAAAAAGAACAACACTCACATTTTGAGATATTTTGTGAAGCAGTGATGTAGGGTTTTCTGTTGTGGAGTGATTTTGTTTTTATGTGCTTTTTCTTTAGATTTTAGGGCTTAAATGTTTTTGTTTTCTGAGAAAGTGTGATTTGAACATGAATAGTTGAGACGTTTGGGTAGAAGCACTTGGAATTTTTGTGATAAAAAAAAACTACAGAGACATACTTGATTTGGTAGATCTACAGATCTAAAACTGATTGTGTACTTTTGGGGTGTGTTATTTTCTCAGTAGTGAAATCCGAATTTTCAAGCTTGGTTAATATGATTCAGATATAATTCTTATCTACTGCCGAGTATCTTTGTTTTTAAAATCACACAATTGAAAAGACTCCTGGGTGAGTGCACAAATAAAATTAATGTTTCCGACTTTTAATTAATTTCTGATTCAATCAGGGTTTGAGGAAAAATTGAGACTATTATTTTATAATTGACTTTTTCAAGCATATGTGATCATGGCTGTTTGCCCCTATCCACCCTTAATGGGGGTGGGGTCGTATTGCAGAAGGAGGGGGGTATAAACCCAGTGAAAGACGTATTTTTTTCTTCCCTCAAATTAAGGATTACATTTTGGTATATTGTATTATATGTGATTGTAATGTACATTCTGTGTATTATTGACAAATTAAATCTCAGAATATATGATATAAATCTTGTGATAATTATACAGAGAGATGTGCAATAGACCTAAGACCTAATGACGTCACGCTTTGTTTATGCGCGCATGACGTCATTAGATCTCATGACTATTGTGCATTGTTTTTGGGACTTTACTCAAATACTTGACTAGTTTGAAATACACGAGTGGGGTTTTGACTAAAAATATATATTGTTCCTCAAGTGGTAGGGATGTTGTATGTGTTAGTTATTTTTGACCTGGTTTAAAGGTATGGGGTCATTTGCTTTTCGTGTGTTTTGTTTGCAGTTTCCAATAATAACCCCACTCAAAATCGAAAACAGAATGCTCAAAACCCAACCTGTTGAACTTTCAGTTCTGTGGATATTTTAGAGCGGTCAATCTTGCCTTCGAGCCCCGCCCCCCCCCCCCCGGCCCTCACAAGCGCTGATGTATCATAAAAAAAAGTTGTTGAGAAAACTTTCATCAGCGATTCCCGCCGCTCCATCAGTAATCCTGTAGGGCGCCACCGTGCGTTCAGATGACTGAACGAGGACTGTCAAACGCACACGAACCCGTATTTGGCCATCGATGCAGACTTTACTTCCGGCTCACTAACACCATCGAAAATGAGAGGAAAACAGCGTGTTCCCGGAGAGATTTGCGCCGATTGTGGAACATCAGGTAAGATAGATTCACAGAAGTAAGTTTTACGGGTAATAAATGATTAACTGATTTCGAAGTTTTAAGAAAAGTTCGTCGATTTGCGGGATATATTTTGTGCATGTATTTCTTGCTGTGTTTGTGTCCAGTTTCCGGACGATTCGCCCTAAGATTTAATGTAGCCTAACTTATTGTTGGTTATTGTTATTAAAATAAGCCGAAGCGTTCAATATCAACCTTTCCTACTAAAATAAGAGTCATGATAATTAACAATGGCATAAATAAATTTACAGCATCAGGTATACTATGATAGTATGTGTAGTTAAATTTAGGACACTTTTTTTTTACTTGTTCCATTCAAAAATAACTTTTGCAAATGACTGTCAAATTTTCCGGGAAAAGATCCATACTCGGACGTCAATTTATCTGCTGCCAAACATATTAATTGTCACCTCACCTTGTCATTTGAACCAAGAGAAATCCAGGAAGCTGTGTTAAGGTGAAAAAAATTTACTCAAAATGTGTTTTTAGAGCACATTTTGGATGCATATGTTGTGCCCATTCTTGAAAATCACGCATTCTCGAGAATGGGCATGCACATTCTTGAGAATGTGCAACTGGATCCTTGCTCAATCTTGGCAAAAAATAACTCTTCCAGATTGAGCGCACATTCTTGAGAATGCGCGACAAGATAACGGTCTTGTCGATGCCGAGCACCGGCTGCGCTTGGCAAGTCTAGCTAAATCCTCGTTCACTGATTCTCAATAATTATACTGTTGCAACGCAAGGCGCTGAAAAGTAGAGTGGATATGATAAGTAAAGGCGTATTGATATGGGGGGGGGGGACCGGGAAAATATAAGAGATATAATAATACTAGTGCAAAGAATTCTGATTTTTGGGATAATAAAAGCGGGGGGGGGGGGGGGACGTAAGAATGAAGAATGTGAAGAATGAGAATGAATACTGCGACATCCCATAGTGCTAATGCTATTTCCCATTTAAATTGCCACCAATTTATTGTTCACATCCCACCATGACGTCGCAGAGCTGGATTCTATCTAGTCAAAAGAGTAATTTTGGCAGCTTCTGGACATCGGGGTTTTTTCGTGGCACGCATATGATACATGCAGGGACTTGTAACTTGTCTAGCCTAAACAAAGCACTTCCCAGACTAGTTCCCAGTCCTCCGTTATTACAAAACTTCCCATAGTGGACAGAAAAAAGCAATAATAACAGGTTTAATTTGATTCAAATTATCGTAGTTATACGAGTACAGAAGCATAGCACATTTTCTTTCCTCTTTATATGAATTGTTTCCCTTTTAACCGCTATACAATTCATTTAACATAATTATGTCGTGCAATGTTTGTTAAGATTGGGCAAAATTCATAAATTGTGCACGTGATATTCCCACCCAATCTTAAGAATGAGCGCTCATTCTTAAGAACGCGTGCTCGTTCTTAAGAATGGGCGCTCATTCTTAAGAATGCGCGCCCATTCTCGAGAATGTGCATGCCCATTCTCGAGAATGCGTGATTTTCAAGAATGGGCACAACACATACGTCGTGCAGAACTAACTTGAAGCAGCCGGTCAAAGCTGATTGTAGTGGCTGAAAGACAGCGGTACGTTATACACGTGACATCAGCAACCATGACGTCGCATGAGCCTGCCAATGATAGTGCAATACGTCATTATGAATATTTATATTCTCATGAATATTTAGATTTTTTCAATGGATACTTCAAATACGTCCAAAGATTGATTATTGCAACAGCGATCGTGCGCGGCCTAGCGGTTAAGAGTCTCGTGTATCAAGCAAGCGTCAGAGGTTCGAATCCCGATGAAGTTAACTGACTGATTAATAAATAGAAATTAAGGAAAGGAGAGGGCGAGAGTAGAGGAGGGAAAGTGGAGAAATAACCATAAAAGATGTAACTTTTGGCGCTAGAAAATTAATTGAAAAAAGTCACGTCCGAGTACAGAATTTTTTCCAATTTTCCAAAATGAATTTTACAGCCCGAAGCAGTCTTTTTTATGAAGATTTATTCTAGGTTTTTAAAAATTTTGATTAGTAGGCCCACTTTTGCAGAAAATGTGACTTCATACCTGATTTACTACATGCGAGTCACAGCAGTTCCGGCATTGTCATCAACGTGGAGTGCTGTGGCTTCGTGGTCATAAGGGCACTGATGCGTAAAGCTGCAGGTTGTGGGTTCAAGTCCAGCTGGGGTCATGGTGCATGTGCCCTTGGGCAAGGCACTTAGTCACTCATTGCTTCTCTCCACCCAGGAGTAAATGGGTACCTGTGAGGGCAGAGATGGTTATTGTGATTGAATTAACAGGCTGCATCGCGCTGTATACTCCCCAGGGAGCTGAGATGGTATTTGGAATGTTTCATGGGCCCAATGAGCAGGGGTAATAATGATGTAGCACCGTGAGTGCCAGTACCTGGTGGATACGTGCGCTTTATAAATACCCAACATTATTATTATTATTATCATTTTACCCCATAACTTTCCTCATAAATAAAAAAACCTGCCCTCTTTCTATGAAATTAATGCTGCTGATATTCAATACGGTATTTTAGCAAACTAAAAGCACAAGGTTACTTTTCTTGCTGGTATCGTTTAAATCATACATGAAAAAGTGGCTTTTCGTTCTCTTAATATGAAACAAGGTCCTAAAGTTAAACAACACGATTACCATTGGTGGTTACTTTACTTTTTTTTTTTAACGTCATTATTCCCTGTTAAGATTTTAAGATTTACTTGGCTGAAGTAGTATGACAATATAAGGCCTTTTCACACTATCTCCGTTTCGAACCGTGTTGAAACCTACCCGGATCCAACCCGGTTCAGTATTTTTCGACACGGATCGGAGAGACGCGACGTTCACACTGTCCTTTACGGGAACGGCCGCTACGTGAACCGTGTAACGTTCAATCCGGCTACGGCCCCTGTGAATTCACACTACAAATTCTCGACACGGATCGCATTCGGCACAGGGCGCTGCGATGATTTTCTCAATCCCATAATGCATTGCGACGCACGCGGCTGCTGCGCGCACGAGGCCACGAGGCTTACGGACAGGCCGGTGTGCAGCGTGAATTTACTACTCTGTGAAATACGGACTCATTGGTAGTATTGCGCATGCCTATTAGGAAAAGGACCTGTCACGTGAAAGGGTTTGACCAATAATAAGAGAGTAAACGAATCCAATTTGGGAGTCCGATTTTTGTACGACACCAGCGCAGCTGTGTGCAATATTTCCAAAATGGCTCCGGTCATTTCGTTAGACGATTCGTATTTAACATTAGAAATGTACATTTTTGGGGTACATTTTGCGGACCTATTACAAGCCCAGACTCGGTAAAGGATGCTCCATACACCGATACATTATTGGATGATAATTAGGGAGCGATTATTTCGGGATCGGTGTTTGTGACGGCCATAGTGGTGGAGGGAATTATTATGCACGGCGTGTCAGATTTTCGGTAAAATGTTGGCCTCAACTCAACACGGATCGGCCGTGAGTGACTCAACCCGGGGCGGTTCACACTATCATTTTCGACACGGTTCACGCCGAAAAATGCAATTTCGATCCGGGTTGAGATTTTCAACCCTGGTCCCTCCCAGGGTTGATTTCGATCCGGCTAGAGCACTCTACCCGGGTCGGAACCGGGTTGAAATTTTAGAAGTGGGAAAAGGGTTGAAAAAAATCTCGGGGTTGGAACCGGTTCCAACCCGGAGATTTTGGACAGTGTGAAAAGGCCTATAGGCTACTACCGGTAGTTGAAATTTATATTAGCAATTTTAACTTCTTTTTTTTTCTTAAACTGTTTTGAAAGTTTTCTGTCATATTTACATGACATGACTGACCTTATTGTTTTGGATCAGACCCAGGATGGGCGTCGTTAAATCGAGGGGTTCTGGTGTGCGATGAGTGCTGTTGTGTACATCGCAGTCTTGGTCGGCATATTTCTCAGATCCGAGCTTTAAACCATGGCTCACCCTGGCCAAGAAGTCTGAGGGAGGTAGGTTGTGTGCATATCTGTGCTAATGTCCTTCATTTTCAATTGTGTTTTGGATATTATCAAATGGGCTTCACATGCAATACATGTATATTGTGATGTTCCCAACGTGGCGCACTTCAACGTTTACCCCGACTTTCCTCATGTGGTGTTGCCAAACTTCTTTGTTGACAAACTTCAAATTCATTCAGTGAAATACTGGTACTTTTTTACCTTTTTAATGCTTGCTATTAAACCTCTTTGAACAACTTACATGTATGTAGATTTGATGTTGATTTGATGTAAGTTTGATGAACCAGAGATAGGAGTTAAATTGTTCAGAATGGGTATTTCTTTAGCATACTGTAAACATGAATTCCCTGAATTCTCCAGGAATAGACACACAAATGACTTTGATCAGGACAGTGGACATTGTTGTGATTGAAGCCATCGTCTTTCAAATACGTTTCATAAATTCTTAGCCACAATTCTAAGGATTGAATTATCTTGTAACCTTTTTCAGATGGTTTATGCCTTAGTAACCAACGGAGCCAACTCAATCTGGGAACATTCTCTCCTTGATCCATCGCAAGTCCGCAGCGGCAAACGCAAACCTTCTCCCAAGGATCCTATACAGTAAGTCTAGAAAGTAAACAGCAAAGATTACTTCAGTCAGAGGTGTTTGTGAAGAATGTCACATTCTCCTCTATGCCTCTGGCAAATTTTGTCATCTGCTGGTTCAGTTATTTTTTCTGTTTTACAATGTTTTAATTGAATGTTAATTTTAATTTAACACTTGTTTTGATAGAACTTTCGCAAACCATCAAAAACTCTATCTACTTGCTCTCCCATAGCGTATGCTGGTCACCAACTGACAGAAGCTCCATGGATTAAACCACATATTGTTGATGTACCCTAACGTAGCGCGGCCCTAACGTGGCGCACTTTAATTTTTCGCCTGTAGCGCCTATCTAGAGCAAAAATTTTAACTGAAATTTCTCAGAAAGTGAAATTTCATCAAGTTCTAAACACTCCCGTTCAAAAATCGCGAGTTTATGTACCCGTTACAAAGTGAGAAGAAAAATTTATTTTGGCGTGATTTTTCGATTTTATTTTGAAGTGCTGGCGTGACCCCTTTGAAAATGCCCCGAAAAATAATAAATAATTTTCTGACAAACTTCTGGCTGGGTATGTAAGTAGAGATAATAATGATTTATCAGAATTTATCAACTTTAAAGAAATTATTAAATGTTAATTTGTAATTTTCCGAGATTTATTCAAGTGCGCCACGTTAGGGAACACTCCACCAATTTGTGCCCAATTTCCGGACGCCACCGTTTTTGAATTTCGGATTAAATTTCATGACACCAGCATTTTTCACAGAGGTTAAAAAGCAAGCATTAATTTAGCCCTAACCCTCTAGGCCCTTTTTGCTAAGAACCATCCTTAATCCTCCAAAATCCTCCAAAATTTTGCAACTCCGCCTAAATTTTTTAAAATTGTCAGACAGTCCTGCCTCAAAATGCATTCATCGTCAATCTTCCAAAATCCTCCTCATCTCAAAATTTTGCACTCATGTTAAAATGAAGGATAACCAACGCCAAATCCTTCAAAATCATCAGACAGTCCTGCCTCAAAATGCATTCATCCTCAATCCTCCAAAATCCTCATGTGCTTCAATCACCATTCATCCTCAATCCTCCAGAATCCTCATGTGCTTCAATCACCATTCATCCTCAATCCTCTAGAATCCTTCAAAACTGCCAGGAGGATTTTGGAGGAGTGAGGTGGGTTAGGGTTTTAATAAGGTAAAAGTACCAGTATTTCACTGCATGATTTTGAGGTTTGTCAACAAAGAGGTTTTGAAACACTACACGAGGAAAGTCGGGTAAACGTCAAAGTGCGCTACATTAGGAAACACCACCATAACTGTCAAAACCTGTTGAAGGGGTTTGATAGATAGAGTGACCTTGAATACTGCTACAACTTGCATACATGTAGCAGCAATCTTAGAGGGCAATGCGTTTGGTTGCTGGGATATGCATGAGTGAACCTTTTGTTCATTCATTGTTACTGAGCTAAATCCATCATTGACACAACCTCGTCCCCAGGGTGTCGAGCAGTACGCGCCCACCACTACCTGCTCTCTCACCCTGGTATTGGATCATTTGCATGTGCAAGATTTTTGCACACGTATGCAAATGAGGAACAGTCTGGTGCCTAGATATGCGTTACACATTAGCGTTTGTTTTTGTATGCGGTGTCTGGGGTAAAAACAGAGTCAATTCGTAGCAGCGCGAGCACGGCGTGAGTTACAAAAACACGATTTTTGAAATCAAACTGTTACGATCTTATCGAGACAACATGCAGTATCATATTTCATATTAAGATGAGCAAATTGGAAAGGAAATTAGTATTTTCAAGAAGGCGTGGACGAATGATCGCGAAAACACGTACTGCACGTTGTGAATATATAGCACCAAGTACATGATAAAAATCCATTACTAGCCCATTGCGGTATCCAATAAGGATACAGGAAGAAAGTTTCCTATCCAGGGTTTACTATTGGAAACGCGGTTGGAAATAAAGTAAGCACTGGGGACGAGGTTGTCATTGACAGGCACTCACCAGCGCTGACCCACCACATCTATCAATGTTAGTCAAGGCATGGTCCCCTCAGTTAACAAACCTACCACAGCCTGTCAATTGGACCAATATGAGGCCAGTTTGACAGGCACTCACCAGTGCTGACCCACCACATCTATCAATGTCAGTCAAGGCATGGTACCCTCAGTTAACATACCTACCACAGCCTGTCAATTGTACCAATGTGAGCCCAGTTTATAGAACTGATAGATTTTGACGGATAGGGTATCTCTCTCTACGTTGTCATTGAGAGAAGGAGAGTTGGAAGAAGTGTTTGTGTGCATTTTGACTACTGCATTTGAATTCTGCATATTGCATTTGCTTGCCCCATGTTATCTGTTGTTTACAATTTTTTGGCACAAATGTTGTGTTGGGAATTGATTCTCATTTGTGTCTGATTTTCCCGCCATTTTTATTGTAAAGTTTGACAATAATATCAAGTAACATATGTGTGAACATCGGAAGACACAGCGCTGCCTTGGTTTGTTTGGTTGTTGAGTGTTGGTCTGTGTATGTGACTGTGTGTCTGTCTGTCACTGTGTCTGACTGTCTGTTTGTGCCACATAACACACAGTGCAAGGAATTCTGAGTCCGATTCAGGAGATAACTGGAGCCTACTTCACAGTTTTACCAAACGCCGATCGCTTACCAGGAATGTGGACTACAACGCAAGGTCGTAATTTATTCAACTCTTTTTATTACTCTACGCTATAGCCATTTTGTTTTGACCAAAGTACAGCCGTCTTCTGCAATCTAACACAGTGTAATTAATCTGGTTTCAAAATTGTGTTTGTTTTTTCTTTCTTTCTTGATTTCCTTTTCTGTATTTGCTGCAAGTTTATATTTCAGATTAAAAGACAATTCAGCATCTCTGTCTAACCACATACATGTATTAAGAGTTTTGTTGACTGTAATCCTAAATGTTCAGAATCCTTCCAAATCCAGTGCTTGGTTTTCATGGATTTAGATGGATAAATGACTGTTTTGTTGTATAATTCAGCCACCTTTACTTTGCATGAGGCTTAGTGCCACAGTTTTGTCCCAAGCACAAAGGCTGTACAGCTGTTCTGTGATAGATTTTGTCAGATTTGGGAAGCAAATAACAACTTTCCCAGGAGGTAAACATTTTGGGAATACATGTTAAGTTTAATCTTCATTTTCAAACACCAAGTGGCCGGGCCATTCTATAAATTTGGGGTCCACTGTTTTTCCCTGTCCTAGTTACAATTTGACATAGATAATTCTGATGCACTCCTTTAATGCAGTCATCCTCCAAGAGTGATTATGAGTAGCAAACTACCTACCCAACAAATACAAATTATTTGAAGTTATTCTCAATGATACTTGAATGTCAAAGTACCAAGGTACGAGTAGCAGGGACAGGAAGAATGTCACACTTTGGACCCTCAATTTGTAGAATGAACAAACTGCATGAATTCTCTTGAATCTAATGGCAACAATTGTTAACTTCAGTAATTTCAGGAAATCACTGAAATGATGAAAGTTGGTTTCCTTTTGAAATGTCTTATCTTGTTCCTTAAAGTACAGAACATTAGAAGCATCATCCATGCATGTTAATTTTTTCTTTCTTTTCTTATTTTTTACAATTAACCTACATTACATTGTAGCTGAATTCCATAAAGTTGATCAGCAAGCTTAAGCGGAAAAGAAAGACTAACAAAGAGGCACATTTTTTTTCAAATCTGGCACATTGGTCAATTTAAATCAATTTTAAATTTTATATTATTAATAAAAAATATAAACTTTGTGTGACAACTGTTGAAATTGGACTTCCCATAGATAAATATATACCTTAAAAGGGAGACATGTGATTACCATTTTCAGAAATGATATATGTAATTTGATTACAGGAATAATTTAAGTATGTATTGGTAATTTGATTACAGGAATGTACCGGGGTTACATGTACATAAATCATCCTGTAACTGCCTGGCTTCAGGCTTTATTTGTTAATATCGATACTATTCATGTGTGTACATGTATGTTCCTGTATACCTAAAATTGCCCAAAATATGAAGAGATCCCTACCTGTACATCCTGTGATTAGTGGCATCATGAACTTTTCCAAATTTGAAGAGTGGTTAAAAAACCCTATTTTTTTCCCTGCCTTATTTGTACATATCAAATTACCTTTTGGTCTGGAAGATGTATAGACCTATATCATGCTTCCACCATTTTAGTCATGTTTTCGAATGACAGTACTGAATGATAATGTTTGTGTGCAAAAAGGAACCAGACTATTTTTCCCTCTAGCCTCGCTTTGGTGACATTGATTTGAATAGGAAGAAAATCAAGATGGCTGCAACATGATAATGGTCTATTGCATTACAATGCAGTCAGGGCTAGATGATGACACTTTTATTAAAGGATAATTGCTGAATAAAGCTGGTTGCTTAAAACAAAAGTGAACCAAGGTAGTATCAGCTTTTGGTTACATCATACACGCAAGCAGGGGCTAATTTCATGGCATTGCTTAACAGTTAACAAAACTTGTGTCTACTATGAACTCTATGTACAAGTACATGTACCCACTGAACATTGCAGACATACATTGTAAGCCGCTGTGACTCTTAAATGCCTTTCTACCGTACACGTGGCAATCATGTCAAGATGATATGAGCCTGTGACATGAGTCTGTGACATGAGTCTGTGACATGAGTCTGAATGGCATTTGTCTTGATAACTTGCTATATACACACACGAATCAATGTGTGCACCAACTGTACTGCACACAGAGCATATAGTCATTAAGGGTGCACACCTGTAAATAGGCCTAAACCCATCTGCCGAGCTCATGAATAAAACTTATACCCTCAAAACATTTTGTATTAAAGAGTTCTGAGAGCCATAAAATTGGGGAATTGAAGAGATACATGTATGGCAATGAACCTCTGGCCCAGATTTGAGCCTTCCAATTCTGAGCATTTTGGATGCAATTGGGCTTGAAAGTGGCGCTATTTTGCCATGTTGTGGAGGGATTGTTTTGAAGATGGCTACTTTTCCGCTTGGGAAAAATAGAGGTTGTCTTCTTTGGGTGAGAATTTCTTGAAAGTCAATAGTCAATCCACAAAAATATGGAAAGAAAATGAAAGATGACATGTTGATCATCATTTTTCTGTGCACATTAAATACCTGTGAGAGTTCGGAGTATTTTAAAAGAATTTTGAAGCATGGGCATTTAGCACTGGTGTCTATGGGAATTTTAATGCAGGGGTGCATCCTGAAGTACTGCAATGTATCTACTGTTTATAGAGTCCATAACAGATAAACTGTGCTTATCCCGAGCGCATTTCATCTGCTGGAGGGCGTTGCAGGCAAATACATTGGGTCTCACTTTGCAACGTAATGAAATTGGCCTCATTAACATGTTCAAGGGTAACATACAGTGATTGAAATTGCCCCACTTTCTTTGGGTACTGGTTTTCAGTTGCTGAAGCTAAAAAAACACCCAAATCTTGAGGTACCATAGGCCTGTAGTTCATTAATCTGTTAAAAAGATTCACATCTATTGACTTCCTTATTATGACAAGAAAATGAAGCTCAAGATAATTATTGGCATGACAAGTGAATGATGACGATAATTATGAAATTAAAATAAAGTTGTTGTTATAGCCAGTTCGGTATTTCAATGACCCCACGTCATTCGGAATAATATCGCTGACGTGATGTTAGGTGATGTTATACGTACATGTATGTCCATTCTGCCGGTAGTTTACACGCATGTGTGGTGCGCCTGCATTCATGTGCCTTTGAAATATTTGTTTATCCGGAATGACCTGTGACCCATATCATTGTGCACATGCGCAGTTGAAATACCAAACTGGTTTATTAAAAGATCCAAATATGACAGTTGTATATCCTGAAAATGTTTGCTTGTTTGTAATTTTTGAATTTCGTTATTTTCATAATAATTTCTTCTCTCTAATATACAGTGCATTTTGTTTTATGCTTTGTTTCATTTATGGCATGATTTTTTCTTTCAATTAAAAGCAAATGACTGAATTTATCAAAAGATTTTAAAATTTTAAATTAATTGTTTAAATAATAACATCACATATGGGTCATTGTTAAAATATAGAGTCATATTTTATGTTGTTCTGTTGTTAATTTCTTTGGCAAATGATAAGGATGTAATGTCTGTGAAAGAGCCTAGGAACCATGATATCTAATTAATGATTCAGAACAATGCTCCAAACCCTAGTACATTTTGTACATCTCCTTGACCATTATTACGTGTATTTTCAGGTTTTGGCTGAGCTCTTTGAACATGTTGAAGCTCTGTCACAGACAGTACAGTTTCTACCTTAACACTGGAATTGCCCATTTGCATTGATGTAAATGGTCCTTTTTGGGGGGTAAATTTTACCCAATTTCTTTGTAGAATTACAGCAAAGTCAACATCGTGAGCATTGTTAATCATGCTACATGTACATATAATCTAAAATCTATTAAAATGAAGAAAAAAAATGACTAAAAAAAAAAAAAAAATTGAGCGCATGACACAGCAGTTTGTTAAACTCTCGTACTGACTCCATGTTCATGATCAGCTAGTACTGAGTTTGTTTTTCCAAGTTGCAAACACTACGGTCAAGGTTTAGCAGGCATTTATCATCCCGGCCATGACTGCGTTTCCATAGCAACAAGCAGTCTAAAATACCCTGCTAATTGAGTACTTCCTCCGCGGTGTTTACATAATTTGGTCTCCGGTCTGCAAGTTAAAACCTCTGACTTCAGTTTTTGAAAAAACAATGTTCCAAAACTTTTTGGCAAAGAGCCCAAGCAAATTGTACTTGCTAGGATTTATAACACACCTGAAAATTATTAAAATTCAAACATTTCTTTTGGAAATATTAAAATTATCATTACTTTATCAGAGTCCAATCGCTTTTGAAAAGTCATTGTGATATCCTAATTTAATTTTCATACTCTATTCGAATTTTAATGACAGTTAAAAAAAATCTGAGACGTATAAAATTTGAAGTGACGTTTCTCTTGCAAGTGACACCCAATGTCTTGAATTAACAGGAAAGTTTCTGGAAATTTAACGAAAGGTCACAAATTACAGAATTGTAATTAGGTGCTTAATTTCGGATATTCACAACACAAATCCTAAATTATCAGGGCGTAATTACATAATCCTAGGGAAATGACTGCTCAGGATGTTCTGGAAAGCTTTTAGGAAGGTTTTTAACTTGACCTTGGCGGCCGATAAGGTATTGTAGATCACGGGCAGGGTACATGTATATGGGAGGAGGGTAAGTAGAAGTTTGTCCTTGGAATAACCCTGTTCAATTTTTTAAGCCTGTTCAAATTTCACAGATCAAACAAATGCACAACTTATATTGGGTTTTAAACTCGACTCACAGAAGGCATATTCCTCTCTCAGTTCAACGCAATGTCCAATTCCCTAGAAATTGCATAATTCTCATTATTAACAAAAAATGTAAAGTTGTTTTCTATTTGTCGTTTTTTTGTATGCAGTCCATCTAAGTCGGAGTTCATCCGTGCCAAGTACCAACGACTAGACTTTGTGCTTCGACTCAAAGAAGAAGACGGTTCAAATGTCAAGGATCTCAGTCAAGTAAGCCAACTGTTGCCATGGTAACCTGACATTTGACCTGTGACCTGCTTAATGGCAGAGGACTGGGAGTAGAAATCAAAAGATGTAACTGTTGGAACTTGGCAGTGTTTCTAAAGGAAACATTGTCACAATTGATGTGGAGATAACTATTACCAAAACGAGAATTTAGGGAGAATCATAATGGCATTAATAAATCAATTTACTGTTAATCCTGCTTGGAAATATTAACAGGACAAGGTTGCAATCTTTTGATTGCAATGACTACCAACACCACAGCCTTCAAAATCAAACATAAATGTTGACTTTTACTCATCTGTCGTCACAATTCACAAAACTGAGATAGCTATGCATGATAACATCTCACAATTCACATACATCAACCTGAGCCCCATAGCGTCGAGCAGTATGCTCCTACTATCTGCTCACTGGCTCTGGTGTAACAGACAATGCCCTTATTTACCTGGCTCTCCAGTTTGGATCTGTCACTATAGTATACGCTGCTGAAACAGTCATACGCAAGAAGAAGACTGCCTCTGGTACCAGATCAATGGCATACTCAAAAATCTTGACCATTATAAATATAATAATAGGCTACTTGAACAAAAAAATTGTTGGGAGGATTGGACATACTAATTCACAATAATGTTAAATATGTAATACGCACTGGAAATGCAATCAAGTACAAAAATGTACAAGATATAATTTCAATACTTGCTATTGTTGGATTCAATCAGGAAGCAAGTTGCCCAGCCAGGGCCTACTATTATCTTAGAGCTGAAATTAGGCCCTGGGAATGAGATTGTTCTGACATTTACCCGACATTTTCCCAGAGTCCCAACCCCTCCCTTGTCTGCTCGTAATGATCCACATTTCCTTCATTTCCTCTCTTCAGCAACTCCACTCCAGCGTGCGGACGGGCAACTTGGAGACATGTCTGCGACTGCTCTCACTGGGTGCTCAGGCTAACTTCTACCACGTGGTACGAGTCCTGGACGGACTTCTTGTCAATGTAGGGTACCCAGTTTGCATGGGTTCATCTGCATTGATTGAATGGGGAAGATAGGGAGGGTACCCAGTTTGCATGGGTTCATCTGCATTGATTGAATGGGACGATAGGGAGGGTACCCAGTTTGCATGGGTTCATCTGCATTGATTGAATGGGGAAGATAGGGAGGGTACCCAGTTTGTATGGGTTCATCCGCATTGATTGAACGGGGAAGATAGGGAGGGTACCCAGATTGCATGGGTTCATCTGCATTGATTGAATGGGGAAGATAGGGAGGGTACCCAGTTTGCATGGGTTCATCTGCATTGATTGAATGGGGAAGATAGGGAGGGTACCCAGTTTGCATGGGTTCATCTGCATTGATTGAATGGGGAAGATAGGGAGGGTACCCAGTTTGCATGGGTTCATCTGCATTAAGTGAATGGGGAAGATAGGGAGGGTACCCAGTTTGCATGGGTTCATCTGCATTGATTGAATGGGGAAGGTAGGGAGGGTACCTAGTTTGCATGGGTTCATCTGCATTGATTGAATGGGGAAGATAGGGAGGGTACCTAGTTTGCATGGGTTCATCTGCATTGATTGAATGGGGAAGGTAGGGAGGGTACCCTGTTTGCATGGGTTCATCTGCATTGATTGAATGGGGAAGATAGGGAGGGTACCCAGTTTGCATGGGTTCATCTGCATTGATTGAATGGGGAAGATAGGGAGGGTACCCAGTTTGCATGGGTTCATCCTCATTGATGGAATGGGGAAGATAGGGAGGGTACCCAGTTTGCATGGGTTCATCTGCATTGATTGAATGGGGAAGATAGGGAGGGTACCCAGTTTGCATGGGTTCATCTGCATTGATTGAATGGGGAAGGTAGGGAGGGTACCCAGTTTGCATGGGTTCATCCTCATTGATTGAATGGGGAAGGTAGGGAGGGTACCCTGTTTGCATGGGTTCATCTGCATTGATTGAATGGGGAAGATAGGGAGGGTACCCAGTTTGCATGGGTTCATCCTCATTGATTGATGGGGAAGATAGGGAGGGTACCCAGTTTGCATGGGTTCATCTGCATTAAGTGAATGGGGAAGATAAGGAGGGTACCCAGTTTGCATGGGTTCATTCGCATTGATTGAGTTGGGTTTAAGAAAGATTGCTTTACATAGTCTTCCAACAACCTGTGATACTTCTTTCAGAGTTTGACAGCTCCCAGTTTTCTTGGAATTGAACCTTCTGTTTTGATTTCAGGAGAGAGGCAACACCCCTCTGCATGTTGCTAGTTACTCTGGGCAGAGTTTACAGTGTGAGCTTCTCATGGCTTATGGTGCTGACCCAGGAGCCATGGATAGTGATGGCCAGACACCTGCTGACTTGGCAAAGTACGTTGACCTCTCACATCTTAGTACCCTTTTGGCAACTTATTTTATTACACCTCATAAATATTCATGATCAAATAGGAGCACGTCATTGGCCGATTCCGCCGCGCGCCCGGGAAGTAAAAATGGTGAAGTCATCCCGGAGAGTATCCAGCTCACTGCCGTGCGGTAGTTTTTCTGGTAGCACCAAAAGTTCCCTCTGGAACCCGCCTCGTGGAACATGTAATCTGTGGCATGAAACTTTACGGAACCAGTCTATTGTTATAGTCCTTGTAACTACTGCAGTAAAGACACATTAAAGAGTGTTGGCACCAGGCTATTTCATTGACTGAAGAAGAACTTGAATATCTTGTACTGAATAAAGATGCAAAATCTACGAAGGGCGTTATCGACAAGGTATTGATGCCACTGGAAAGGTAGTGAGGCTACTAAATATTTATGAGTTGTAGTAAAACAAATACAGTATGGCTTGTTTCTGGAAAGTAGTTGAAATTACTGGTGCCTCGGTGTAGGTCAGCTTGACTACCTCCCGACGTGAAGTCAAGCTGACCTACACCTCAGACCAGTAATTCCCACTACTTCCCCTCAAACCATGCTGTATTTGTATACTTCCCAAAAGGCGTGTTCATATATTCGGTGCTAAAGCAAATTTGAAGGTGAATGTCTAACATTGTGGCAAATATTCTCGCTGCAGTTTTGCAACTCCAGCAGATTTTGCAAATTGAAGTATGAGCCGGCCTAAACTAAACCATGAGGTTTGTGAGGATTTTTGCAGAATTTGGGCATGATTGTGAGCTGAATGGGAACAGTTACTTGGTTTGAAAATAATAAGGATAACCAGATTTTGAAACTCGGCTTTTGCCCACCACTAAGTGAGTATTAAGTATGACCTTTCTTATGCATGTGTGGCTGTGTTGATGAATACTGTTGATGCCTTTTTTCAGGGAGGAAGGCCATTTAGAATTAGCAGAGCGTCTCGTGCAGTGCCAATATGAGCTGACAGACCGACTGACGTTCTATGTCTGCAGTAAAAGACCTGGTGAGTTGATGGGAAGGAGGTTGAGATAAGATTCTGACATTTTATTTGTCGCTGTGTGCTGTGATGATTCTTTCTTTGCTGCAATCTGGTTCCAGCCGCATTAATACAAGCATGTCAGACTTTCTGTGCATGCACGTTGGATATTAATCAAGGCTGTGATTGACAGACTTGTAATGACTCGACTCAAGTCAATGACTCGACTCGAGTCTGTATCGAGTCACAATTTTTGTTGACTTGAGTAGACTCAATTCCCTCATCAGAAGACTCGACGCGACTCGATGCGAGCGAAGGCTTATATGACTGAAGTCCCAAAAATAAAAGCAAAGCTTTGAGAAAAATGTTTGCATTGAATTTTGGTGCAAAATTTACATTTGCGTCACAGACTCCCACCGTGTGATTCTGGAACGCACAAAACCAGACTTGAAACGCATTGTCCAATTGGTGGTTTCATCATTGGCTTTGGGCAATTTCTTATTAAGCTCTTGGATTCCAATGCTGGCTACATGTATGCCCTCCTTATAAATATTAAATAGATCCATACGTATTTTTAAATAATCAGAAACAGTTTTGAATAATGCCATTTGGTTTTGATGTTGTCAGCGATCAGCGAAAAAATTCTAGACCCGAAGCCAAACCAGATAAGTTTTACTTCTTGTTAACTGTTAGTGATACCAATGACTTTCTCTCTTGTCTTTATTTGTTCTAAAGTGAATATTTGTGACACGAACTGACTTCAGTTAAATATTTGACTCAACTTGACTATACATGTACATGTACACTGTGACTTGACACGACCTTCTTGACCTAATAACTTGACTTAGGTCAGAGTTTGTTAAGTCAGGAAGCTGCTTGGAACTGCTGGCTTGTGTCTGACTCAGTAACTGAGTTGAGGCAGAAATCAGTCTATTTATGACACCAGCCAGTGTTCAACTTTCTAAGTTTAGTATCATTAAGCATTTTGACAGCAGGGAGCACTAGAGCATAGATATGCATTATTCCTTACAATCCTAGTCTGACTGATTGTCTATGTTGCCTTTCCAGATCATCTTGGAGGCCAGCATTTCCTGATCCCTGAGATGGCAGATAGTTCGCTGGATCGATCTGAAGCTGCTGAACAGGCCAGGAAGAAACTACAAGCTGTAAGTGGCAAATACAGAAGAGAACAATGCACAGTAGAATTTGAAATGCCTGCATTTGTACATTTAGCACATTTTGTTATTGGAGTTGTGGACTGGTATTTAACTACGCATGCTTGAGCCATTTGTGCCACTTGCATAAAGGCAAACAGTTTCTGGACAAAGGGTTAATTTTTCAGTAGACGATTCCTTAAGCTCTGCCTCATGACATTTTGACCAATCAGAGTCGTGATTGATGTCTGACCTGCCTTCACAAATGTTTGACATGCGTGCATTTGCAGTGACGTGCGCATGACTAATACATGCAGTTTGGTATTGTGGAGACGCACGTGTTGCTGCCCGCATGCGCAGTGGGTGGGGCCTCAGTACGTATTGGTATATTATTTCCAAGACCCTTGTTTGAAATTCCTTCATGGACAAGCTCTGAACTTAGATACATTGTCTTTTAGTAACTCCTATTCCTATCTTTAAAGTAGAGTAACAAGTTTTAGTTGAGGTCAGTATCAGCTGATTTTACAGATTTATACATTTATATCAGTTGTTCATTCACAGGTTTTTGGTCAATATTTGATTTTGTTTATTTTTTAAATCGGACCGGTACTTGGGTCCAGGTTATATACGTTACAGAGTCTGTCATTGTCGGTCTGGATTCTTATATTTTGAAGCACTGTTTTGGTTGTTTTTTTTATTGGTACAGTTGAGCAATCATTTGTTTGAGGAGTTAGCCATGGATGTGTATGATGAAGTTGACAGACGGGAATTGGATGCAAGTAAGTCAGCTTGAATCAGAAATCGTCAGGGATAATTGTCTTTGTGAGCCTGGCATTTTCTTCGTACAGCATTATTTTGGGAGAAGTTATGCCACTCACCTCAATAGAAAGCTATTTGATGATCTGTCTGGGCTGCACTGTGTGCACAAGTACCCCCTCAATGGTTACAAAGGGAGAGTTGGGGGAGACCACTGGGAGAGACATTTGAAGGAATTGCTGAAGACGCCTGATGCTCATGCAAAGACACACATGTTTGTTTTACATACGCTGTGTGGACATTCCTTTGTTTTCGTGTAGTTAAGAAAACTCGGTACAAAAAATAACTTTACTTAAACTGTGAAAACTGTTTCAACCCCAAATTTATTTTTTGATATCCTTGAATTTTTCTCTTCATTCTGCAATGGATAATCCTAAACCAAAAATGCCTCTAAACCTGTTTTCCAGAGAGGGTGAAACGTTACGTGGACACGGCTTAGTCCTTAAGACAAACTTAAGACACACGGCTTAAGACAAACTCACCACAGAATGTGCACATAGAATTAGTCACACGTACTTCACTCCATACTCATGGTAACCCACTGGAGCTCTCAAAGTGGTCCCAAAAAGCTACTCTTTGAGCACTGAGTCCATGGACTCCATGCATAGACACCTCACTGAGTTACAAGGAGAGAGTTAGGAGGAACTTGAATGCATAACAGCTACATGCCTGACGCTTACATACAAATCATGGGGAAAGAATACAAGTTTGTACACAGAGTAGAATAAAGCATCATGCAATACGCACGCATAACGTTATGTGTCCTTCCATGGAGCTCTCAAGATTCGTAACAATGCTCCATAGTCTAGAATCCTTTGAATACTGTAAAAAACAGGTGTTGCATTTTGCTGGTTTCAAGATGCCTTGATGGCCAGATATTGGACCCAATGGACATACATGTAGGCCTCTGTAATTGACTTTTTGGCTATCCCAGACAAAATCAAGAGCTCTTTGTTTTCTTATATTTGTATTGTTATGTGTAATGTTGTTGTTGATTTCATCTGAATAAAAAATAATAGTAATGTGCCGAATACACTGGAGTGCATTTTGGCTTTACTTGAAGTTTAATAATTTGGAATTTTTATTTTTAATTGGACAGTTTGGGCGTCACTTCAGAAGCCTAATTTCATCGGCGCTGATAGGACGGTGCTGTTTCTGCCACTCAACCCTGAGCTCTCATCAACAAGAAATCAGGTTTGCTGCAAATTCATTGTTTTTCTCTATAAACATTCAGCAACAATCTTTAATTATCTTGAAGTTGGCAAAATCTTAAAACTTATTTGGATAAGTTGCTTGACTCTTTGAGGCTTTTACCCTTTTTTCAGGGTCGTCAGAAACTTGCTCGGTTCAGCGCAAGAGAGTTTGCTACACTGATTATTGACATACTGAAAGAGGCTAAAAGAAGACAGCAGGGTACCCTGTCTCTCACAAGGCCCTCTGTGGATAAAGGTGTGTATATTATTAATAGTCAGATACCCATACGAAAAGGCTCCTTTTGTTCACCAATTGTTTGTTGCAGTTTGATGTTTTGTGATTTTCTCAAGTTTCCTACAGTTCTAATCATATTTTTTGTTGTTGCAATAAGTAAGAAATGTACTGTATTTTACATTATTATGACGTTTTTAAAGTACCAAAACTGACTGCTATTCATTTCAGAAACTGTTGAGGTCCATAGAGCGCCCCCTCCCCCAATCCATGAGAAACCCGCCCTGGATAACCTGAATGTCTTCGATGACAACGAGCCGTTGTATGACAGCGTGGCATCTGATGAGGATTGTGGGGATGTGTCGGAGGGAACTCGTAAATCGGTTCAGAGAGGTCTACTCAAGGATGCCCTCAAACCACGGGTGAGTAGCTGTCTGTCTGTCTGTCTGTCTGTGTGTCTGTCCTTTCGTCACTTTGGGTAGGGTTATGTCGACTCCAGTTAAGTGATACAGATCCTAATATGTGAGTTTCTTATTGGTAATAATGGTAAGTAGCAATTGTATATCCCTCTTATCATCTGTCTGTCCTTATCATCTGTGTGTTGCTTTGCTTGTCTCTTCCAAGTTCATTGAAGTGACACCAAACCTAACATGAGTGATTATAAAATTTGTCTAATGTTGCTGGTTTCCAATATGTCAATATCTTAGTTCAAGGTTTTCCAATATTCCAATATCTTAGTTCAAGGGTACTAGTCAGCAGTTTTATATTGATAACTGCGGGTACATTTTATAGCAACTGGATATTCATCTCTCTTTTCATTTTTCCATCTGTCTTCCTGTGTTGGTTTGTTTGTCTTACTAACATCCAATTTATAATTGAACAATAATATCATATTGGAATCATATGGTTGCCTTGTGATTGACTTGCTAACATCCCTACCATGATCCTATCATTTAGCCATTGGTACAACACAGTGAACGAAATGATGTGATGTCATATTTGTAATAAAGTACTTTTACTTTAAACAAGGTTTGTAGCACTCAGTTTCCTGTTCCACATTTTCCACATATCAACAACAGAGGGCGCTGTTTGACCTAGCTGTAATGGGCACACTGGCTATTTCCTGTCCTGCTGTTTTATTCAAAACTTCCAAGAACGAAAAATAGGAACCATCAAGAAGTTGAATTACTTACAGCTCTTGCTTGTGTTTACTATTAAAAATCTGACATGTTGGGGACTTGTATGATAGTGATAGTGTCTTGTGTGTGAGCCAGCTGAACAATATGAAGAAACTCATTGCTCTCTGCCTAGCTCTTGTAATTCCAGCATTGTTTCCAGGATGCTATTAATTAACTGGTTAGTTGGGGATTTTGTGAAGGCCCGTTATAGCTTTTGGGAGGGGGCAGGGAACGGGGGAGGTTTTCTTCATGTCTTGAGGAAGCATTTAATAAGATTGGGAAGGGTATTTCCTCATGTGACATATTGTCTATGAGCTAATGCAAGGTATTTACCCACGTTGCATTGTGTTGAAATATCTCCCATGTGAAGTCAGTCTGAATGTTTCCTTGGAATGTCTTAAGAAAAATGAGATTTAGTGGTTCAGGACATGAATTTTTATGACATTGTTTTTGTAAGCTCCAATGGAAGATGATGTCACAGACTTGAATTACCGTGTTACTGTTAAACCCATACAGCAGCTTACAGGTACAACAAAAATTATAAGTAAACAGCATAATATCCCAGTTGGGATCGCCATAACTGTGTATTGTATGTTATTTGTCATACGACATTCTCATTGAGAAAGAATGGAAACATTTATTTGTAACAAAAAATCTTATTGTTGAATGTTAACAAATTATAGTTCAGAGAGCGTTGAGTAAAGTTGGGCACAAGCTGGCACTCGATGCAGGGTAGTGATAATACTCAGAATTATGTACAGTGACCAACAGCTCAAAGCTGGCTTAACCCATTAGCTCTCTTGTTAAATTGTACGACACTGTATTTACTCCTTGGTGGAATTTAAACCATACAGTGCTAGGGCTGTTGGGGACAGAGTTACAGGTGGGGTGGTTAGGGGCGTTACAGGAACTAACGGCTTAATTGCCATTCAGGCTCCGGTTAGATGCTCATATCTCCTCATAAAAGGTCCTTGTTGTTCTGCCACACCTTCCAATCATCCAATAATACCTGAGGCACCATTGAATTTCCTCCGTCAGTCCCATGACTTCCTTGACTGCGCCTCAAGGCTTAAGACAACTGAATAGTCATCTTAGATAAGAGAAACCTGTCCCCGGGTGCTCTGAACATTTAGCTGTCGTCATATTAAAGTAGGATGGTGTTTTGGCGTCAGACCATTTGTCGGCTATTCTAGGATCTGTTCTGATATTTGTTTTTTTTCATCAGAGCATTTGAAACATGAGCAACATCTTGTGGATTTGTATATCCAAAGCCACAGTTTGAATGGAAAGGATGGTGTTGTGTTGTCTTCTATAGACTGAGAAAGTCTGGATGCTATAAACAGCTTGTGTGAATTTCTACAATTCTATTGGATACCATTCCAACCTTTCTTGCGCAAGAGCTCCTGTTCGAATCGAAGTGAACGTGGAATACAAATCACATAGTGGTGAATTTGTCTTCTTAATTAGTCACCATGGTTACCCGTCTGCAATTCAAACATTATGCTCCGTTTCAAAACCATTTCCCCACCCAGGGAGGTAGCTCGGATGCTTCTGACGAACCAATCACGCTCAAGGAATATCTACAAGTCAAGAAACAGCTGGTGTCGTCCGAGGCCAAAGTCTCACAGCTCCTGGCGATGAACAAAGAGTTGAACCAAGAGATACACATGCTGCAGTCAATGGTAAATGACACATGATTTATGACAAGAATGACATTGACATTGACTATGGTATATGACATTGCACTGGCAAATGACACCTGATTGACACTGACGTTGACAATGGCATATGACATACAGTGTAAGTGACAATGACATAATATCTCGATTTTGGCCATATCACCCACAACCAAAAATCCTTATTTAACTCTTTGAACTCTTTTCTCCAATAAAGTGTCTTTTTGAGAAAAATTTCCAACAAATCCTTGGGCAACTCCGTTTTTCCAACATCGCATGCCGCTAGACATGGCTACATAACAGCAAGAACAACCATGAAAGGGGTGGGAGCCAGCGTGGTGCATGTCCAAATCATGTCAGAACAGGTTACGAAGACTTGGACAGGAAAGATTTCTGACCCAAACAGCGGAAAATATGAAAATCATTAATGAAGATTTAATTAACAAAACTTGGTCCCTCTTTCTGCATGTATTTTCTGCTTTCAAATTTTTTTTCAAGGTCTCAAAGCTTTTGTTTGTAGTGATTCAGTGAAGCACGATTATCTGTGTGACTGATTTTTTTTTAATCTGAGAGATGAAAACCTAAAAATCAATTTTAAATGGCTATATCATTGTTTACCAAAATATACTTAGTTAGTCTTAGGTAATATTCAAATCCATGTTTTTTTCAGGTGGAGAAGTTGAAGGAAGAAAATGAGCAACTCCGTGCCATCCAGCGTCGCATGGATTTCCCTCAGAAGACTCATGATCTGGAAAGCTTCCAAGCAGAGGCTGCTGGGAATATTAACCGATCGTCTCGTGGCTCAGGCCGGCCCATGTCCATGATTGAATCACGCTCCAAGCAGAAACCATTTGGCATGCCATTTGAGAGCAAACCCCTGGCCACAACCCAGGACAAACAGGCAGAGGGGAAGGGAAGGGCGACAAACGTTGTCTTGCCGCCAATATCTGATGATGCTGATGTAACTGAGGTATTGATTTATCATAGTTCTGTTTTCCAATCCAGAATTAAATAATTGTTCAAACAATTGAAATTAAGTTACATAGGATCATTTACTTCTAAGTTAATTTACAAGTCCAGTCACAAGTAACAGGGGATTAACAGTGTTGAAAGAATGCCCATTTATTTCAATATCTTTTTATTTATAGCTCCTTTTGATTGACTTGTTATGACTTGTGGTGATTTGTGATTTTAACTTTGGAAATTCCATACAATGTAAAGATCTAACCGGTTCCCTGCTTTGTGTATTTACAGACAGGAGAAGCAAGTGAGAAGGAAGAGAGACCAGTTAGCCAGACTGGCAGTGATTATGATAATACCCAGACACAACCAATGGAAACAAGGTCAGTCAGTAAAGGTTTAAATCAAATATGTTTCAGGGCAATTCTAGCATTGCAGACATTACAAATGGACATATTTGTACTTTAGAGCTCAGTGAATAACGCTGAAAATGTATTTTCAAATCTTATACATCCATCATCTAGTAATGGTCCAGGAGATTACAGCTTAGGTGTTTTTCCTTAAAATTATTATTAATTATCATGGTAAAATGGCTCTATCATGGACATTACAGTTTCTTCCATAACGCTGGAATTGCCCTTTGCTGCTAGTAAGCAAAGATTGTTGCTAAGCAGATTTTGTTACTAAGCAGAATGAGCTGAGAACCAGTCGCAAGAAGTATACACATTGTGACATTTTGGTTGGTAACCTGCTCATGCTAAGCAAATACTTCCTGTGCTTAGCAGCTCCCTGTACTTGTTCTCAAACAAGTCTAATGTGTAGACATCTTATGAGGAGTCTTATTTGTGGAGAACCCTTTGATAGAAACTCAATTTCTGTGAGTGTTCCGTTGGGAACTGTTTAAGGTTGTCTTTATGTTTTCATTTCTATTTTTTAATTGAACTGTACTTCAGATCTTTTCGATATGATATATCCTGAAAAATTCTGTTAAATGAATTTGTTGTTGCAGCTCTAGTCAGCCAGACACCACTGATGTCCCAGGATCGCCCCCTGTAGCCAGCTCCCCAACTGCAGAGCTCCCTCCACGTAGTGACGGTGGGGAAGGGGCGTCAGACAAACCCCCCACCCAGGAGGAAGTGGTGGCAGCTACCGATAAGATCACCAAGAGGATTCAGACATTGCTTAGTGTGGCCACAGAGTGCAAAGTTCAAAGGTAAACATTGAGTACATCACAAGTCTATCACATGTCCATCACATGTCCATCACAGGTTCATCACAAGTGCATCACAAGTCCATCACATGTCCATCACAGATTCATCAAAAGTCTATCACAAGTCCATCACATGTCCATCACAGGTTCATCACAAGTCCATCACAAGTCCATCACATGTCCATCACATGTCCATCACAGATTCATCAAAAGTCCATCACATGTCCATCACATGTCCATCACATGTCCATCACAGATTCATCAAAAGTCCATCACATGTCCATCACAGGTTCATCACATGTCCAAGACAGGTCCATCATAAGTCCATCACGTGTCCATCACGTGTCCATCACAAGTCCATCACAAGTCGGGTCACAAGTCTATCACAAGTCAGGTCACAAGTCATATGTAATGGCCAGTATCAAAGGAATGCCTTGAGCACAGATCTACTGAATTGCTTGTGACTTGACTTGAGATTGAAGGACTTGTTATGATGTGTGACTGAGTTGTGAGGACTTGACTATGACTGTGATAAACAGATGAAAAGTAAATTTCATGAAAATTTGATCAAGTATGTGAAAACCTTTTACAGTAGATTTTTAGATGATGGCTTTAATATATGGTGTTTCTCTATTAGAGCCAGCGCAAAAGTCAAATCAGGGCACCAGAGCTCATTTTCAGCTTCCACACTAAGCAATTTAAACTTGTCTCCAATGGGATGACTAAATCTTTTTTTACGTTAAAGTCTTGGGTAAAAAGTCTTCATTAATTATTTTGTAGTGGTGATAAAATTGCTAATATGTTGATACTCCTGTCAATGTGAATTTACAGTCCCATTTGGTTTGTTTGCTTTCAGTTTTGCATCGTGTTCAGATCAGATTCGGTCTGCAGTGAATGAAATGGCTAACTTGTTCCCAGAGGTAAGACCCATCAGTAAAACTGTAATGACACCTCAATTTCTGAATGTCACCTTCAGCTCAAATGTTGTCTCTTTTACATCTGTTGTCTGTCTTTTTGTCCCATTCAGAGCATAACTTCTCCAGAACTATTTCCTTCTTTTATTTCCATTCCATCTCTAATCTTATTTTCTTCTCTGTCACTACCCCTGTTTAATTATTATAAGCTCATGTACTTGAGTCACTCTGGCCCTTAATTTTTTTATCTTGACTTTCCCATCATTTGAAAGAATTTAAAAAGAAAAAAAGACTTTAGGTTTGATGTCTGATGATGTCAATGTAGATAATGCCATTCTCAACCATCTGACTGCTATATAGTTCCCAACATCTCCACCATCCTATACAGGGTGTCCCCAAAAATGCCCCTCTGGAGGGTGGATCAGAATGTTCGTAATTTATAACAATTCTCAAATTCAATTATAGAATTGATGTGCCCAAACATTTTTCTTTCTTGTGTGAAGTTTTTGTTGGATTCGGTTCAGTGGTTTTGAAACGAAGGCCATTATGTAACACCAGTCCGTTCCAAGTTTGACAACGCATACATTGAGAGCATACATGCACACAATGTGTTTTTCTGCAAGTGATGAATAATAATTGGAATGGTGCAGAATGGTATGGTGTTACATACAATGTAGTAGCCTCTATTTGGAAAACTGGTGAACCGAATCCGATGGACATTTTACAGAGAATAGTACAATGAATATGCTTCACAATTATGTTAAAAGAGTAGAAACATTTCATTTGTTTTAATTCTGCTACAACCCCGAGAGACACATTTTTTTGGAGGGACACGCTGTATTTGTTCTGATTCCTCATGTTCTTAGGGACATTTTTTGTGGATACATCATAAGAAATGATTTATTCAACAACAAAGTAGGGGAAAAAATAGGAAGTTTGATTCTTGAGACAAACTGGAGTTATCAAGGGATCTGCACTGGATCCTTAACTGAGTGAAACCTCAAGATGTTAGTGCTAATTCTTCTCAGAACCACACTTCTCACTTAGAGATAGTCACCTTACATGAAACTTAAGAAATATTGACAAGAGGCCCCTACCCACAAACTCTGCTTTAAATAGCTTTCAATCTTTTTTGTAATTTCTATTTGTTTATGATTGTTGCACAGCATAAATAAGTGAACAATGAACAAATGGTGTATCCAAATGGTATACATTGTTTAAATTCCCCCATCATGTTTTTCCACCTGCAATATCTCAAAGCGCTTTCCTCCTCTTCATGTTGTATCCATCTCCAGAAGTATCGCACTGAGTCTGTCAAGACGCCTCTTCGCATCCTGGTCTCTAGTGCCACACGCCTTCACACAGAGTGTAAAAACGCCGTGCCCTCTGACCCTAGTGTGACCCCTGACCTTGGCCGTCTGACCCAGGAGATCATTAGCAGGGCTTATGACATTGCTAAGTCGGCCAAGCAGCTTGTGACGTGCTTCCAGTGAAAACGATGGCTGTTAGTAAATTGACCATTTGTCCCAGCCCTCCTTGGTCCTGCAAAATCCACCAAGTTCTTAGCAGAATTTAGTGAGGTAGAGCCCAGCCATATTGTCTCAACATGGTGCTTGATTCTACTTAAAAGTTTAAATAAAAAGAAAGTGCCATCGGATTCCAACACAGTGATTGATTTTGAAGGATTGAGGAACTTGTTTTGGAAGTCTATTTACAGTAAGTCACTAGGGTAAATTTTGGTCAGTCAAGGTAATTTTGGAAAATTGTTATTAGAGATTTTTGAAGTGTCAGTGAAAGTGTTTGAGAAAAGTGGAATTACTTTAAAAATATTTTATTTCAGAATATTCATGAAATACAATTTGTTTAATACTTTTAAAGAGTAAAATAATAATGCCATCTTTTTCGCGCAGAGACAAATGAAGTGTGGTACGGGATATGAATTATCTTTGTGAATACTTTGCCGCTTGCCGTCTGTTTTTTTTTTCATTCAAAAGTTAACATTGCAGCTTCGTAATTTTGATGTTAATACACATATCCATGCTTTTATGTCAGCCTTCTTTACTACATGTAAATAGCTTGTCATGTGATGTGACCAAATAGCTCGTCATGTGACTAGACATGTGAGTGGAAAGGCTCATGTCAGTTTCCAGTTGGCTAAGTTTGTCATTTTGTTAACCACTTGATGGTGGGATTATGTTTTGCCAGAAAATCACCATTTTTGAAAAAGACAAAATATGTAGACCTAATTTTACAATCAAGTCGAACACCACAAATACTGATGCTTGAGTCATTTGTACAATATTTGTATGATACTGCTCACCGTAAATCATATTTTGCAACACTCTGGGGATATTTGCTATGACGACACGCTGTGTACAGTGGCCAATTTTAAGTTCAAAACATGATGTGTACAAAATTACAGGGAGCCACTGACATGTATACACGTCCACTGCCCATGCAAATATACATTGCAGGATCATGTTTACATGTCCTCCAGCGTTGCCTGGTTTTTAATCATGAGGCTGATGTTTGTACTTCCAATGAACACATTGTGACTTTAAATACTACTTACATTTGTACATAGTATCTGCTGCTTTAGAGTGCATGTTTTAAAAGGATGAAATAGTGATACAATAGACACAATAAGTTCATCTAAATTGTATTAAAATCATGTTGGAGTTTGTAGTTGTGTTTTATCAATAGTTATTGATAGATGAACTGAAAATAGATCATTTTGATTAATTCCCTTGAAGGAATATTACATTTATTTTATGCATGTATTGGGCATGCACATTTTAAATGGGTTTCAATGCACATTTCCCAAGAATCAGTAGTAACTAAACCTCAAGGTTTTTAGAAATGAGATATTCGTCTTCATCAGTGTATAAAATGCCAGTTCATACCGGACACAAATTTCACTTCAAAGGGAAGTCATTAAGGCAACAGTGCACATCACACTGAAATTTGCCATCATGAAAATCAAAGTTGCTTCTGTTTTTGTGTTAAGTATGAACTCAAAGCACCCACAACTGCCCTGCCATTTACTCCTCAACCCGCCCCCGACCGACCGCCCCAGCACTCTATGGTTTGTTGATTTATGGAGGAAAATACAATGTAATACAATTTAATACAAGTGCTAAAGGGTTAACTAGAGCTGAGGTTTTACACACTCATTCGAATTGGAAGGAGTCAACATCAACATCTTCATTTCATGGACATATTTGTATTATGAGCCGAGTACATGTAATGGTAATCGACTCCAGTTCGGTTTGAAATTCCATCAAGTATGTTACTGCATGAGCATGGACTCTGTGCTCAGTGCATGGCACTTTGTGACAACTAAAAAAAAAACGTCACTAGAAGGGACACACTGTACCTTTGAATAACGCATTTTGCCAGTAAAACAATGTATAAATATCAAACTTTACCATTTAAGCTGTTGTTTTCTTTCATATTTATTGTAATATAGTTTACTTTTACTACTCAGATGCCATCAGTTGATAATGCATGCTGCTAGCATTACAGCATTTTTCAAATAAAGATAAATTGGTGATAGCACTTTTGCTGAATTGTGCACATTTTTATATATTTTATTGTAAATTGAATTTCATTGCCTGAAATGGGTTGCCCATTTTTTTCCGCATAATCCTTACCCTTTAAACCTAGCCCCCTGTCCAAATCTGAAAAAATTTACGTGGAAGAATAAAATGTCATTGTCAGTTCCTGCATCCTTAAAAATTGTTGTATAAAAACTGATTTTATTTTGCTTAGCTGAACCCTTTCTCAGTGGGACGGGTGTCACATGTTGGAAGATCGAACACGCAGAAGGCTTATTCTGTTCAGCACAAGTTAGCCCCTTCCTCAGTGGGATGGGTGGCAGATGATGGAAGATCACATCAGCAGCAGTTGTTTGCTGCCGTTACATCAAGTAGTCCTCCACCTGTTCAACGATCAACCCCACTCTACATCTTTAGCTCTCATTAAACACTCCATAGAGGGTGGGATAAGAGAAGGTGGAAGATTAGGAATGCCTTGAAGCGCAGGTGGCAGACTGAATGTCCTCAAACTGTCCTCTGCTGATATATCCTTTGCTGCTCCTCCCTCTGTGCCTTGCCTTGTCTCTCCACCAGTCTTTCTTTTCTTTTGTCTCTTTTCTAACCAATCTTCAACTGTAGGATTTTCCGACAGTCTTTGCCTGTCCTGATCATCCCTCTGCCTGGACTTTTGAAAATGTTTTTGTTTTCTTGCCTCAATTTCTGAAAGAAAAAAATAAAGAAGAAACGTTACAGAATAGGAACATTCCCTAGAATGCTTGAATTATAACATGTAAACAATTAAAACTAGAAAAGATTGCGTACAAACCAGCAATGAGTTCATCTCTTCGTTGTGGAGTCAGATGTGAGAATCTGCAGTTGTGACCAAACATGCATTCACCTGTACAAATAGGAAATAGTACCAATACGTTACAATACATAGAGAGTGCTCTTGTTAACTCCCAAAATATAGCATCACCCAACTATAATTGCACTGTCCTAAAACTATAGCTGCAAATTCCCCAAATATAGTTCAGTCATTGCTACATAGTTGGGTCATAACATTTTTATCTGATGCTATGAAACGGCAAATACTTAAGTCAAATGGAGGTGACACACCACTACAGATGTGATACATTTTAACTTAAATCCATTCACCTGGAAACTTCTGAGCAAAATGCCATACATAAAATTGATGGGTTTACATTTTATGCAAATAATTTCCGAATGTGGATTTGATTTTATGAACGAGGCCTTGTACCCCAATATAGAACTCAAACTACTGCAGTGTTTTTGCTGATATGCAAGCTACTGTAGCCTGTAGGTCAGTTGTAGGCTGCCAGGAAATGAAAATAGCAGCACCTCGGATAAATTATAGTATTTTATTTGCCCAAAGATAAAAACAGGGGAAAAATGATTGCAATATTTAAGTATGTTGGGCGCGTTCGGTCGATGAGTGCCATGAGTCGATCATGATGCTATCGTACCGCTGCCACCTTTTCTTTCTAATTCACAACTGTGGCAGATTTTTTTTTTTAAAAGGTAAGGAAAGTCCGAGATATCCCACGGAATTGACCCATCGCACAGATTGACCAATTGTGCCCAACAAGTATATCGATATGCCTATATGATAAATCAAATGACATGAATGATAAGGATTTGGCACAATTGCAGAATACCCCGCTACTCGATCTATGCACCTCAAAACCGGCTACGGAGTCACGGTTGATTGCCCTCAATAAATCTTTTCAGGGCTACCGGTATACTACTAGGCCTACACACGTCATGCTCCACTGCACTCCCACTCCGTATCTGTGTAGCCGGCAACAGGGTAGTTGGTTTGGACTCAGAATTTTTCCAGCAACTCCCATTCCTTTTGTGTTGCTTCATTCCCAAGGGGACCCCCACTCAGTATCCCCGTAGCTGGCAATGGACTTGAATTGTTTCTTTTCTAGTGATTCCAACCTCGTAGCCAGAGAATTTAGGGGTGTATTTCCGAGTGGCGGGGTATTCTGCAATTACTCCAAGGATTTTAACCTGATTGATTAAATCGTTGGCATGGCCTCTTTGCTGATTCCTCTGCTAAAATCTCTTCAGGGTCTGAGGGGAGAAAACACAGGTTACAAATACAATCTCAATCAATCAACCATAATTAGTCAATTAATGCTCTGAGTCTAACGTAGACCCGTGAACGTGGCTTGTAAACTACAACGCCACGTTCACGGGTCTAAGACTAAGTCTTACGTTATGAATCAACAAAAACAAAACTTAGTTTTAAAACTTTTATTAACAATAAACAAAATTATAATTATAAACTATTGTAACCAGTGCAGCTGCACAACTTGAATTTGAAAATCAAAATAATGTCAAAAGTTTATTTTAAAGGCGATTGTATGCTAATTATAAAAATAAAATGCATTTCACAATGTTTCAATTTTAACGAAATAGGTGCAATGTACAATTGTATTGAAAACTCACCTTTGAAAGCAAAATAGTGCATTTTCATTAATGATTGGTGTTGTACTCCATGCATGTGCTTCTTTCGATTCTGCACATTATCAGCAAATGATTTGTCGCAGTAATCACAATAATACCGTTTGCCCATAGCGAAAAAATAACTGAGAAAATTCACTTCAGCATCAGCCAGCGGCGATCAAGTGCGCCCTCTATTGAAATATTGACAAAAAAATGACAAGCATTCAAACGAAGATGGCGGCTCTCACATGTTGATGACAAACAATTTATGGTTCTTCGTACTAAAACACATCTTTTTACCAGGTCAACATGAAACTCCTCAAACCAACGTGGGTAAATCATGATGGTGAGTATTTGTGGAGTCATCTGTAGCCTAGTGTAGGTGTAAATTGAAATCTAAATATGTGTTTTCTCAGTGACAGTGTGCTTCATCACGTTCACAACTTTTATAGCTCTGTCCCGCTCTGTCGAGCGCAAAGTGAGTCCCCCGCGCAAGTTTAAACTTGCGCGCGCAAGTTTAAACCTGCGCGCACGCAAGTTTAAACCTGCGCGCACGCAAGTTTAAACTTGCGCGCGCATTCATTTCCTTGCTACAAATTGCGCACGCAAGTTTAAACTTGCGCACTGCATAGATTTTCCTGGCCACGCATACAGACATGACAGAGCCGCTAATATGCAGATAATGAGATATGTAAGTTGTAACAATTATTTTTAAAGCAGATTTTTTTCTCCGATTTAATAGCATCACTGAGCTTCGGGAGACAATGCCGCCCTTAATGCCTTTTTTTGAAACATTTTATTAAATTCATTAATTAAATCATTTGCAAATTTATTTACTTTTTAAAATAATTACCATTTTATTTTTGCACAGCGTTTTTAAGTTGTAAACATTTTTTAATATGAATTATTGAGCCTGCAATAAAAGATATTTGTTAAAGTAATACATTTAATTAATTAATTAAATGAGTAATGCATTCATTAATTTTTTTTTCAAATTATGCACTTTTGAAGTGTACACAGCGCTCGAAATGTTATGCAAGTATTTCTAAAAATAATATGAATTATTGTACCGTCCAATTTATTAATTGTTAAATTAATTAGTATTTTTTTAAGAATAAGTACTTTTTAATTGTAGAATACATAAGCATTAAAAAAAAAATGTAACTACTATAATGTCAAAACTTGAACAATTGAAGGGATCATAATCATTCTTTTTACGTTAACAGCGGGTTACACCTAGGAAATTATTATTTATTTACATTCAAGAATATAAATAAAATACCAATTAGGTTTACACAAAGCAAAAAACTTGAAGCTGGTCTTTATTATTTAACAACTTCAGTACACTTTCCAAACAATCGCCGCAAGTGTGCTTAAGTTGATTGCTTGCCCCGTCCCCTCCCCGCCCCGCCCCCATGTACCCTTATTAAACACCTTCTCTGATAAGCACTGCTAAATCTCAATCTTTCTTTTCATTGACGCTAATTGAATTCCCCTTTTTATTTATTTCTTTATTCATTCATTTATTCCATTATTTCTCGTGTTTTGAAAAAAAAAGTCTTCATCAATGAAAATCCCGCCCGCAAAAAGAAGGTTGCGATCGCCTTTGCGCAAGTTTAAACTTGCGCACGCAAATTAAAATGGCGCGGTGTAATTTGCGTGCTTCAGGAGTCCCTCGCGCAAGTTTAAACTTGCGTGGGGGACTCAAATTGCGCTCGACAGCTCCATGACTTAACTGAGGCCAGCAGACGCTGAGCTTTCGTCTCTCGGGGCTCGCCCCATAGGCCCTAAATGTGGCCAATTTACTGGCCACACTCGCATGATGTACCCAAAAAAGTTGGACTTCGTAATAATTATACTGTCACATTCAGACTTAATTGTAGTTTATTTACGCTTTAGAACTTCGAAGCACACTTTCTCAGACGTCTACTTTTCGTGTAATTTCCAGCTAAACTTTGGAGGCTCGTTTGCAATTGCATTTTGTGTAACTAAATTTCAACATCGAAAAGATGCATGCTGGATATGTGAAAGTTAAAAAAAAAAAAAAAATCGCCAACCCTGTTTGCAATGCATCTTGGGATTGGGTCTTGCATCTTGCAGTAGAGTACTCTCCTAAAAGCATTGCTGCTGTCCTGGAGAGGGTGGGTTGCAATTCCATGTGTGCTCTATGTGTGTGCTGTTAGGGTGCTTATCGGATGGTGGTATTGTCAATTTGTCCTGAGAGATACAACTGGTAGCTCCATCCCTCTTATAGCTGGGAGAGCTTCTGTCTGGAACTCTTTCAAAGTGGTTGCAGTAACCGCAGCCACTGGTAGCCTGTTCCAAATCCGAACAGCTCTCGGGAAAGAGCTATAGAGGTAGCAGTCAACTCTGGTGAGTGGTTGCCTGTAGATGAGGTTATGTTGATTGGTCTGGTTGTGTCGGCTTGATCGTGTGTTATGGACGATGTTCGGAGGAGTAGTTATATTTACTTGGCCATGTTGAATTTTGTAGAGGAGTTCAACCTGATGGAGAAGACATCTGTCATGTAGGGTGTCCCATCCCAGTGATGTCAGCATGTCAGACACACTTGATTCCCAGTGGTAGTCCATCGTGACACGCAAACCAGGCAATTTGTGCACCATCTCCCCGTGGGGCCAAGTACCAGTTGCAACTTTCATTTAATTCCTCATTTGATATCAGGAATTTAGTGAATATCTTTTCACACATTGATGCTGTTGCACTGGAAATTTGACATATATTTATTATCATATAATCATCTTAATGAAGAAAGTTCAGGGAATCCCTTTTAGAGACCAGTTTTTCACTCATGGATATTAATAATAACATCATGATATTGACCAATCACAATCAAGATATTGAGGTCACGCCTCCGAGCTTGACTGGTTCCTATTCACCCATAGCTTTGTGCACAAATTGCCTGGTTTGTTTGTCATCCAGTCCCAAGATGCATTGTGAATATGGAAAAGGTGGCCTAATTTAATACTAGGGCTAGTGTACATGCAGTAAACATGTCCAAAATGATTTCTACAACCTTGAATCAATCTTCCATTCCCCTAATTTTCAAGATTTGTAACAGTATTTTGAAAGAAAAAATGACTTTTTTTTTACTCCAATTAATGTTGTGTGTTTAGTTTGCATTGACAATAGCAACACATTGCGCGTAAGCAGAATCTACATGTATTGCCACCATTTTGTGTGTGTTTTGTTGTTATTTTTACTACATGTGTATTTAATTTCCACCCCGCCCTCTTCAACATTGTCAGCCTTAAGTATCGCCTGCAACTTTGAATATCCCTATGAGAAGATTGTTGCAGAACAAAGTGGGGCGTACGCAGCACACAAAAATGGGTGAAATGTGTGCAGCGGCCACAAATCCACTGCTTTTTGTAACAATTTCTGTCATTAAAAATTTAGTTTTTGCAATGACGAGATAAAGCTTCTTATTGTCACAGTCTGCTTTTATAATACTCAACTATATTTTGGATAAAATGTGGAACTTTCAGTCCCACACAAATTAATGCATTTCAATACATTCACAAAGTAAGCCAAGTATTTTAACCCATAATTTCCCTCAAAAATCAAAACCCACTTTAGGGTGCCAAGTTTCACAGAATTTTTGACATGTTGAAAATACTTCATAATTTTTGTCAGTAATTGATATTAATTGATATTTCCTTGAATTTTGTTTTTTCAGACAAACCCGTTTTTGGTATTGACATTCATCCTGATGGATCACGATTTGCCACGGGTGGACAAGGTAAAACCCATAGTATTATAGCATTGAACAATAATGGAAAACATTCATAGTCTCAGTTTTGTTGTGACATGTATGTACATGCATGTGTAACCTTTTTTCCCTTAACTTCAGCAGGCAAAAATACTTCAGCAGGCATGCAGCTTTTCCTAGGATCTGCTGATTTCCTACCATAAAAAATGAAAAACACTGTACAAAGTCTTCTAAATGTTGGAATGTCGTCTTTATTTCTGTCTTTACTGTTGCATGCTACAGATACAGTGTATATACAATGTAGTCAAGTCCATCACAAGTCCATCACAAGTCCTGCAGTCCCAATTCAACTCACAAGCTATTCATATGAGCTTTGACAAAGGCATTCCTTAGTTACTGCCACTGCTTCTTGTGACTGGAATTGTGATGGACTCGACCACATCCCTGTTGCATGTCTGCTTCAGGTTTCACTTGTTTTCAGAATTCTGTATTGAGAATATTTCATTGAAGTGGTCTGTATTTTTGTTGTTGATCAGGGGAAGATTCTGGGCGAGTCATCATTTGGAACATGGCCCCTGTCCGCAAGGAAGAAGATGAAAAGAATGAGAATGTTCCTAAGATTCTCTGTGAGATGGACAACCATCTGGGTGAGTCAAAAGTTGGATGTTTGGCGGCTGTTTGTAAAAATAAAAAGCTGTTTGATGACTTTGTTTTCTCCCCCCCAAAAATACTTGAAAATGGAACTGGTTTCTTGTGACCAGGAAATTGTCGAGGGCATCCAGTAGCGATAGTAAAACTCTTGACCTCTTTACGTCTTCTCAAGAAATCTTCTGAATCCAACAAATTCCATCAACAGTAATGCAGCATCCTGAATCCCACAGAATTCCACAGCTAGAAGTGAAAGTCTGCACAAAGCAACAATATTAATTGCATTTCAGTTTGATCTTACAGGATCTTGCATCAAGGACAGTTTGGCTGTCTCTGAAATTTCTTAAAATTTCAAAATCTTAGAGGACAGAACAACTAAGAATGTTACATACATGTTTGTACCGGTAGCTTCTAGTGTTGGCATTCTGCAACCGATTCAGTCAAACACCTACATACATGTAGATGTCCTGGATTGTGTCACCAGTCCCTCTTGAGTTTGTATATTTGGCCAAAGAAGGAACCAGCTGAGATGTAACAATTTACACTTTCTGTGTTTTGTGCCCTTTTTGTGTTAGCATGTGTGAACTGTGTACGGTGGTCCAACAATGGATATTACTTGGCGTCTGGTGCTGATGATAGGCTGGTCATGGTGTGGCAGATGATCAGGTGAGTTAGCCTGGTACTTGGCTTCAAGGTCACCAGTTATTTTAGCAATGTCTCAATATATTATCTGAGCATCTTGTTATGTTGATGAACTATACAACATCACCATCATCATCATCATCATCATCATGAACATCATCTGAGGGTAGACGGTAGCTAACTGTGATAGGTCCTTTAACGAAGTTCTGTGTTGGGCTAATCCCAACACAGAACTACAACAATAGTTACCCATAGAAGTGTTTATTTAATGCACGCTTACCTTACTTATTTTTTTTGCAACGTCTTTATGTCCACTTTGTATCCATCTCACTGACTGACACACTGGCTGACTGTCACTTATGAAGCAAGCAGTGCTATTGTATAGGATTATCCCTTAACACCAATGGATGGGACCAGCTCATTAGGCTTGCCTCGCCTGGTTCCTTCAAAGAACCGGAGTGTAATGCTGTATCCAATTATAACATTAAGATTTTCTTTTAAACACTGTATTTTTCTGAACTTCAGCAACATTTTTTTTCAAAACCCCCCCCCAGAAATACCATAACAAATGTTTGCAAAATTATTGAAAGTTTTGTCATCCTTGACATTAACCTTTGACCTTTTTTATTGTAGCTATGGCGGCACATCCAGAGCCTTTGGGTCAGGCAAGAGCAACATTGAACAGTGGAAATGCGCTCACACTCTAAGGTCACACACAGGAGGTATGTCACGGTCATCTAACATTCATGTACATTTGAAATAAAAAAAAACCCAGTTTAGTTGGTTCAGAGGCAATAAATGCATTGCAGGAGTCCATTCACATTTACCCCAACCCCCTAGGCCCTTTTGCTAGGCCCTCAATCCTTCCAAAATGATCTCCAACCTCCTCCACATACCAAAATGTTATACTGCCTCAATCCTCCAAAATCCCCTGTTACTTTATTTTTATTTTTCTGCGGCCTCAATCCTTCTACATGTAAGTCCTCCAACTAACTTTTTAGGATGATATCTAGGAGCAATCAGATGACATCCAGTGTAATGTAGGCCTACATTGATGCATGGCTGAACATAAACAATGCAGGTTACAGCTTACGTGTAAGATCTGACCCAGTGCATCCTCCCATGCCAACCATACGGCTTCAATCTTCCAAAACCTACCAGATGGGAATTAGTGATTTTGGAGGATTGAGGAGATTTAGGGTTAGGTTGGTTTTGGAGTACCTCTTGGCACTGAATTGGGCCTCATTCATGAGTTGGCCATTTTTGTCAAGTTCCCTGATTGTATTTCATTAATTGTTAACTGTTGAATGGGATAGCGCCAGAATATTTATGCGGGCACAATGCAGCCTTATTTTACTGTCAATTTTTTTTAAAATATGGCCGACTCTTGAATAAGGCCCATAATTCCAGAACATTGTAATCAGACACTTCAGCGCAGTAAAGTGACCTTTGAGCCTAACCAGAAATTGTGGTATAGTTTGGTTCCAAAGTTCTTACCCTCAGAATTATTTGTGTGGAAATGTTTACAACTGCTTACATGTACACTGTCCCATGGATGTTTCTCAGCGGTTGACTTAGTATTCTCTCCAATTTTGTTGTCTCCTCAGACGTTCTGGATCTTGCCTGGTCCCCTGACGATGCTTGGCTGGCGTCCTGCAGCATCGACAACAGCATTGTCATATGGAACGCACTCAAGTTCCCAGGTGAAAAAAAAAATGATGTGATTTCTCCCCAAAAAATTGTTTAAACCACAAAGAATTTCCTTAATTTTTAGTTCAAAAAGAAACTTGACACAAGTTGGAGATGAACCTGTGATCTGTGAAAGCCTGTACCCGTGCTGTACCAAGTGGGCTATTCAGATCTATGGTGCCATCCATCGTAGTAAATGTCCTTATCCTGTTTGTTTTCTGAGAAAATTCACATTTCTGAATCCTAAAAGCAGTATCATTTATATTATGAACTACAGGATGATTGTTTGTGCATTCACAATTGAACAGTTGCTCACAGTACCAACGTTGATTTATCATTGATTTTGATTTGATGATAGAGATCATATCAGTACTGAATGGACACTCAGGGTTGGTCAAAGGAGTCACATGGGACCCAGTTGGGAAGTACGTTGCCACACAGGTATGTGTACAATTATGTCACCCTCAGTAACCTATGACCTATGACCTCAAGGTCAATACACATTCACTCAGTTGTTAAAATTAATTCATAGTTATTTCTACTCTGTGGTTTATAGATGAAATTCTCTCAACATTTGACAGATGATCATATTAAGTTAAATCATATCCTTGGTTCGTATTTCCATTTCGGAGTAACTGAGCATTGTTTATTTCAACTGAAAACTGTTTTTGCAGGTTAACATTTTATCAAACACATTCTTTTCCACAAAGTTATTTTTGAATTCTTTAATTTATAGAAGATGTGATTTTTGTTTCAGTCTGACGATAAAAGTCTTCGAATTTGGAGAACCATGGACTGGAAAGAGGAAACGTCAATCTTCAAGCCGTTTGAAGAGGTAGCAAGAATACAGGATTTCAATGTGTTTTTTTCTCTCTGTCTATTGTTTAGTTTTATTTATTTATTTAACCAGGGCATAACTTAATCCTGGCAGTTTATAGATGTTTTATTACTTGGCATGTTGTCATGATATTTATTGCTTTTGATGCCAGTTCTTTGTACATTTTCTGTTTATATAAAATATAATTTGTACATATACATGTACAAGACAAAGTTGTAAAAGTTCAATTCAGAAACTATTAAAAACTAAAACACATAATTCTACCATTTAAATTTTGACGATTCCCTTTAATATGTTCACAGTGTGGTGGCACAACACATGTCCTCAGGCTTAGCTGGTCCCCCGACGGCGCTTACGTTGTATCTGCCCATGCGATGAATAACAGGGGACCAACCGCACAAATCATCGATCGTGATGGCTGGAAAGCTAACATGGATTTCGTTGGGCACAGGAAAGCGGTCACGTGTGTCGTAAGAATCACTTTCAATTTGTTCTCAATCCCTAAAACGTTGAAAAAACATACAACCATTGATTGTTATATTTGATATTTCAGGACTTGTATTTTATGTCACTGAAAATTAGGTTCAATTTCACGCATTATTTTAATTTTGTCTTTTTTACAGAGATTTAATTCCAACATCTTTACGAGGCAAATAAAAAGGGGAAATCACACAAAGGTAAAAATGCAATGGTTTCATTTCTATGTTTTTATGAATGATTTAGGTTACAATTGCAACCAGACCGAAATCCAAAGTGTAGTAAAACTTGATTGCCAAATTATATACATAAATTAAAAATAAAAATTAAATATGAAATAGAAAATAAAACAAATTGTCCAAAATTTCCATATATTATATACAGTGTCTATTAAAGGATTGAGGTGTTTAGCATTTTGCACAAGAGAGTCAATCCAAGTTATTAGATTTTAATATTTTTCAGAAAAATAGTCTATTATTTTTTTGTTCTGTTGGAAAGGACTTTTCAATATGTCAGGTTTATTTCTGACATTGCCTCTCTATCAGCAACCAACAAGTTTCCCCCGTTTAAGTGGCTGTTTTATTTCTCATTGTAGCATCAGCCATATACGTGTTGTGCCATCGGAAGCAGGGATAGAACTGTATCAATATGGGTAAGTACATGTATATGATACCTTAGGAAGGAATACGTCATTGATTTAAGTGTGATATGTCAAAGAATGCGACATGAAACAATTTCAAAATATTGCTGCCACAAAACTGCATTATGAAGTGTGTTATATAATTTGGAACAAGTTAAAATTAATCAATTTAATACATTCATGATTTGTTTGGTTAGATTGTGAATCTTATTGATTTCACTCAATTTTTTGCAAAGTTTTACAATTGATTCGCTAGGCATTTTGTTTAAACTTTGTATTTTTTTCAGTTAACGGCATTGAAGCGCCCTCTAGTGGTGGTCCATGACATCTTCAACAACTCCATAATGGACCTTGCATGGTATGCCTAAAAAATGTCTTATTTGTTGTAATTCACAAAGTTCTTTCATAATGTACAGCCTTTATTTACACTAATCTCCCCAACTCCATCAAAATCAAACCCCCCCCCTTTTTGGTGGATTTTGGGGGACTTGGTCCTGCAGGCCTAGTTTGACTAAATATTGATGGAGTATGATGAACACGGGCCAGGAGGGCGGACTTGGTCCAGTACTTAGTAAAAGACAGTAGGGAGTTAGGGTTAATGTTCAACACATTTCTGTTTGATTGTGTCAAGGTTCCCACAAGTCATGGAAAGTCCTGGAAGTTGGAGCTGTCATGCAAAGTTGTGAAAAAGTCATGGAATTTCATTTTAAGATTTCTGTGGCAACCGTAATATGTTGGTCATCGTCCCAAAATTTGTTATGGCTTTTGTCCTGAAATGACTTAATTTCCTTAGCATTGTATTATCAGTGCTGTTGGGGGTTGCTAAAAAAATGTTAGCAAGCTTGCTCGGGTGGGGCTCGAACCCACAATCTCCTACTTACTAGTGCATACATCTTACCACTTGACCATCAATCTTACCAGGGTCAGCTGGCTGGTCTGAATCTGATATAGACCAGGTACTGCAATTATTTCGTATGATGGAATTTATGTGACTTTGACATTTTGTCCGCAGGAGCTCAGCAGGAGATGAGTTAATGGCCTGCTCAGTAGATGGCACCGTCTGTTACTTCCAGTTTAACTGTGAGGAAGTTGGCAAACAGCTCACCAACGACGAAAAGGTACAGAGTCATGACTTCTTGTGAGATGGTCTGGAATATTAAGTCACTTTTTCTCATTACACTGCAGAGCTCAATGATTTTCAGATTAACACACAAAACTTGGTGTTTTCTGCCTGTTATATACACATTGGCAGATGTGTAATTTAACCCGCAATGCAACCCATCTGTTGCATGTGGCCAAGATACATGCTGTCCCTGGGATGGGGAAGAGGGCATGTGTAAAGGGCCAAGTTTCAACTGACCCCAAGAACGCCCAAAAAGCACCCAAAAGCCCCCGAAAATCACCTACCAGGAGCAACCCAAGATCATCTGAATAGCACACAAGAGCAGCATAAACGTATCCCAAGAGCCCCCGAAAATCACGTAGATGAACCGTAGGATCATACAAGAACACCCAATAGTGCCCTAATGTACCCAAAATCAAGTTAAGAGCAAATGAAACAAGCCCTCTAAAACATCTTAAAAGCATCACTTTCTCACTTCTGCCCTCACCCTTTCGTAGGCACTTTTAAATCTCATATTGAATTGAGGAAAATAAACCTTCCTAAATTCTAACCTTAAGAAATTCTCAAGAAACAACCACCCGACTCATTCTACTCTCTTCTTACTTATTGTCAGGTCAACCTCCATGAGAAGGTCTATGGTAAGAGCATCTTGTCCTCTGGCTCAGCCAATCTTGCCAACCGCATCATTGAGAATCCAGAGATGCTGAAACTACAACAGCAACAACGTGAACTGAGAGAGAAACAGGCGTCCAAGCTCAAGATGAGGGCCACGCCCACTAAGCCTGTCGTCCAGACACCTCTCATAGAGGGACAGCCATTGGTGAGTTCTAGTTGCTACGGTAACAATCACCACGCAAAATTTGACCTCACAGCATTTCGCGGAAATGATGAATACATTGCAAATGGAATGACTTCAATCAAGGCTTGAGGGATGGTATAGTTACTTCAATCTAGGGAATTAAAGTTAAGTGGTGGTTGAGTCATGATTTACTTTGCACCTACATTTTAAATGTTATGGTCCTAGCTCCATGTTGTGCATTTAGATGCATCATCAGTAAATCGTTCCCAAAAAGTTGGCCAGACTGGTCTAACTGCCCTTTACCAGTGTGTGTTTGATGATACACTTTAGTGTGTGATTTGTATCAAACTTTCATGAAGACTATGTTGATCTGCATTTGAGACAGTGTGCTTGTACTTGTGTCTAGGATGTGAAGAGCCAACAGATTGAGACGAGAACTCCTGATGGTAGACGGAGGATCACACCGCTGTATATCGCTCCTCAGCAGGCCAGCTTTGGGTAACTACATCAATGTCCATTTAAACAAACATAAATCAAGAAACAGTTTGAAGCATAACATGCAACCCTTGAGCCAATCTGTAAATATATGAAGGATTTTTGGCAAATTTATTCTTTGAGCAACATGTGTGGAGCCATTGATGGTATCATGTGTGACATATTGGAGCAAGTTCCAGTGAGGACTGTGGTAAACAATAGATAAACTTACTTCATCTGAACGCTTGATGGTTAGACTACTCTAGTCAATTATTCAAAACCGGTGCCCAGGGCATAGTTCCATCACTTGTTACCAAAAGCTGTGCACATCATAATGTATAGCAGGGAACCAGGACCAAGGAGTTTTGTGCTGACGTTTTGGCCATCATTTGACTAGAGACATTCGCATGTTGTCATTTCGCACATAGTCATTAGTGCACAGACGTAAGTTATGTCATGAATCATAGTTGTTTGCCCGAACTTGCTGCTACATGTAGCTGATACCAAGTTTTTCTAAATAATAAGTATAAAAATAAAACAGTTCTTATAGAAGCACTTTACACAGATGTCCCAAAGCGCTTTAAGAACTTTGTTTGTGCACAATTAATGGACATGCTCTGGTATTTATGAAGTCATTCTTTTTGAATGGAAAACATGATGCAACTTTTGTTTTTCTTAAGCACGAGTCAGTTATGGAAGTAACTTCTTTGTTTTTATCTTTGCAAAATTGAGTTCAGTTGAAGTGGCTTCAAATTCTTAAAGGAAAGACATTTTGGCTTCATTTATCTCACGTATAGTCCGACAAGTAGAGCATTTGGTTTTTGTCACTAAATGCTGAGAACCACAATTTTTCCATGATATATTTCCAGCATTGCCCCTAAGCCATTCCCTAGCGCCAGTCAAAGCGTATTCACCAGCCCTGCATCAACCAATCAGCAAGCTCAGCCAAGCAGTAATGTATTCACTGAAGGTCAGAGTAAGGTCACGGTCAAAACAGAGGTCGTGGACGGGGTCACCAGCATCGACAACAGTACCGCGGTAAGTGGGACAAAATTACTTATTGTTGTAAAGTAATTATCCAGTTTTTACTAAAACTGTATTTTCCGTTTGTTAGATTTGTCAATGCTTTTGACTCATTTAATGATGTACAAAACACGGACTAAATTGTAAAGTATAACTGTTAGACTAGTGTATGGTTCAGTTCAGTAATTTAATAATAATAAGAATAATAATAGGTGATTCTTATAGAGCGCATTTCATTACTGAAAGAAACCTCAATGCGCTTTACAGATTACAAAAGATACAATACAAATTATTATCTACAGACTAAACAGATGTGTTTTCAGTTTAATCTTAAATGCATCAAAATGTATTTCATCCCTCAAATGCTGTGGTAGCGAATTCCATAATTCTGGAGCTATTATCTGGAAGGCCCTCCCTCCATATGATTTAGTGTTGGAATGAACTGGGACCAGTAAGTTCTTTTATTGTGAGCGGAGAGTGATTTGGGGGTTGTATGGTTGGATCATTTCTTTGAGATATTCGGGTGCTGATCCATACAGGCATTGAAGACAATTACAAGTACTTTGGATTTAATTCTACACTTAATAGGCAACCAGTGGAGGCCTTGTAACAGTGGTGATACGTGTTCAAACTTTCCCTTCTTTGTCACAAGTCTTGCAGCCGAGTTTTGTATTCTCTGCAGCTTTGAAAGGTCCTTGTCTGGAAGACCGTAGAATAGGATATTGCAATTGTCCAGAAGGGATGACACAAATGCATGCACAAGAATCTCGGTTGTAGACTTATTGAGGTAGGGTATGATCTTGCCGATTCTTCTGAGCGCTAGAGTGGCATTTCTGCAGATCTTGTTGATGTGATTTCGCATGGTGAGATGCTTGTCAATGGTGACCCCCAAGTCCCTCACCGAGTCAGATGGTAATACTTGTTCACTACTCGCACTTGAGATTGGTGGGAGTTCTTGGCAATGTCTGAACATAGAGGAGACATGAAGAACTTCCGTCTTGCTGTCATTTAGAACAAGGTTGTTGCTCATCATTCAACGCCGCACATCTTGCAAGCAGGTTACGAGCCTTTCAAGTACTTGATCTCGGTCCGAAGATTTAATGAAGTAATGGTATGTAAAAATAATTCACATACTAAAAAAAAAAAATCATTAGATTCTTTCATTAGAACCATCTTTGAGGGTAACACATATTTTCCACAGGGATACACATGAGTACACCTCTTGTACAAGGCACCTCGAAGATGACTGCTGAAAGTGCCAAAGCAAATCATCCTTCACACTCAAGTGGTTTGTGATTTGGTTTCCATTTTTCAGCCCATTTCAGCCCTGGACAGTCGCTTCACCCAGAAACCAGCCAGCGAAACCAAGCAGCAGGAGAAGACCAAACCGCCCAGTGACAGCCAGCCTACAGGCCAGGTCAAGCTAGCCAGCGATGTCAGCCAGAAACCAACCAGTGTGATGGTAGAGAAGACAGTGCCAGGTGCTGAGGGTGGTGCTGCAGCCCAGCCGGTGGTGACTAACATTGCAGCAATGGCCTCAGCTGCTGCTGCTGCTGCATGTGCTGAAGCTGCGTTAGCTGCTGCGTAAGAGTCTCATTGATTTATTTAATACTTTACAGCACCTCTTTGAAATCGAATGTAAATGCTGCAGTTGTTGAAACTATTTCTGTTAGGCAGCTCATTAAGGATTTAGCTAAACCAATTTATCAACTTAATTTTAAAAACTCACTTCTTGCCTAGATTGTCAGATTTCTCAAGGACGACATCACTAAAAATTGGCAATGTTATTGTGAACCATTACATAGCTTTTGATTCGCTATGTTAAACAAACGTCAATGGTTTCTGATGTTTTGATCAATTAATCATTGTTGCAGATCGACAGACCCCACTGCCTCGGTTTCTACCCCTCCTCGTGGCAGCCTCTCTGTCACTCCCAAGAGGAAAGACATAGCCTTGGATAAACCAGTCATGAAGAGAGCAAGAAGAGAGTACAGGACGCAGGGTAGAATTGCTGCTGCAGCCGCAGTTGCTGCTGCTGCTGCTGCAGCGGCTGCGGCTAATACAACACCAAGTACTACAACAGCAACAGCAGGCACTGCTGTAAGTACAGACTGAAAAATGACCATTAGAGTAGTCAAGTAAGTCACAAGTCAGATCAAAAGTCAATCACGAGTCGGGTCACATGTCAATCACAGATCAGGCCGCAGCTTTGAAATTATGAAGAGGGGTTTATAGGGGCGGGGGGACACCACAAGTTTCTATAAAAGATTGGTCAAACATATTCGCATAACAAAATAGGGTGCTTGTTGACTAGTTTTGAGAACTCCACTGGGGGACACACTGCGTCACGTACTGATTCGGGCGTGTATGGCTCGAAGTATGCACGACTAATTCTGTCCTGGATATACACAAAGACTTAGCATGAGCGTCAGGCGTTGTCAGCAATGCATTCAAATGTCTCTCCCAGTGGTCTCCCCTAACTCTCCCTTTGTAACCATTGAGGGGGTACTTGTGCACGGAGCCCATGTGCATCAGAACTTCGGACATTGTATTGGTTGCTATGCACCATGAATATTCTACCTTCTCTGTAGCCATCTTGACCTATTTCTCAAGTATGCTTGCACACAAATACAGGGGGAGTCAAAAAAAAGGAAACCCAAATGTCAGGACCATTTTTTAAAATGAAGTTCTGCATGTAGCACTTTCAAAATCTAGGATATGAAAGCCCAATTAATAAGCTTTCTTTTAGTGCAAGAATCATTCAAATCACTCATGTACTTTTCAAGTTACGGAATTTTAAACACAACCACCGTTTTAAACATCTGTCCATGGATCAAAAAAGGTAAGTGTTCTTTCAGCAAAATGATAATTCACATACATGTACATCCCTATGACTTTGAGAGTGCTACATGCAGAACTTCATTGAATAATTGGTCCTGCCATTTGGGTTTCATGTTTTTTTCCCTCACCCAGTATGTAAATTAAATCGACCCAACTTCAAAGGTCTTAAAAGACAACGACGTAGGAGATATTTTCTGGCTCATTGTCAGGGTGTGGTATTGATTCTGAATGCAATATCTTAATCTGAACATTAAACTGAACTAACTGTGTTGTACACTTCTTTTACCTCTTTGTCAGAATGAAATATTTTGATTCTTTAACTCTTTCGCTACAATAACGTGCAGCAGACCCCGGCGAGACGGAGAGCCGCTGGCAGGGGCTCGAACTAGGGTCAGAGGTTATGCGATATAAATTATGTAGATAAGGCACACATCATGGGGATACCCTGTTTATTCACAGCGACATCACCGAGCCGCTAACAGCGGTTTGCCGTACGACATGTACAATTTGTGTGTGCCGCTGTCAGCGGCTCGCCGTAGCCAAAGAGTTAAACAGCTTAGAATAACATGTCTTTCTGTGATACTTAACAGGCTGTGAGTGATGGCGTGATCCGTGCACCTAAGCCACCCCTCAAGATTCCCGTACCATCAACTCCCAAGAATTGCGAATTCATAATACCTCAGCCGAGCGGCTCCAACGAACAGGAAGTTGTTGTAGAATTGGAAAACAATGTCACTGTCAGTGGTAAGTCTTAGATAAAGGGAGCCAGTCCCATGGAATTACTAATCACTGAAATGAACTAAGCACAGGAAATGTTTGCTTAGCGGAAACAGGTCACCTGTCCTAATGCCTTGTGATGTGTAAATTAGTAAAGAAATATTTCCAGCTCATCAGCTGTGGGGAATGGGGTCCTGGCCACCTAAGAAGTGGGTGCAGATTTTGAGCATTGGTTATAGATTATTGGTTTTTGAGTAATAGAAAATGATACTAATGCATTGTGGTAGAAAAAGAACAGAATCCATACTGCCCGACATCAAACAAATGTAAAGTACACAGAACAAAGTATAGAGACAAAATTAACAAAAGGGAGAGTCGATACTGAGATATAGTATGATTTACTGTTAAGGGTTTTACTTTTTTCCATTAAAGGTGGAGATTTATATTGGATGCCCTTTTGATCTCTAAATGTATCGAAATGTAACAAGTCCGTTTAAAGAAATAACTATTTATAGATGTTGTAAACAGGGTCATTTCCCATAATAAAGTGTTAACCCCTTGATGCCGGTGTCACATGAAAATCCGACTCCTATGAAAATCGGACCCCTTTTCCCTATTATTGGTTAATCCCTCCCACGTGACCGGTCACTTTCCTAATTACCATACTTACGCATGCGCGGTATTACCAATGAGTCCGAATTTCACAGAAACGTAAATTCACGCTACACCGGTATTGTTTGGCCACGGACAGCTGCACATTGGGTGGAATGTGTACGTGCAGGTATTCAGCCGTTGTATATGAATGGATGCGCTATGCAGCAGGAATGTGGCAATAGCAATCCCCCGGCTTATGGGCTTTTATCGAGCTGCATCTAGAGCCGTCAGCCGGCGTGAAGTGGTTAAACACAATCAAGTGGAATTTAGTTTTCCACGATATATTTATACTTTGCCCTTTTCATAGGAACCACTGTACATAGACTCCGAGGCAGCAGGGACAATGAGACTGTATGGGAGTCCATACTAACCAGTAGAGGAATCCTCATCACAGGAAACAGGTAGGCTGAAAGGACAGATTATCAATGTGGAGGCTTTGTGCAAGGATCATAGAGCAGTCATAAACCTGGAGTGCAATGTTGTAAGCCAGTTGTCTGAATTCAATCACAAGTCAGTTACAGAATGATGCGTTGTGAATGGTTTTGCAGGCATTCCATTGTCGTTCATACCCTTTTAGTATTTTCTTGATATTCCCATATTGCCATTGCAGCATTAGTAATTTTAGGGTTAGGGTCTTAGTATCTTTCCACCATGCAAACCTTCAAATCTTATATTAGTAATTTTGTAAGAATCATGACTTTGAGCACACAGTTTCACCTTGTGGAGTATTTGATATTTCCTGATGCAGGGATTCCATTGTCATTCATACCCTTCTAGTATTTTCTTGATATTCCCAAATTGCCATTGCAGCATTAGTTATTTTGTAAGAATCATGACTTTGAGCACACAGTTTCACCTTGTGGAGTATTTGATATTTCCTGATGCAGGGATTCCATTGTCATTCATACCCTTCTAGTATTTTCTTGATATTCCCAAATTGCCATTGCAGCATTAGTTATTTTGTAAGAATCATGACTTTGAGCACACAGTTTCACCTTGTGGAGTATTTGATATTTCCTGATGCAGGGATTCCATTGTCATTCATACCCTTCTAGTATTTTCTTGATATTCCCAAATTGCCATTGCAGCATTAGTTATTTTGTAAGAATCATGACTTTGAGCACACAGTTTCACCTTGTGGAGTATTTGATATTTCCTGATGTCATCATTACAGCTTGGTCGTGTGCGTGAGCTGCGAGAACCAAACGCTCAACATGTTCACCTGCGGAGGTCGCAGGTTAATTCCAGCCTGTATGCTGCCCTCTATAGTCAGTATACTGCAATGTAGTAGCCGATACGCAATGGCTATAACATCACTTGGAATGCTGTATGTTTGGTAAGGTCTATAGTAGGGATTACTAAAATATCCAAAATAACACTTGCAAGACGATTGTAGGCAAGGGGGCAGGGTATAATATTAAGTGTCAGTTGTTTTTTAAAGATGGGCATGAGGACCATATATTTCAAATTAGTTTCGGTCCTTGCTGCATTTTATTCCTGCTTCGGTTAGGATAGATTTAAGAATTAATAACCCCCAAAATATGTTATATGTGGTAGTGAACAACTCTCACTTGATGAAGATTTCAAGTTTGAAGTTTTTGATTTGGAATGAATCTATCTTAAAGTAGAAATACCGCATTGCAACAATCTGCTTATTAACTGGAATAACCTGAAATATGTAAATGCTCAAAATGAGTAACAACCAAATGATTCTAGCGGACAAATCTGCTGGAACCAAAAGAACCAACTTGAATGTCAAGTTTTGATGTTTTTGGTGCAGGGACTTGAAGAGACTGAAAGCCATTATCAGGAAAGAATCATTGCTGCCAATCATGAAAGGTAATTGCATTCAGTCTGTGTGTTTGTCAGTTGTTTGTCTTTCTGTCTATATATGTCCATTTGGAGGGCTCTTTGTTACTGTCTTGGCTGTTCGTCCGTCTGTCTGACTATTTAGTGTTGTGTACCTTTTTCTTGTGTCGTTGTTTAGTCCTAACAGCTGAATCTTTTGGGATCCTTTTATATCCTTTTATTTCATTTTTCTCTTTTATAAATAACCTTCAGGCGGTGATGTGACCATCACCAACTCACTGGTAACCGAGCATGGGGTACCAGCCGTGTCACTGTCCAATGGCAGGTCATATAGCTACAGCTCATCCATGTCATGTTGGTGAGTGATTTTAATTTCAATGTTTCTCATTGAATATAGCAAATGTAGTTGTTCTCTTACAGTTCTAATGATAAAACATTTAATACTTTATCTGTGATACTAATTTATGTTTCTATTACAAAAAAGATGACAGAAGTCTCAAAGGCTACCCTGAAAAGTCTGACGCTATAAACCTGTATATGCCATGTAGCCAGGGACCACACCCAAAGACACGATACTAGCTACACTAACAATGCTGCAAACCTGGCAAATAGCAAACGGGGAGCACTCAGAGAGGATACAGCTGTGGTGAATTTGTAGTTTATTTGACAACGATATTGACATTAATGACTTTTAAAAATGTCTCCTATTTTAGGATGTTACTAAGCCAGCAAGGAGACTGCTTAAGTCAGTGCTCGGACCATCATTCATGTCAGCCATCCCAGGATGCATTGCAGGGCTCTGGACCCCTGACCACACTCCATGGCCAGTCATTGAGGTACGGTAGGCAGCGATACTGAGAAATCAATAGGCCTTATTCAAACAAATGGAGATTGATCTTTTAGATAGTTGGAGATTGGCATTATTACATAGCCGCTTTTACTCAATGTCTTGTTGAATTGATTCCCAACAGGGCCGGCAGGCAATCGCGAGGCATGTTCCATTCCAATCACAGCTTGAAGCTATCCTCAACTATGAGCTACCTAGAGAATCAACTTTCAGCAGCCCAAGCACTCAAATCAGCTCAGGAATATCGCTTCTGGCTTCTGACCTACGTGAGATATCTAGTACAAGAAGGTAAGATTGTATCTTGAACCTCAAGATTTATGACCATCTATTACACTATTCACCCTTTCTTTGCATTCAACTTTTAAAGTCAGTATCAGACAGATAATAATATTTTACTTGAGCATGTGATCTGTAGAGGACACATGTTGGTATGGGCTCTGTGACCGCGAACGTACTCCCTCAGTAGTTACAAAGAGAAAACCCTCCGGATATAAGCATATTAATATGGAAGTACAGTATGCATACTAATCCCCATGCATACTAGAACCAGTGCTCATACTCAGTATGTCTCGCACATGGAGCATTCACTAGTGATCATGAAGCCCCTTCCACTCTACCAAATTTATGTTCCACATTTAGGAATAGATTTTCCTTTCCTGATATTATTGGACGTCTTTGGTTGTAGAGCAAGAAGCGAGGTTGCGTGATATCTGCAGTGAGCTGCTTGGACCGTTCTATCGGGAAGATGTAAAAGAATCGTTATGGCAACCCATGGAAACGGTAAGACATATTGAACAAGTGTAAGAAATATTAAAAACAACCTTTTTTTGAGGAGCTTTTGAACTAATAATGTGTGAATTTCATCATACGTCAAAGCTTTCAATCACAATTAGAATTTGCTTATTCCAAAATTATTTGTTTTCTGAATGAAATAGCACTTTGAACAAACCTCATGCGGCCAATAATTAAAAGTCTTGAATATTTTAAAATTCATTTCTTTTGATTCAGGGTTTGTCTAAGCATGATCTTCTGGAAGAAATCCTGCCCATCATTGGTTCCAATCTCAAGATGCAGAGATTGTACACGGAGTACAAGGAAGAACTGAAAATCCTCAAAGAGAAGACGTCTTGGCTTGATTAAAAGATTCATCATTGGTAATGGATGAAAGTATGAGATATGTTCTTCCAAAATCAGGCAGAACAGGGTGTAAGACATATAAGAAACATTGCCAGAAATGACCTGTAACCTATGTTTTGGGTTTTCATCATTTTCAGAACATAACCTCTGTCCAGAAACATTGTGAGAATAAAATATTGCATTTCTGAAGAAAAAGCAAACTGTTAAAAAGAAAAATGAGTCTTGAAGATGTGAACTTATTCAGAATGTTTGAAATGGAAAAATAGATCTAAATTCACAACAAAAATTGAAATAAAAAGAACGAAAACAAAACAATGGTAAGATCTTGTGGGGAAGTCAAGAAAGTTATGTCCAATTTTCCCCTAGAATTTTCCGAAATGACATGCTATTTTTGCCCTCACCGCATGTGTTGTATGCAACATGTTTCAACTGAAATTAAAATTTCAAATCACCAAAAGACAAAATGAAAAAAAATTTAAACACAAGGCTGAGGACTTGGATGAAAGAAACTCTTAGTTCCGGCATCCTTTCAATCTGGAAATTGGCAGTCTAAGCAGCAGACTGATTCCTCATCATCATGTGCTCACTGCAAATAAAACACAATAACTGCAAATCTGTGAAGTGAAATCACGCTTTATTCTTTGCTGCTCCTGCTTCTGTTTGTGTCTATCTGAGTTCAGATCACACCACAAAATGTGGTATGTGGTTAATAGGCGAGCAACATTCAACAAACTGAGGAAAATGACGAGAGGCCATTGTTGTGTGATATACCAACAGGTGTACAGACTTTCCATCTGATCAACTGTGTCTACTCCTTCCTTTGTAGAATTGTAGTAGTGGACGATTTCAGGCATTCCATTCTCTTTGTTCACTTTCTTGTTGTGGTGCATAGATGAGACAAGTACTACACTCAAGTGTTTCTTTGGAATGAACAAAACCAGTGCCAATGGTCCATTGAAGATGGAGAGGATTTCATGTCTCAGTTTTTCATGTTTCATGGCTTCAGTTCATCTGGAACTTCCCTTCGATTGCCTTTTATTATCCCCCAAAGGTCAAGTCCTTGGCCTACAAATCTGTAACAAGAGCTGTACTGCTGGAATGACTAAAACTAGCGTCATTGGTCCATTGAAGATGAAGATGGACAATTTCACGCCTCGGTTTTTCACGTTTCATGGCCTCAGTTCATCTAGAACTTCCCTTTGGTTGCGTTTTATTGTCCCAAAAGGGTCAAGTCCTTGGCCAACATATCTGTCGCGAGAGCTGCACTCGTGAAGAAATTGTCAGTGGTGACTTTGGCCGGATTTGTAGACAGGTTTTACAAGTTTGTTGAGGACATTGGAACCAAGATTTTTCTGCTGCCCCTCTTTCCCCTTGCCAAGATATGGCGACATGTTTGTGACAGAGTGTGGTTTGCATCTGCAGATAGCCAACTTTTAGGCCATATTTGGTGGGGTCCTTTGGCACATACTGTCAGAATGGACATTGTCCACAAAATGCAACTAAGTAATGTATTTATTTTTTCCTACCCAAGAATCCCAACTTTAAACACTATAATTTCCGGATAAAAAACAGTATATGAACCCATCCATGAATATTTCAAATTCTTCCATAAACTTGGTACAATCATGTGCAGTTTTGATCGTTACAGAGATTGTGAAAGAAGTGCTTCCATTTTAGGAAATCTGAAATAATAAAGAATTGTCCTGCGTGGATTCTTTGGAGGGTCCATTTATCCAAATGACAAAATTCAATGAGTTATCGAATGGCTTGTTTGTGGTTTGTGTTTAATAAATGCTCATGAGTCTGTGTTTACAGTCAAAATATTATCATTCATTATTGCTTTATAGTCAGTTCAGATATAACCTCCCATTTCTACCTAAGCGCAGTCTGTGATGCATACACATCTAATGATCACAAAATTAAATTGTGCTTTACCTTCATTGATTATTTCTTTTGCAAGTTTGCTTTACTGTTTTTGACCTAGTTACAGTTGTGCTTATGGAACCATCCTCGGGGGTTATTTCTCCGTGAACATTCATCTGTATTCACATGTCTGAATATCTGTTCAATATTACATCACTTTATAGCACCACTCGGGTTCATAGTCTTGACTCAAATTCTCCTGACACAAGTTACAGACGCTTAGGCCTCGTCTCAATATCTTGTCCAGAGTGTGCCTCTAATAGAGCACCACAGAGATGCTGTAGTCACAGCGATCATGGGAAAACAGTTGACAAAATGCGCTAAATGGTATTCCTTGTGAGCAAGAGCATAGCAATTTTTACATTTTTGCAAGGAACATGTGACTGAAATTGACCTCTTTTTGGTGTACATAACGAGTTTATTTTTGAGACTTCCAACAGCATAATGTGTTTGATAAACCGCAGAATGCTAGGATAGTATATGAACAATGTTGACTGTAATTTTGAAAAGTGAAATCTCAGAATCAAGTACTTGGTAGTGCACTCTATTGTTAGTAACTCCTATTACAACTTCAGGCCATGCTCTTTCTGTTTCTCGTGGTGCCAAATTAATTCAACCCCAACATAGTTTTTGGTCAAGAGGTGATCTGTAGGAAAATCAAAATCCCCCCCCCCCCCCTAAAAATTAGGTACTCGCTATTTTGTTCAATGCAAGAACAATGTTAGCCTGACTTTGCCAAAACTGATCACAATTTATCCTAACAAGGCTTGCAGAAATTTGTCAATAGGTTTTCTATTTTGCTCAATGTTTGTGACTTTGTAGAGGGATGTAAAACTGCTACAATAATGTTACGTGATTCCTCCACTTATCATCAGGATTTTTGGAATAAATGTACAAGGTTGAACAAACAGTTTGTACTAAATATGTTTATTTTCACACGATTTGTACATCTTTGCATCGGGTTAATAAGAGTCTTGTGTTATAAACACTCATCTTTGATAATCATCTGTACAGTTTTTGCTTTGATAAATAAAACAAAACTGGTATCGTTGAGAGAATTGAGAGTTTTTATTTCTGGTTTGTTTAATGGTTTCCTGTTCCATTTTTTTTATAGCCCCCCCCCCCCCAATTAAATTAAACCAAAAAAAAAAATTCCAAATACGGTAGATTATTCAATATATGTTGAATGCATGTTAGCCCATCATTTCAAAGATTTTATCAAGGGCAATAGAATATAAAAGCCATAATTAGTATTTTTGGCAAAATTTAAACACTGGAACCAATATTTCGGGGGAAGTCTTGGAATGTAATTCACGGACCCTAAATAACATTTGTGCACTTGCCAAACAAAATCAAATAACTTCTTTTGAGTCAAAACTAAAAACAAAAACAAGGTAAACCTTACTTTTTTTTTTACCACCACATGGCCCAAAACTGACTTGACGCAACAAATTATAACAAAATATTTACAGGCAAGTTTTTTTTTCATCATGCCTGTAACCTGAAAATTCTTTTTATTTCCCTGAGAGAAACTATACCCTGTCCCCTGTTTAGTTAGTATAGAAATATAACATGGTTTGAGGGTGGAAAGTCAATATTAACTCCCAAGGTATTGGAAGTTGGCAAACTAGTTCCCAAGTCGAACTACATGTAGTCAAGAGAACTAGTTTGCCAACTTCAAATATGTTATATCTGTTATAATATGATATATTTGTTTTACTATACCTCATACATATTCACCAGTCATGAATCAGTTATCTTGGCAAAACATTGCTCAGTGTGTGTGAGCTGCCATCTATTCATGTAGCTAGGACGATGTTCGTGCATGCGCACGTGGTCATTCACACCGTCGATCGTGGACGTCCTATTGTCCTTCTTTTGTTTGTACTCTTTCAACTTTTTAGGATGACTCCCATATGTTTTGTACACGCTCCAATCGCAGACGTATGCTGGGAATCGTGGATTGCTGTGTAAAGAGCATGCCATGCGATGGTCGACTGTGCAAGCGTATTTATGTATTTACCCTGTGCGTGAACCCTCGCGGGTGCACTTGGTAAATAACAAAACTAGCGGCTGACACATGATGAAGAATGGACTGGTAAGAATTCAAATCTTGCTTAAAAATATGCAATGCATGAGGTATAATCACAATCAGAACTCAAGGGTCAAACTACTCATACTCGACAAAGAGTTTGAACTTCAACAATGCCCAAACCCAAATGCAAACCACATTTTTGTGGATATGGCTAGAGCACTGGACTATCAGTCCAGAGGTCCTTGGTTCAAGTCCCGCTAGCTGGTATTGACAAGACCCTCCCTGACCAAGAAGTCAAAGAGTTTACGGATCTTGTTGACATCAATCTTGATCAGATTGCGGGCTTGCTTCAGCTTGAGATGACCAACCCGCTCGCATTCATTCTGGAATACCCGTTTGTATTCAAAGTAAGCTTCAGGGATGATACGAACCGTAGCACACAGCTGTGGAGTCAAACAAGATTTGATATTCAATATACCGGTATACTGTACTGTTAGAAAGACATTGACTGGAGCAGGGTCTGAACCTTCAGTATATTGTACTGGTACACTACCAACCGAGTTACTAGCTCTATGTTGACAGATCAAGATTTACTGCTTTGATCAAAATCTTTAGCTCATAAAAAAGTTTAATAAAATTGTAACAATTGTTTGGTTCCCTGAGGATAAGAAATACCACAGCACTGTTTCCCATGGTGGTGAGTTTGGTGGTCATTCGTTCAATCATTTGTATAAACGTTTATTTCCATATTGCCGAAATCACAATACATGTACATACAGAGTGAGGTGGGGTTAGTTGGTATTTGAGTGGATACAGGAGGAGTACTCCGTTTATCAGATAAGGATTCACATGGTCAAAAAGATATTTGAAATATTTGTTAATGATTATGCAGGTTTTTTACTCGTGATGAGAACATTCAAACATTAAGTCATCGTACTTCTCTCTCTTTTTCGTTGAGTTTCTCGTAGCCAGCAAAACCAGTCAGATCAAGAGGTGGGGCTGACTTCCGTCCTGCAAGTATTAAACATTTATCCAAATTTATAAAATATGAGATATTATCATCTTTCATTTGATATTTATTGATGTAATGACTTTCTAACCAGATGGAGTTTATTCGAGTTTGTGAGCTGCAAAAATAAAAAATATCACTGCAAAATTAAGCAGTGCAAAATCAAATCAACCTGAGATGTCAAAGACAAGTTAGATTTGCTTACCTCCACAGGGTAGGATAGGCAGCAGCTCAGAGTGGCCTGCATCACTGAAAAACAGAGGAAATATTTAGCTGACTAGAGAAATAAACACTGAACATGTGCAAAGAGCTTGGGAGTCCATGTATGGAATGTGATTGGCAGAAAATTGAGTGATCGAGTGTAAAGTGTTGAATCTGTACCCACCAGTTCTTCTCACAACAATCCTCATACAACTCACAAACAAACAAAATAACAAAGTAAATCTAAATACTTTGTCAGGCAACTGATGACCTGGTAGACTAGTCACGTGTAGCAAGTTATTTGATTACTTAAGTCCAAAATTTAGATTTATTTGATTTACTCCAACTAGATGACCGAGAGCATACATCGTCATACACAAATCCTTCCAAGATGTAGACTTGAGATCATGTACAGTGTACATACAGATTGATCCGAGTTGCCCACTTTGTGTGATTAATGGAGTGGCTTTGCACCATGCTGGAAGTACCCTGCTAAGTTCCACTGGTACTCCACACAATGCACTCATCTCTAGTGATATGCAATAAGTGCTTTACAAAATCAATTTCTGTCACTTGAAGACTCAAGTCACATTGGCAAAAGACTAAGACTCAGTCTCGACCATCCTGACTCGGACTGGACGCAAATGACGCGAGTCACATATCTTTTGCCAAAAAAGTACATTTTAAAAACATAATTCTGATGTTTATTTTCCGAAAATAACGTTGAAGCATGGCATAGAAGATCCCCACCACTCCCAAACTAAGAACTTCCAATTGTTCAAGTTAAGTCTATCCATGAAACTGCTGCAAAGATTTTGGCTTACTGGAGATGATGCAAACTTCCATTTTGACTTAGAGAACTTCCGATTTCTTACACTAGTGCCTGGCGAAGCAGCCATTGCCTGCATGCGATGGGATCTTGGCTGGTTGCCAAGACGTCGTTAAGATGATGAGTCTTCTCTCTCTTGGCTCGCTTGGCTTTTAGTCTGTCATACATCCGTGCACCTGCAGATGTGTAAAGGAGGTTAGGTACCAGAGGAATAAGTTGTTTTCTTGTCTGAAAGGACTTTCAGGACATTATGAAATTTTGGACTGAATTGATAGAAACAGGCTTGAAATATAAATCCTGTCTACAGAGCCCACAGAGCCACAGGGAGTCAACACTCAATATACTGAAGAAAGACACATTCAGATACAATGTTTGTTTTCTTCCTAACAAGGTCCTTGCAAAAATACAACCTTTTGTCCGTCTCCATAAAATATGACATTGTTGCCTCACCTATCATGTTTTTGATCCCATTTGATCGATACTCCTGCAACCTGTCAATTTCAGTCTTCAAATCAAGCTCATCTGTCGGGGAAAAAAAACAATTCTGGTTTTGTTTACTTTTTTAAGAATAATCCATAATTCACTGCGTAAAATAAATCACAAACACACTTTCTTACAGTTATTGTCCCCATCAGCCCTTAAAGGGAATATACAACATTTGCAAACATCGAAAAATAAAACTACCAAGTTTTTGCGAAATACCTTAATTGGACGTTGGTAAATGACAGTCTAAAGCATCCTGTAAAATTATGGCACCTGGTATACTGTCATTTTCAAGAAAAGTGGTATTTTTGTATCAATTTCCAACGCTGATCGGCCGATCAGCGTTGGAAACAACTGGCTTTTTTTCAAATACTGGCCCCAATTGACTATTGCACTTGTTTGCAATCGATTACAAACCTATGAACGGGTACGAGCCAGCTAGACTGGTTCCCTGACCTTACAATTCCCCAATGTATGTAAACTGCTCTGTTTCCTCTTATATGGAGTCAGGGAACCAGACTACAGGTAAATGATCGTTTTTCTCGGTTTTTATAGCATTTTCGAACCCAAAACCTCCAAAAAGTCAGTGTAACTATATTTGCTTTATATTTCCAATCCCCCAATTCCATCCATTTCTGAAAATTACAGCAAAAGCAAATGATGTATATTCCCTTTAAAGAAAACAGCGAGTCAAAAAAATGAGATGACCTTTTCTAAACTTTATACACTAAAATTAAAATTCCACATTTTTCCCAGTTTCCCATGAAGTGAATGATCCCGTTAATGACTTTTACTAGTCTTTCCCAGTTTCCTGCACTCACATATTAAGCCTTCCAGTAGCTTGTCCTGTGCTAGCGGTGTGTGTAGTCTGGCCAACGGTTTGAGTTTGTTGATCAGGCTACGGACTGCCTCTGTGTGAGTTCTCTCTTGCACTGTAGACAAAGGAAAGAACAATCATAGTCCACCTTCTAGTTATTAAATTAAATTGTAAAGGCAGAACACTACTTTCCTTATACTTACAGTTCTGTTTCGCCAGATTAATCAAGCCGAAATCTCTGATGATCCTAAAATAAACAGATTTGAAAAAAAAACCAACAATTTTAACAACTGTCTTATGAGTCAAAGTGTATGAACTCCACATTCGAACTTGATGTTTGCTCATTTTTGAACTCATCAAATTTATATATATGTGAGAATGAATGCTTTACTATTGTATTTGAAATCATCAGGCTGAATAACAACCACTCCAAATCTTGTCGACTCACTTTTTCCTTCGCTGTCTTTCCTTTTTCCTGGACTGGTGGATGTCTACTGCAGCAAATTTCAGTTCTGAAAAAAGACAAGAAAAACCATGCAATCACTGACTCATTGTCTGGCAAACCCTTTGACAATAGGTACCAGGCAAAGGCAATATGGTATACGCCATGATTGCTCGCTTGCTTGGTTTGTGCTATTGAACCCATGACTGTCACTCTTGTATATGATGCTACTTGTTATTTCAAGAGACTTACCAGTTAAGAGTTTATCATCTTCATTGTGGAAGTAAATATCTCTCAGATCACATTCAGCATAATTATCATATTCCTAAAATAAAGAGAAAAAACAACAAGGTTATACATTGTAATACATCTGAAGTGTTGGAACCCATTTTGTTTAAGTATTGGAACTTAGCTTGTTTTTTCTTTACTATTAAAGGAATTTGTAATTTTTTTTAGCTATAAGTCTAAACACTACTATAATTTGATTGTTTCTGAACATTAAAAAGAAGCTTAATTTTAAAGCATTATTCATTTTAAGCCTTAATTAGGGGGGGAAACCAGATTTTTCTGTGCCTTGTGTTTAAAACCTAATTAATTGCAAAAAAGAGATTAAAACAGACAATACAAATTATTGTTCAGCAAACAATTCTGAACTGTTAGGTTTACCGTGTTAAAGTCCCCTCTTGCAGGATGGTAGCCAGCCATATCAATGGCTTTCTGGGAGTCTCTGATTGGTCGAACTGGATCCTCACTCCCTGAAACAACCAATCAAAAGTGCTGTTAAAGAGGAACACTCAAAGAAAGTAAATAAGTGGACTTATTACAAGTCTGGAGTCCAGACTTCATTCACTGATATTGTTTTGGTTGCTGTGGCCTTGAACAATGCTTTCTTTCATATTGTTCGATTGGTCAATTTCTCAGGTACCTGTAGAAACAGAATGAACATATACATTGTGTAGTACCTAAATTTGCAGGTGTGTAAATATTTCAATGAAGTTGACCCCAGGTCAAAGGTCATAGGTACTTACATCGACAGGGTATAGCCTTAGATTGGCTTGGCTTCATCTCCTCAGGAAACTCTGTAGAAAAATAGGAAAACAGCTTAATAAAGTTTCACTCATAAAATCAAACAAATTTAGTGTTCCATTAAAGGAAGCATATTTTCAATATTCATCCATGCATGGTCTTCACACCTTGGAGCCAGTTGGGGTGAGGACCATTAGTAGACTAGTTGTTGAATCATGACGCATGCACCCATAGCAATGTGTGAATGCCCTTCAAACGATGGTCAAAACGTCATCACAAAATATCTTGATCCTGGCTCCCTACTAATGCATGTGGCTATTGGTACCCTACGATGCAATTGTGCCCCATTGGTTCCAAATAGTCCACTAGAGCAGTCCAACCATCCTTCACTCAAGTGAAGCTAGTCAAACTATGGTTAACTGTAGTCCTCACTCCAGTCAAACTATGGTTAACTGTAGTCCTCACTCCAACTTGCTCTTGGGCTTTTGTTCTAACAAGGAAACTGATGGCTTTTTGAAACACCGACTTCATCACCAGCTTTGGCTCTATCAGTTGCTTCAGAATCATAAATAAACCTTTGATGTCTAAACCAAATACACGTTTTCTAAACTTCGGCCTGATGTCTGAATGAGAACTTGAGCCTGTACTGAGAATCTTTTGAAGCAGAAACTGATGACAAAACTAAGTTCTAGTAAAACTGGGACAGTCTGTCACTAGCCAATATGCATGACCCATCAGGCCGGCGTTTATCTCCGGTTTCCTTGGCATTAAATGACAGAGAATAATTCTATCCCACACCCCCCCCCCCTTCTTCCTGGATGGGATGCAGGTTACTCCCCAGGTAATGCCAGTACCCATACTCCTGGGTGGAGAGAGGCAAGTGGGGATGAAGTGGCTTGCTCAAGGATACAACATGTGGTTAGCAGCTGGATTCAAAACCCTAACCACCAGGCCACACTAGAAAACCCCTCAGGTTGCAGGCCAGTAAATCGGTCCGAAATTGCCTACGCCGGCCAAATCACAATTTGCATGCCCTCAATTTCTTCAATATTTGAGCATATTGTAGGCCATGAACTTGAGGGTTTGTAAAAAATATGGGTGGAAGCTGTGCACAGGACTGTGAGCTTGTAGTGCAATTTGGATGAAATTGGGGCCCTTACAGCGCTCTATTTTGCAATGGAGTGTAGGCATCGTTTTTCAAAATGGCGATGGGCTTCAGGACTACTTTAAGGGGTGATCATCTTCGGATGTTTCTTCTAAAAGTCATCAGTTGACCCCCCGTAAATTGAAAAGAAAATGAAAGCTGATGAAATAAGCTTGAATTTGATGTGCGTCTCGAACACCTTGGAGAGTTGTGAGTATTTTTCCCGAATTTCTGAATTGGGAGCATTTATCATTGGGGTCTATGGAAGTTTATTTACTGGTCTGCAACCTTCACATAACTCAACTGGTGACCTTTGACCTTACCAGGAAACGGAGGCTTGGAGCTCTCAACGAAGATCTTGGTGTAGTGTTGCTCACACTCATGTCTGCTCCGCCCTGGAACCTGATTGGCTATGTCCTGCCTGTCATTTGCATATTCATGAACAAAAAGAAATATCTATTGAAATGATGACAGTTTCACACAACTATCTATGTTTTGTTCGGTATGATTCATTTTTCTGAATTGTTTAAGGTACCAGTTTCCGATCCCACAGTCTCCAATAGCATCCAGTAGTTTTGTTTCGTCTTTAGCGCTCCACGCTGAATCCAACACAGGAAATTCATTAGTCTGAAATGAAAATGAAAGGAAAACTGACAATGTCAGAGTCTCTATTCTGCTGTAAGAGAAAACCTTAGGATAGTGACACATGACTGCTGGTTCTATAATAAAAACAAATCTTGATCCCCTATCAAGGTTTATCTGCAAATCTAAATGCAACGACTCTGGGTAAGTACCAGTTTTTGACATGGAAAGACCTAAAGCCACTTTTCAGAAAAGGACAAAATGATGAGAATCAACTTACGATGATGTCATAATCATGGCTGCTTAGATGTTTGCTGTTCTCCCATCCTTTGGAAAAGCACTACAGGAAAGTAGGAATATAAACATAGAGTTAGTACGTCAAATGTTTCCTTTCTTAAATTCTTTTTCCGGATGTCAATTGTTATTGTTAGTGTCAGAAATGAGCAAAATCTGTCAGACTTTTGGGCAAAAAAATAAGTCTTCCCTGTGCGAGTTTTTGTTTGTTATTGGTTACTTAAACACTAGAACAGGTTAACTGGGAACCATTAAGTTAAAAATAAGTACAAAATAAAATAATTTTTGTACTGTAAACACACAATTTTTGGGGTCAGCCTAATAAAGGGAGAGTTGGTGGAGACAACCAGGAGGGACATTCTAACTCATCACCTGACGCTCACATGAAGATACCTTTGCTTTGTGCCTACCTAGAAAATATACATGTAATAAGTCATGTGTGCTTAGCAAAATACACGCACAGACCATGTACAGGCATGCAGTGTGCACCTCCCACTGGTCTTTCAAATGTGGCCACAATGCACTATCTACTGCTGGTGCATGGTGTCCATACTGCACACAGCAGCTTACGATGTCTGGCTTTAGGTACTAAGACTACCAGTAAGTGCCTGGCTGAGGATTTTTGTTATTGTTTAGTTTGAAGTTTAAGAACACTCACATGTAGGCAGATATTGAGATGAGGAGGACCACAGATCACGCATCGGATGTAAGGCTCAATAAGATAGGTTGAACAGCCTGGGCATGGTGGCTGATGGTCAACGGACATGTGTAGATGATGGAAGGCAAGGGCTGAAAGGAAAAGAACCAGGCTAAGTTAACAATCATGGTGTAACAAAAATATTTCCTATTCAGGAAAGAATGTGGCTAATTGCGGTATCCTGCACAGATGTAGGAATAGTATTGCATCAATCCTCAGTTTTTGGAGAAAAAAAAATATTCAAGATTTCAAACACTTTCAGTTGAAAAAAAAAACCAGAGAAAAAGACATCTGATTATATCAGATTATTTCCTCTGTTCACAAGCTGTAAACCATAAATGGCACAATTCTATTTCAAGTGCAAGGATCAAAACATGATGTATACCCTGTTGTTAATGTTCTTGTCAAGTATTATTACCCCCAAAATAGGTTTGGTTTCAATTTTTTATAGACCTACATGTAGCAATACAAAGGTAGGCCTATTCAGTTTTGTACAAGACATTGCACAAAAATCAGCCAAATTTTAGTTATGAAAAAATTACAGCACAAATTTGAACTCTTTGCAGCCCAGGGTAGCTTGGTCTCTGGGATAATTGAAAATGCAGGGACTGGGAACCAGTCTAATCAAAGAGTGGATCTTTAGGCCTAGAATACTGACATTAGCCTTGGAAAGAATGTTGCATCCTGGTGCCACATTTTTCATCATACATACATGTAGTCTCAATGAAGGTCAGTCATTGCAAAAATGTTGAAAAGACTGGGACGGAGAAACACTTCCAATTTTGTGGGAAAATTCTTCGAAAATGCTTTCGACTTGTCTCAATCAATAGACTTTGTACACAAAGAAGTGGCGTCTGGATACTACATTCTTTCCCTAGCCTTTTCAGATGGTTGAAGATGCCCACATTAGAAAACAAGTTTTGTCATTAAATAAAAACATATGACTACGGGTTAAAAATAGAATAGAAGAAAAGGCCATGCACTGACAGTGACAATGGGGGCTAACGAAAAAGGCCTACATGTACATCTTTTTTTAAACATGTTTAAAGCTACAGTCCATCACTTGCAGCTATCCAAAAAGTAAATGACGTAAGGCCAAATTGAAAAGCAAAACATGTTTGTTTTTTTAAAGGGAAGATACAACATTGGCAAACATCGAAAAACGACATGATCAAATAATCACGAAATACCTTACTGGATTGTTAGGGAATGACAGTACAAAGCATCCTGCAAAATCGTGGCTCCTGGTTTGCTGACATTTTCAAGAAAAATGGTATTTTTTCAACACTGGTCGGCCGACCAGCGTTGGAAAAAACTGGCTTATTTTCAAAAGGTGCTTCTAATTTTTCATATTTAGTTATTCCGCATTTTCTTTGCAATTGATTACACACCTGTGAAGGATGCAAGCCTACCAGACTGTAGTCTGGTTCCCAGACCTGACAATTATTCCCGACGCTCACGTCTAAATTGTAGGTCAGGCAGCCTCCGTGGCTAAAAATAAACATGACGACATTGATGGCCCTTTTTCAAAGCTCAGCTTCATTTCCGATTTCACTTTATCACTTATAGCTTTTAATGTTCTGATCAATTTTTTTAATAAATCACTTGCTTCGTAATATTGTAACGTAAGTCTCGAGCGGTAAGGGTTTCTGGGGAACGTCAACTTCTGTTTAGTTATTCCACACAATAAATAGACGATGAAATGTTCTTCTTGATTTTGATGATTGGTTTATTCTCACTCTTGAACTTACACAAATCACTAGGTTTTGTACTAACCTGACAATTCTAATGATTCTTATTCTAGAGCACTGTCTATCGCATACAGATCCTTCCTGTAAGACCGCCAGACGTGAACTGCCGTAAACCGCGCGAAATAAGCCCGCTTGGCACATCTGTACAGGAGCTGATCATGCAGTCATCACGCGCGCGCTGTGCATCACGCGACCCCCAAAATAGCTGCCGAAAAACTAGGTCACTGCACAGCGCCGCCAGCGGCCACTCCGCCACATTACCCCCACCTTTAAGAAGGTGATGTGTCCTCACATCATTTAACTGCTTTTACGTCAATTTCATGCAACGACAAAATAAACGATTTTTAACACTTGACAAAACTTTTAAGTCTGTACATTTCAAAACAACTACAAAAAAATAAAACATAATTCTTAAACTTCTCTTTTAGACATAAACAAAAATGCACTAGTTTCTTTTCTTTTTTTTTTTTTTTTCAGCTTCTCCTTAACTTCTCGTCCGATTCATCTTTGGCAACTTTTAATCTTTGGCAACTTTTACTGCTACATTTTAACAACAGCTTTTAAACACTCTTCTCAGGATAACACTTAAACAATTACTTTAAGCAACAAACTTCAAAAACTTTAGAGGTTGCTTAGAAAACAAAGATAACCCTTAGAAAAATGGAACTGTGTTAGCGATCATTCGTAATCGAACTTTTCGGTCACTACGCGTGATACGACTGTGGCACCATCTAGTAGCTCCTTGATGGTGCGCTCCTTGAGCACTCGTGCCTTTGATGTCTGGACTGCCACGTCTCGATGAGTGGGCAGGAAGTCGTCTTCCGTCTGCTCTTTCGGCTCCTCTATGATGTGTCTCACAATGAGCGGACTGGTAGGGGCCCTCGTTGCGGTGTGGGGTCTCTCAGGTGGAGCAGGAGGGAACAGTGGGAGCCTCTTGGGGGAAGGGGGAACCGTCAACTGCTGCAATACAGGCCTTGGGCCGGAGAATGGCAGCTGCCGGATTGGGCTGTTTGGGTGGATGCTGAGCACGTCGGGATCTTTACCAGGGGTTCTCGGCACTTCATCTGTCTCGTCGATTGACGAGGACTGGTCTTTATGGGCGAGCTGCCAGTGTCTGTCACAGTCGTGCTTCCTACTGAATTTGATGGGGCAGTAGGGACAGGCATACCTCTCTCGCTTCTTGAGATGTTGCTCCTCCACGTGGCGGCGTAGTGTGGCAGATGAAGAGAAGCTCTTCTGGCACTCTCCGCATTTCTGTTTCCTGGGAGAACGGCTTCGCTCCCGACCCTGGCTTCGTCCACGTTGGTCCATACTTATCACTCCTGCAAAAACACAAAGAAGCAGAGGAGAAACATTATGACCACCTTGTTCGAATGTTAGCACCACTCTCCATAACGGTCTGGGGGTTTTCGTTTTCGTCTGCCATGTGGGTCATTTTCATTGATTTTGGGCTCTGGCTCGTCATTGTGGTCTGCTGGTAGTACTTGAGCATCGAGTTGACTAATCGATGGTTCCATCTCGGTACTGAAGTCTGGGTAAACTCCTACATCTGTCTCATTCATTTGGTCGGTTTCTTCGGTGTCATTGTCTTGGTCTCCTCCGGCGCTTCCCTGGCGTAAGGGTTCTACTTGCTCGTCTTCATGGACTGGGATTTCTCCAGCTTCCTGTTGGGTCAATGGTTCAGAGTCTGTCCTCCCATTTAATAGCTCAACCTCCACTCACTGGCCTCTTCCCTCGCCCCGTTGACGCGAGAGCCAAGATTTGTCTACATCTCCATGGAACGGCTTCAGGCGGTTGACATGGATTACTTTAGGTTTGTGTCTGGGCCCTCGTTGCATTCTTAGGACCACATCACTTAACAAATGGGTGACGATGTAGGGGCCATCCCACTTCGGCTGGAGCTTTGGAGATAATCCCACCGTCTTTGTTCCAACTCGTGCCATGACAGCACTGCCAACGTCGTACTCAGCCTTGTCCGCCTTGAGGTTGTAATGCCGGCTCTGGTAGCAGGCGGACTTCTTAAGTTGAACTCGAGCCGTCTCATGGGCCGATTCTAGCCTCTCTCTGAGCTCATCAACGTAGTCTGATGCTTCAGCATGTCCCTTCTTCGGTAGACCACATATCACGTCAATGGGCAGGTCCACTTCCCTCCCAAACATCATCTTGTTTGGAGTAAGGCCGGTACTCTCATTAGGGGAAGCTCGGTATGCCATCAAGACTGAAGGCACATATCTGTCCCAATCCTTTTGATTAGTTGCGACATACGAGGCGAGCATTGCAATCAGTGTCCTATTGAAGCGTTCCACCTGCCCATCACTCTGAGGGTGGTATGGTGTCGTGCGGGTCTTATCGATGCCAAGTAACTCGCATAATCCCTTAAAGACCTTACTTTCGAATTGCCGACCTTGGTCACTATGTATTTGGCGAGGCACGCCGAATCTACTGATGAACTCATCAACAAGGGCACGGGCAATGGTTTTAGCATCTATGGCAGGAACTGGGTAGGCTTCGGTCCATTTACTGAAGTAGTCAGTCACTACCACAATATAACGATTGCCACCATCTGTGACTGGGAAAGGACCAGTGATGTCTATTGCAATCCTCTCTAGCGGCACACCGGAGATTTGCTGCTTCAATGGTGCCCTTTTTCGTTTCTGCGGCATTTTTTGTTTAGCACACTCCAAACACCTCCGGCACCATTTCTTGACACTGTCTAGCATCCTCCACCAGTAGAAGCGAGCCTTGACCTTTTCATACATTTTTCGTATGCCTAGATGGCCTCCTGTTGGAGCGTCATGTAGCTGCTTGAGGACTTCTTCTTGCATCTTGTTGGGAATAACCAAAAGGTAATGGATCTCGTTGCCAGTATCATCCTCCCACCTCTTTTGCAAGATTCCATTTCGAACACTCAGCTGGTCCCAGGCTCCCCATAAGGATTTACATCGGGCATTCTCTGCTGAAACCTCTGACCATGGCGGTCTCGGATCTTTGGATTCGAGCCAGTTTATGAACTTATTCAGGACAGGATCCTCTCTCTGTTTCTGCCTTAGTGTCGAATTCGAAATCCCCATCAACCAATTTGGTTCAAGCTCCTTGGCCGCCTCTCTGATCTGTTCCTGTAACACATGACAATGATCTGTATCATCCTGGCACTCATCAGGGGTAGACTCGGCCGGAGAATCTGCTGTTGCCTGTCTTTTATCTTGCCCGTCTTCAGTGTTAATCCTAAGTGGCTCCTCCCAGTCTCCTGGGGAACGTTTACACTGTCGGCAAGGCATCCTAGACATCGCATCGGCATTCCCGTGTCTTCGCCCGGGACGGTGCTCTATCACAAAATCATA